CTTTGACCTACAGTCTTCATATTTGGCATGGAGGTTAGTCATGATTAGTAGATGACCCCTATTGATTTTGAGGTCAAAGGTCAAGGTCACAAGGGCCTTGACTTCAAAAAGCTTGTCCGCCCAATAACTTAAGATTCCTATGACCCATAGTCTTCATATTTGGCATGGAGGTTAGTCATGATTAGTAGATGACCCCTATTAATTTTGAGGTCACTAGGTCAAAGGTCAAGGTCACAGGGGCCTTGACTTCAAAAAGCTTGTCCGCCCAATAACTTAAGATTCCTTTGACCCATAGTCTTCATATTTGGCATGGAGGTTAGTCATGATTTGTTGATGACCCCTATTGATTTTGAGGTCATCAGGTCAAAGGTCAAGGTCGCAGGGGCATTGACTTCAAAAAGCTTGTCCGCCCAATAACTTAAGATTCCTTTGACCCATAGTCTTCATATTTGGCATTGAGGTTAGACATGATTAGTAGATGACCCCTATTGACTTTGAGGTCACCAGGTCAAAGGTCAAGGTCACAGGGGCCTTGACTTCAAAAAGCTTGTCCGCTCTATAACTTAAGATTCCTTTGACCCACAGTCTTCATGTTTGGCATGGAGGTAAGTCATGATTAGTAGATGACCCCTATTGATTTTGAGGTCACCAGGTCAAAGGTCAAGGTCACAGGGACTTTGACTTCAAAAAGTTTGTCCACCCATTTACTTAAGATTCCTTTGACCCACAGTCTTCATATTTGGCATGGATGTTGATCATGACTATAAGGTGACCCCTATTGACTTTGAGGTCACTGGGTCGAAGGTCAAGGTCACAGGGCCCTTGACAAAAAAAGCTTTTCTTCTCAATTTCTAAAGAATGTCCTGTCCGCAATGTATTGATTTTGACATTTTCACATTTGAAGCTTGTAGAATACATAACTTAGCAATGCACTGGCTTAGTAACCTCAGATTTGGCAGGGAGGTTGTCCTTGAGCTCTAAATGGCCACTGTTGATTCTGACAAAGTGGTATGCGGGGGTATTCACACCAAGATAGTGGCAGTTCTAGTTATTTTGGTTTTAGAGTGATATATGTGGATATATAAGCTGCCAAGATAAAATATCACCCTCGCCTAACGGCTCGGGTGATATAAAATCTTGACAGGTAATATAATATCCATATATATCACTCCAAAACCAAAATAACATATAATATTTATTGGTGTGTGTGTGTGTGTATATATATATATTTACAACAACAACATCGACAATTGCGTCATTGTTTCTATTTATAGAATTGCGTCATTGTTTCTATTTTTAGAAATTGCGTCATTGTTGCTATTTTTAGAAATTGCGTCATTGTTGCTATTTTTAGAAATTGCCTCATTGTTGCTATTTTTAGAAATTGCCTCATTGTTGCTATTTTTAGAAATTGCGTCATTGTTGCTATTTTAAGAAATTGCGTCATTGTTGCTATTTATAGTAATTGCGTCATTGTTGCTATTTTTAGAAATTGCGTCATTGCTGCTATTTTTAGAAATTGCGTCATTGTTTCTATTTTTAGAAATTGCGTCATTGCTGCTATTTTTAAAAATTGCGTCATTGTTTCTATTTTTAGAAATTGCGTCATTGTTTCTATTTATAGAAATTGCGTCATTGTTGCTATTTTTAGAAATTGCGTCATTGTTTCTATTTTTAGAAATTGCGTCATGTTGCTTTTTTTAGAAATTGCGTAATGTTGCTATTCAAATATGTATACAAAATATATAAACAAAACTAATGTGACAACAGGGTTCGTACAGTCTTTAAAAGTGCTTAAATTTGAGTCCCTTTCTTAAAAAGTGCTTAAAAATGTAAAAAAGTGCTTAAAAGTCCTTGAATTTGCTTACTGTCTTGAAAAGTGCTTAAAAAGTGCTTAAATTTGCTGAAAATGTGCTTGAAAATGATTGAATGACATAGTGCCAATAAAAATCAACAGTTAACAATATCAAAAGAATGATCCAATTAAGGATCAAAATCAACATAACAGTAAGTCAGGACAAATTATAGTTGTTTTGAACTAATCTTTATTTGATGTGCCCTTTGTTGTTGTTTTATAAAATCCTTGAAATTATGGCCAGAAAATGTGCATTAACAAAAAATAGAAAATAAACTATACTTCTTACGGTGAAGATTGTATCAATATATGTGTAACAAATGTGCTTGAAAAATGGGAAAACGTGTTTAAATAGTGCTTAAAAAGTCCTTGAATTTTGGCATTGGATGTCTGTACGAACCCTGGACAAGACAGACCAACTAAATTTATAAAAAGGAAACGTTAAGATATGTTCAAACCTTTCTATGTTTGCGTTTAGAAAAGTAAAAAGTCGAGCGTTGCCCCCGCCCGGTGGTGGCTCTTGTTAAATGTCCAAAATAATTTTCAAAATTTAGATTTTCCATGCATTTGTAGTTGTAACAGCTTTAGCTTCCATTCTTCCATTGTTTGCCGTTTCCATCCGACGCCAGTCCAAAAAAATTTTAGATTAAAAAGTTCATTATTTTTTTTAAGTATCTTCCTTCCTTAACAAAAATAATCCAAACCTTTTCTTTTTGTGTTTAAAATCACGTTTGGTGACTTCAAACTTTATCCACAGAAAAAAAAGTGTAACTATTTATAGTTGAACTGAAAAAAATAATCTGCGGTAAATCTAGGTCATCATAACCTGCCTTTGAAAACTTAACAATAACAAAGTGAATGAAGTGATGTTTATTACATCACTAGAATAATTGACAGGCCACTAGCCAATCAGATATCTGAACTGCATGACTTCTGTATGCTGTGAGTCCCTTTGATGTAGAGTTGTCAAAAAAAAAGAAGACAAGAATGAATGCTACTTAGGAGCCATTCAGTGCAAATAAAAAAATGGACATTACACATTACGTCATATATTACTTGATGTGTTATGGAAAGGTACTTATAAAATGTTGGATTCATTTTAATTATGATTCTTTTTATCTTATTTATCTTCAGCAAATTTATAAACAAACTGCTTGACACCAAAAAATAACAACAATTAATATAATGTATATTAAACCATGATGTTCATTCAAATAGGACCAAATTATCAAGTCTGCAATTGTTGGTGAAATTTACCTACCTACCTCCTTGTCAAGCCTCAGATATAAGTGTCAATACAATCAGAAATAAACAAACTAGTTGATTAATTAGGAGAAGAACCTAGCTGAACAGTGTCAAATTTTTTGGTCTCTAGGTTAAAAATTATGAAATGTGTACAGAAAAATATTCAAAAAGTGTCGGGTTGATGGTCTCCGACCAGTATCCGTACTTTATAATCATTAAGAAAAACATGTCTCATTAGTTTTGAACAATGTCTCATAACTTTTAAAAATGTCTCATAAGTTTTCCAACAGGTGGAGACATAGTCTCATCTGCAAAAATTCTTTCCCGATTTCTGTTTATGTTCACTTTTTGTCCGGCGTCCGCCCGTCCGTAAACTTTTACTTTAAATGACATCTCCTCATAAACCACTAAGCCAATTTCATCCAAACTTCACAGGAATGTTCCTTTGGTGGTCACCTTTGAAAATTGTTCAAAGAATTTAATTCCATGCAGAACTCTGGTTGCCATGGCAACCAAAAGAAAAAACTTTAAATATCTTCTTCTAAAAAACCCTAAGAGCTAGAGCTTAGATATTTAGCATGAAACATGTTCTAGTGAGTGTCTACCAAGTTTGTTCAAATAAAAGCCCTGGGGTTGAAATTGGCCCCGCCCCAGGGAGGGTCATTGATTTTCCCTATATGTATATAGTAAAAACTTAAAAAATCTTCTTTTAAAGAACCCAAAGAGCTAGAGCTAAGATATTTAGCATGAAACATCTTCAAATGGGTGTCTACCAAGTTTGTTCAAATAAAAGCCCTTGGGTTAAAATTGGCCCCGCCCCAGGGGGGTCATTGATTTTTCCTATATGCATATAGTAAAATATTAAAAATCTTCTTTTAAAGAACCCAAAGAGCTAGAGCTAAGATATTTAGCATGAAACATGTTCTAATGGATGTCTACCAAGTTTGTTCAAATAAGAGCCCTGGGGTCAAAATTGGCCCCGCCCCGGGGGACATTGATTTTCCTTATATGTGTATAGCAAAAACTTAAAAATCTTCATGGAAAAAACCCGAATAGCTAGAGTTTAGATATTTAGCATGAAACATCTTCTAGAGAGTGTCTACAAATATTGTTCAAATAAAAGCCCTGGGGTCAAAACTGGCCCTGCCCCAGGGGTGACATTGTTTTTAAATATATGTGTAAAGAAAAAACTTAAAAAATCTTCTTTTAAAAAACCCAACAAGCTAGACCTTAGATGTTTAGCATGAAACATCTTCTAATGAGTGTCTACCAAGTTTGTTCAAATAAAAGCCCTGGGATTTAAATATACAGGTGAGCGACTTCAGGGCCATCATGGCCCTCTTGTATGTACATGTATAAAGTAAAAACTTAAAATATCTTCTTTTAAAAAATCATTAGAGCTAAAGCTAAGATATTTAGCATGAAACATCTTCTAATGGGTGTCTACCATTTTTTGTTCAAATAAGGGCCCTCGGGTTAAAATTGGCCCGCCCCGGGGATCATTGATTTTCCTTATTTGTATATAGTAAAAACTTAAAAAATCTTCTTTTAAAAAACTCAAAGAGCTAGAGTTAAGTTATTAAGCATAAACTATCTTTTAGTGAGTGGCTACCAAGTTTGTTCAAATAAAAGCCCTGTGGACAAAATTTGCCCCGCCCAGAGAGGGGGGTGGGGGTCATTGTTTTTCCCTATATGTGTATAGTAAAAGCTTAAAAAATCTTCTTACAGCTAGAGCTTAGATATTTATCATGAAACAGCTTCAAATGGGTGTCTACCAAGTTTGTTCAAATAAAAGCCCCTGTGTTAAAATTGGCCCCGCCCCGGGGGCCTATATACAGGTGATCGATTTCAGAGCCATCATGGCCCTCTTGTTGACTTCTTTGTTTATTTTTTTTTTCAGTTGTACCAAATATGGCAAGGGCAAGAAGTTTATCATTACAGATTGATAATTTTAAATATGAAGCCAGTAAAGAAGATATACTAAAAGTAATTCATCTTTAGTTCATTGTGTTAGAAGCAAATGACAAACAATTTAGCTTTATACCGTATAAGTGTTTTTTATACCCCCAAAAACGAAGTTTGGGGGGGTATATAGGAGTCACCCCGGTGGTCGGTCGGTCGGGGGTGGTCGGTCGGTCCAGACGTCCGTTGCATTTTCCTTGTCCGGAGCATAACTTGAAAACTAATGGTTGGAATTCAATATAACTACATACAATGGTCAAGCACATTGAGAGGAAGTGCAGTGCACAAGAACCATAACTCTATCTTGACTAATTACAGAGTTATTGCCCTTTGTTACTTTTCCTTGTCCGGGGCATAACTTGAAAACTACTGGTTGGAATTCAAAACAACTTCATACAATTGTCAAACACAATAAGGGGAAGTGCAGTGCACAAGAACCATAACTCTATCTAAAGTAATTACAGAGTTATTGCCCTTTGTTGCTTTTCCATTGCTTTTTTTTTGTCTGTTGCATTTTCCTTGTCCGGAGCATAACTTGAAGACTAATGGTTGGAATTCAATATAACTACATACAATGGTCAAGCACATTGAGAGGAAGTGCAGTGCGTAAGAAACATAACTCTATCTTGACTAATTACAGAGTTATTGCCCTTTGTTACTTTTCCTTGTCCATGGCATAACTTGAAAACTACTGGTTGGAATTCAAAACAACTTCATACAATTATCAAACACAATAAGGGGAAGTGCAGTGCACAAGAACCATAACTCTATCTAAAGTAATTACAGAGTTATTGCCCTTTGTTGCTTTTCAATTGCCTTCTTTTTTTTGTCCGGAGCATAACTTGAAGACTAATGGTTGGAATTCAATATAACTACATACAATGGTCAAGCACATTGAGAGGAAGTGCAGTGCATAAGAACTATAACTCTATCTAAAGTAATTACAGAGTTATTGCCCTTTGTTGCTTTTCAATTGCCTTCTTTTTTTGTGTCGCCTCTACGGAGTAGTGGCGACATATAGGGATCACTTCTCCGTCGTCTGTCTGTCGGTCTGTCTGTCCGTGCGTCCGTCACAAAACTTGTCCGAACTACCCCTCATAAACTACTGGTGCAATTTCATCCAAACTTTACAGGAATGATCAGTATCAAGTCTAGTTGTGCATATTGTCAGCATTTTCAGGCTTTCTACTGGTCCCTACTTTTCCTACTTTTCCTACTTTTCCCTACTTTTTTCTACTTTTTTCTTTTGATCCCTACTTTGCCCTACTTTTTTCTGAAATAGCCCTATTATCCCTACTTTTTCATTTTGAAATGAAATAAAATAAAAAGGAGATATTTAAAATGGCATTTCAGTAGTATTTTCAGTTGCAATTGATGAGTAGTTCAGGTGTGTGTGTGTGTATCTCCTTGTGATGTCCATCCTTGAAAGACTCATGGTGCCTTGGCAAAACATTCAGCAACATTCTGGCTATGAGGTAAATACATGAAACCATACTGATTGTTTAAATAACTACTATTTTATAATTTCCATGTTCCTTTTGTAAATGAATGCATACTTCAGTCTAGTTTGACACTGCCAAGTGCTTATTAATGTCTAAGATAGGTTTATAAATATTCCCAATAATGCATTAGCTGAGGGATTCCACAGTTGTCATGCTGTACTGATTCAAAAGAACATATTTGTTTATTGGTTTGATTTGTATTTGTGTCATTTTCCCCATGTCTATTAGACCATATATGTACATGTTACTTGAATTTTTAAAACAAAGTCATCAAATTAAAGCATTGGCAGCTGTGGGTATCAAACACTGCATTGACCAATTGCTCTTGTGTCTGAGTAGAGTTGCAGCAGTGTGACTTATCAATTTAGATTCCAAGCTTTTAATTGTCACTTAACACTTTAAAATGTAACATGTGCAAATACCTTGGTATTGCTTCATCACTATCCATCAGATGGTTGTGCATTTTGTCAACATGATATAATGTTAAGCTTAATCATGAAAATGACAGGTCTCAAAAAATTCAAATCATTTCATTGTCTTGTTGACAATAATGCACAACAATCTGGTAGCAAGCTTGGGTCAGCTAGATTGTATTTACAGAAGTAACTCTGCATGTTTGGCAAATCAATCACAAATTGTATGTATATGTACATGTAACATTTAACATTATCATTTGGCAGTGTACTGAATCATGCATACATGTAACCTACTTGTACCTCTTGTTGGTGTTAAATTGTTCCTTAAAATACTACACTGTGGCATGTTTGTCATAACCTTTGCCCTTGCAATATATTATAATTTTATGCAACATATTAACATGAATATACATCAGTTTAAACTACATGTACATGTAGCTCATACAGTAACATGCAGTCCTGTTTATATAGCTTTTAGTGTACATCCTGGTGTTGGTATTCACAGCTTGTTTGCATTTACCTTGACTATGAAATAGACTAGGATCTAGTAGCTCTGCCTTACTAATGTGAATGTTCTTAAAACTATGTGCTAGATATACTCATTGTATGTTTGTTTTGCTGATTATATTTGTCCTTATCATTGAAAACAACATTTTGTATTGGTGCACTTGTATTTAAAGAGAAATAAAAAACAATTTCAGGTGCCTGTCTTTCAAGCATGGACTGAACTGAAGATACACACAGCCTTATGTGGTCTTGGTGATGGTAAGTCTTAACTAAAACGGTAAGAAATTCCTACTTTATCCCTACTTTTTAACATCAGAAATCCCTACTTTGCCCTACTTTTTGGTAAAAAAATGCCCTACTTTTTCCCTAGTTTTTTTGGTAGAGGCAGTAGAAAGCCTGCATTTTCCGGTTCAATGATTTTTGTCAGAGTTATGGCCCTTTAATAATTTTTAATTTTAAAGTTTGTCCGGACTACTTCTCTTATACCACTAATGCAATTTCAATGAAACTTTACAGGATTGATCTGTAGCTCAAGTCCTTGCGCATATTGCAAGGGTTTTCCGGTTGAATGATTTTTGGCCGAGTTATGGCCCTTTGATAAAAAGGTGTTTTTTTCTGTGTGTTGCCAGATACACAAAAGCTTGTCCGGACTACTCCTCATAAACTACTGGTGCAATTTCATCCAAACTTTACAGGAATGATCAGTACCAAGTCTAGTTGTGCATATTGTCAGCATTTTCCGGTTCAATGATTTTTGTCAGAGTTATGGCCCTTTAATAATTTTTATGCCCCCATTTCGAAGAAAAGGGGGTATATTGCTTTGCACTTGTCGGTCCGTCGGTCCGTAGACCAAATGGTTTCCGAGTGATAACTAAAGAACCCTTAGGCCTAGGAACTTCAAACTTGGTATGGTGATTGGTCATGACCAGTAGATGACCCCTATTGATTTTGGGGTCAAGGGGTCAAAGGTCAAGGTCACATTGACCTTGTAAGCAAAAACGGTTTCCGATCAATAACTAAAGAACCTTAAGGCCTAGGAACTTCAAACTTGGTATGGTGATTGGTCATGACCAGTAGATGACCCCTATTGATTTTGGGGTCAAGGGGTCAAAGGTCAAGGTCACATTGACCTTGTAAGCAAAAACGGTTTCCGATCAATAACTAAAGAACCTTAAGGCCTAGGAACTTCAAACTTGGTATGGTGATTGGTCATGACCAGTAGATGACCCCTATTGATTTTGGGGTCAAGGGGTCAAAGGTCAAGGTCACATTGACCTTGTAAGCAAAAACGGTTTCCGATCAATAACTAAAGAACCTTAAGGCCTAGGAACTTCAAACTTGGTATGGTGATTGGTCATGACCAGTAGATGACCCCTATTGATTTTGGGGTCAAGGGGTCAAAGGTCAAGGTCACATTGACCTTGTAAGCAAAAACGGTTTCCGATCAATAACTAAAGAACCTTAAGGCCTAGGAACTTCAAACTTGGTATGGTGATTGGTCATGACCAGTAGATGACCCCTATTGATTTTGGGGTCAAGGGATCAAAGGTCAAGGTCACATTGACCTTGTAAGCAAAAACGGTTTCCGATCAATAACTAAAGAACCTTAAGGCCTAGGAACTTCAAACTTGATATGGTGATTGGTCATGATCAGTAGATGATCCCTATTGATTTTGGTGTCAAGGGGTCAAAGGTCAAGGTCACATTGACCTTGTAAGCAAAAACGGTTTCCGATCAATAACTAAAGAACCTTAAGGCCTAGGAACTTCAAACTTGGTATGGTGATTGGTCATGATCAGTAGATGACCCCTATTGATTTTGGGGTCAAAGGTCAAGGTCACATTGACCTTGTAAGCAAAAACGGTTTCCGATCAATAACTAAAGAACCTTAAGGCCTAGGAACTTCAAACTTGATATGGTGATTGGTCATGATCAGTAGATGACCTCCATTGATTTTGGGGTCAAGGGGTCAAAGGTCAATGTCACATTGACCTCTTAGGTAAAAATGGTTTCCGATCAATAACTAAAGAACCCTTAGGCCTAGGAACTTCAAACTTGGTATGATGATTGGTCATGACCAGTAGATGACCCCTATTGATATTGAGGTTAAGGGGTCAAAGGGCAAGGTCACATTGACCTTGTAGGTAAAAATGCTTTCAAATCAATAACTTAAGAACCCTTTGGCCTTGGAACTTCAAACATGGTATGGTTATTGGTCATGACCAGCAGATGACCTATTGATTTTGGGGTCAAGGGGTCAAAGGTAAAGGTCACATTGACCTTGTATGTTAAAACGGTTTCCGATCAATTAACTTAAAAAGCTTAGGCCTAGGAACTTCAAACTTTGTATGATGATTGGTCGTGACCAGCAGATGACCCCTATTGGATTTTGGGGTTAAGGGGTCAAAGGTTAAGGTCATGACCAGTTATACTTGATAACCCTTATTAATTGTTTGATCACTGGGTCAGAAGTCATGCATAATAACCTTATCACATGACTCATTGGCTGCTGATAGGGGGCATACATGTTTTACAAACATATCTTGTTATTTTTAAAGTTTGTCCGGACTAGTTCTCTTATACCACTTATGCAATTTCAATGAAACTTTACAGGATTGATCTGTAGCTCAAGTCCTTGCGCATATTGCACGGGTTTTCCGGTTGAATGATTTTTGGCTGAGTTATGGCCCTTTGATAAAAAGGTGTTTTTCTGTGTGTTGCCTGATACGCAAAAGCTTGTCCGGACTACTCCTCATAAGCTACTGGTGCAATTTTATCAAAACTTACATGATTGATCAGTACCAATTCTAGTTGTGCACTGTCTGTCTGTCTGTCCGTCTGTCCGTCTGTCACAAAATTTGTCCCAACATGAAATTGGCCATTATGAGGCGACACATGTGATTACTGATCGCTCTTGTTTTGTCCGGAGCATAACTTGCAGACTAATGGTTGGAATTCAATATAACTACATACAATGGTCAAGCACATTGAGAGGAAGTGCAGTGCATAAGAACTATAACTCTATCTAAAGTAATTACAGAGTTATTGCCCTTTATTACTTTTCCATTGCTTTCTTTTGTCCGGACCATAACTTGAAGACTATTTGTTGGAATTCATTATAACTTCATACAATGGTCCAGCACATTGAGAGGAAGTGCAGTGCACAAGAACCATAACTCCATTTCGACTTATTACAGAGTTACTGCCCTTTGTTTCATTTCCTTGTCCAGAGCATGACTTTAAAACTACTGGTTGGAATTAAAAACAACTTCATACAATGGTCAAGCACAATAAGGGGAAGTGCAGTGCACAAGAACCATAACTCCATCTTGACTAATTACAGAGTTATTGCTCTTTGTTACTTTTCCATTGCTTTCTTTTGTCCGGACCATAACTTGAAGACTTATTGTTGGAATTCATTTTAACTTCATACAATGGTCAAGCACATTGAGAGGAAGTGCAGTGCATAAGAACCATAACTCCATCTTGACTAATTACAGAGTTACTGCCCTTTGTTACTTTTCCTTGTCCAGAGCATGACTTGAAAACTACTGGTTGGAATTCAAAACAACTTCATACAATGGTCAAGCACAATAAGGGGAAGTGCAGTGCACAAGAACCATAACTCCATCTTGACTAATTACAGAGTTATTGCCCTTTGTTACTTTTCCTTGTCCAGAGCATGACTTGAAAACTACTGTTTGGAATTCAGTACAACTTCATACAGTTGTCAATGACATTCAAAGGAAGTGCAGTGCACAAGAGCCATAACTCCATTTTGACAAAATACAGAGTTACTGCCCTTTGATACTTTTCCTTGTCCGGAGCATAACTTAAAACGTACTGGTTGGAATTCAAAACAACTTCATACAATGGTCAAGCACAATAAGAGGAAGTGCAGTGCACAAGAACTATAACTCTATCTTCAGTATTTATAGAGTTATTGCCCTTTGTTCTTTTTCTTTGTCTTTCTGGACTTATTACAGAGTAATTCAATTAAACTTCATCAATGGCCAATCACCTTGAAAGGAAATGCAACATACATGAACCGCAATTATCTTTAATTGCCCACAACCATAACTCTATGTTTCAATTCTTTTACAAGGTATTCTGTTACTAGTGACATCCTCATTTCCGAAGCAGACTTGTGGGGGTATTAATCACATTTAGTGATAGTTCTAGTTTCTGCGGGCTCTAAATTCTGCGGTTTTTCCAAATTTTGGCATGTTTTTATTTCTGCGGACTTTATTTCTGCGGCACATTCTTTGCAAATTGGACAAAACGTGATTTAAATTCTGTGACTCGTCTTATCAAAGTCTATGTCACATTTCCCTATCTATTATATTTGTATGTACATGTTCAGATTTGTTTATCGTCGTCACTGCAAAACTGTATAGTAATTGCAAGCAATTATATTCTTTGCTTGCAAACAAATATAATGCGCAACAAAAGAAGGTATACATCTTTGATCAACGTGAAGTGACGTGTGAAAAATATACCCCGGTAGTAGCTTTAATTTAATAAATTTGATAGAAGTTTACCGTAAATCGGATGACAATTAAAGTATACAACAATTATTTAGCAGTATAAGGGTTGGAATGGTTTGAAATATCGTTATTTTTAAATTAGCATCATTAACAATAAGTAGATCCTTACAAACACAAATTACATACTTAGCCGAAAGCAATTTTATACAACTTGAAAACCCGCTAACCGTTATAATCTGTTAGTCGTTATTACTTTAGATGAAATAGGTCATAATGTAGGATACATATCGTAGCAGGTTTTTAGCTCACCTGTCACAAAGTGACAGGGTGAGCTTTTGTGATCGCTTTTCGTCCGGCGTCCGTCCGTCTGTCGTCCGTCCGTCGTCCGTCTGTAAACTTTTGCTTTAAATGACATCTCCTCATAAACCACTGAGCCAATTTCATCCAAACTTGACAGGAATGTTCCTTTGGTGGTCACCTTTAAAAATTGTTCAAAGAATTTAATTCCATGCAGAACTCTGGTTGCCATGGCAACCGAAATAAAAATCTTTAAATATCTTCTTTTAAGGAACCCTAAGAGCTAGAGCTTAGATATTTGGCATGAAACATCTTCTAGTGAGTGTCTACCAAGTTTGTTCAAATAAAAGCCCTGGGGTCAAAATTGGCCCCGCCCCTGGGGGGTCATTGATTTTCCCTATATGCATATAGTAAAAACTTAAAAAATCTTCTTTTAAAGAACCCAAAGAGCTAGAGCTAAGATATTTGGCATGAAACATCTTCTAGTGAGTGTCTACCAAGTTTCTCAAATAAAAGCCCTTGGGTCAAAATTGGCCCGCCCCAGGGGGTCATTGATTTTCCCTATATGCATATAGTAAAAACTTAAAAAATCTTCTTTTAAAGAACCGTAAGAGCTAGAGCTTAGATATTAAGCATTAAACATCTTCTAGTGAATGTCTACCAAGTTTGTTCAAATAAAAGCCCTGGGGTCAAAATTGGCCCTGCCCCAGGGGGTCATTGATTTTCCCTATATGCATATAGTAAAAACTTAAAAAATCTTCTTTTAAAGAACTCAAAGAGCTATGGCTAAGATATTGAGTATCAAACATGTTCTAATGGGTGTCTACCAAGTTTGTTCAAATAAAAGCCCTGGGGTCAAAATTGGCCCCGCCCCAGGGGTGTCATTGTTTTTTAACTGTATGTGTATAGTAAAAACTTTAAAAAAATCTTCTTATAAAAAGCCCAATGAGCTAGAGCTTAGATGTTTAGCATGAAACATCTTCTTATGGGTGTCTACCAAGTTTGTGCAAATAAAAGCCCTTGGGTTAAAATTGGCCCTGCAACGTTGTGGGGGGGGGGTGGGGGGCCTATATACAGGTGAGCGATCTCAGGGCCATGATGGCCCTCTTGTTTAAGATTTTTCCCCATGTGGTATCTCAATTTTATAATTGCTGACAATTCTGACATTGTCAGGGCTGTTTAGAAATAGGGCTGTTAGAGAAAAGCAAAGCTGAAATCGATAAATAACTTTAATTTCAAAAGTAATAAAAAGAAGAAAACTTACTTCAATTCATTCAAATTACCAATCACCAAATATCTTCTCTAAATTTTTTGTTTCTGTTTTACAGTCTTAAAAATACAATTCCTTCCATGTGCCTTACTTTTTAGATACAACTAGAGGATGCTTTTAAAAAAAAGCGCATGTCTCCCCCACTGCTGAGAATAACTGTGAATGGAAACAGGAATGGAAATGAAGAAATTGACCAACGGTCACTGTGACCTTGACCTTTGACCTACTGACCCCAAAAACAATAGGGATCATCTGCTCTATAAGACCAATCATCCTATGAAGTTTGAGGGCTGTAGGTCCAAAGGAACTCTAGTTATCATCCGGAAACGAGAAATTGACCAACGGTCACTGTGACCTTGACCTTGAACTACTGACCCCAAAAACAATAGGGATCATCTGCTCAATAAGACCAATCATCCTATGAAGTTTGAGGTCTGTAGGTCTAAAGGAACTCTAGTTATCATCCAGAAAGAGAAATTGACCAACGGTCAGTGTGACCTTGACCTTTGACCTACTGACCCCCAAAAACAATAGGGATCATCAGCTCTATAAGACCAATCATCCTATGAAGTTTGAGGGCTGTAGGTCAAAAGGAACTCTAGTTATCATCCGGAAACGAAAATTGACCAACGGTCACTGTGACCTTGACCTTTGACCTACTGACCCCAAAAACAATAGGGATCATCTGCTCTATAAGACCAATCATCCTATGAAGTTTGAGGGCTGTAGGTCAAAAGGAACTCTAGTTATCATCCGGAAACGAGAAATTGACCAACGGTCACTGTGACCTTGACCTTTGAACTACTGACCCCAAAAAACAATAGGGATCATCTGCTCAATAAGACCAATCATCCTATGAAGTTTGAGGTCTGTAGGTCTAAAGGAACTCTAGTTATCATCCGGAAACGAGAAATTGACCAACGGTCAGTGTGACCTTGACCTTTGACCTACTGACCCCAAAAACAATAGGGATCATCAGCTCTATAAGACCAATCATCCTATGAAGTTTGAGGGCTGTAGGTCAAAAGGAACTCTAGTTATCATCCGGAAACGAGAAATTGACCAACGGTCACTGTGACCTTGACCTTTGAACTACTGACCCCAAAAACAATAGGGATCATCTGCTCAATAAGACCATTCATCCTATGAAGTTTGAGAGCTGTAGGTCAAAAGGAACTCTAGTTATCGTCCGGAAACGAAGAATGGACGGACTGACGGACGGACTGACAGACGGACAGGGCAAAAACAATATGTCTCCCCCCGAGGTGGGGGAGACATAATTAGCAACTTGTTTACACATATATTTTCAATTCTTCACGGATATATACATGAATATATTTATAGATAACATCACACTTGCTTTATAATTACAGTGGTTGTCTCCGGTTGAAGTAAAGGACCTATTTTTCATAAAGCGAGGAAAAGCTTGTATTGAATTCAAAAATGAGAAAGACAGGGATGAAGTGTTTCTATCAAAGAATAATACAGATTGGAGTAAGATTTTTCATTGTTATTTTCTGCTCATTTGGGTACACAGGGCCCAAAGGTGAGTTTTAAGGATCAGGTGATGTCCATCGTTTGTTATCAGTGATCTGTTTCAGTTTTTCCACCTAGTGGGTTACTTAATTGATCCTCCGGCAGGCAAAATTTCTCTGTGTAAGGCTAATATAGTCATAGATCATGATTGAGAAACCATGCAGGATTTGTAGTTGGAGAAATTGGTTATTACTGGTAAATTAACGAGGAAGGCCAGTTAAGTAGATCACGGGGCCCTCAATACATTTTGAGGGAAGTGGGTCGCTACCCTAAGCAGGGGGGATTTCAGTGCATGGGGAACTTTTTCCATTTCCTTTTTGGTGAAATATCAATAAAGTACTACAGAAATAACATTTTTTTGGGTTTTTTAGCTCACCTGAGCATATGCTCAGGGTGAGCTATTAGGATCACTCTTCGTCCGTCGTCTGTCGTCCGTCGTACGTCGTCCATTGTCCGTTCACACTTTTCAAACGACATCTCCTCTGAAACCATAAGGCAGATCATAATGAAACTTCACAGGGATGTTCCTTGTGTGAAGCCTTAACAAAGTTGTTCAAAGAATTCCATTCCATGCAGAACTCTGGTTGCCATGGCAACCAAAAGAAAAAAACTTTAAACATCTTCTTCTAGATAACCCAAAGAGCTAGAGCTTAGATATTTGGCATGAAACATCTTCTAGTGAGTGTCTACCAAGATTGTTCAAATAAAAGCCCTGGGGTCAAAATTGGCCCCGCCCCAGGGGGTCATTGATTTTCCCTTTATGCATATAGTAAAAACTTAAAAAAATCTTCTTTTAAAGAACCCAAAGAGCTAGACCTAAGATATTAAGCATGAAACATCTTCTAATGAGTGTCTACCAAGATTGTTCAAATAAAAGCCCTGGGGTCAAAATTGGCCCCGCCCCAGGGGGTCATTGATTTTCCTTATATACATATAGTAAAAACTTAAAAAAAATCTTCTTTTAAAGAACCCAAAGAGCTAGACCTAAGATATTAAGCATAAAACATCTTCTAATAAGTGTCTACCAAGATTGTTCAAATAAAAGCCCTGGGGTCAAAATTGGCCCCAGGGGGTCATTGATTTTTCTTATATGCATATAGTAAAAACTTAAAAAAATCTTCTTCTACAAAACCCAAAGAGCTAGAGCTTAGATATTTGGCATTAAACATGTTCTAATGAGTGTCTACCAAGTTTGTTCAAATAAAAGCCCTGGGGTCAAAATTGGCCCCGCCCCAGGGGGTCATTGATTTTCCCTATATGCATATAGTAAAAACTTAAAAAAATCTTCTTTTAAAGAACCCAAAGAGCTAGACCTAAGATATTAAGCATGAAAACATCTTCTAATAAGTGTCTACCAAGATTGTTCAAATAAAAGCCCTGGGGTCAAAATTGGCCCCGCCCCAGGGGGTCATTGATTTTTTCTATATGCATATAGTAAAAACTTTAAAAAATCTTCTTCTACAAAACCCAAAGAGCTAGAGCTTAGATATTTGGCATTAAACATGTTCTAATGGATGTCTACCAAGTTTGTTCAAATAAAAGCCCTGGGGTTAAAATTGGCCCGGCCCAGGGGGTCATTGATTTTCCCTATATGCATATAGTAAAAACTTTTAAAAATCTTCTATTAAAGAACCCAAAGAGCTAGGACCTAAGATATTAAGCATGAAACATGTTCTAATAAGTGTCTACCAAGATTGTTCAAATAAAAACCCTGGGGTCAAAATTGGCCCCGCCCCAGGGGGTCATTGATTTTCCCTATATGCATATAGTAAAAACTTTAAAAAATCTTCTTCTAAAAAACCCAAAGAGCTAGAGCTTAGATATTTGGTGTAAAACATGTTCTAATGGATGTCTACCAAGTTTGTTCAAATAAAAGCCCTGGGGTCAAAATTGGCCCCGCCCCAGGGTTCATTGATTTTCCCTATATGCATATAGTAAAACTTAAAAAAATCTTCTCTTAAAGAACCCAAAAAGCTAGAGCTAAGATATTAAGCATGAAACATCTTCTTATCAGTGTCTACCAAGTTTGTTCAAATAAAAGCCCTGGGGTCAAAATTGGCCCCGCCCAGGGGTCATTGATTTTCCCTTTATGCATATAGTAAAAACTTAAAAAAAATTTTTTAAAGAACCAAAGAGCTAGAGCTAAGATATTTTAGCATAAAACATGTTCTAATGGGTGTCTACAAAAATTTGTTCAAATAAAAGCCCTGGGGTCAAAATTGGCCCCGTCCCAGGGGTCATTGATTTTCCCTATATACATAGAGTAAAAAGTTAAAAATCTTCTATTAAAGAACCCAAAGAGCTAGAGCTGAGATATTTAGCATGAAACATGTTCTAATGGATGTCTACCAAGTTTGTTCAAATAAAAGCCCTTGGGTTAAAATTGGCCCTGCCACGGGGGGGGGGGGGGGGGTCAAAAGTCATTGTTATTCATAATTTGTGTATAGTCAAATCTTAACATCATGAAATATCTTCTAATGGGTGTCTTCCAAGTTTGTTCAAGTAAAAGCCCTTTGGTTTAAACTGGCCCGGCCCTGAGGGCCTATGTTCAGGTGAGCGACCCCAGGGCCATCATGGCCCTCTTGTTTTTATACAACTTGCTATTGTGAAAGACTGGGGATGAAAGTTTTCCTGGTGTATCCATACAAATATCAAACTGTGAAATGGAAAACAGTGCAGACATACAATATTCCCAGTGTTGCATCTAGGCCGCGCGATTTGCGCATAATTTTTTGCAGATTGTGCATTTTAATGAAGTCAATGCGCATTTTAATGAAGTCAATGCGCATTTTAATGAAGTCAATGCGCGCCAAGTCGTGCATCTGACGATCTTTTTTATCTTCATTGTATCTTAAACGAGCTGGCTGAACTCTTCAGCCAAAGGTTTGTTTTCACTCACGGTAATGACTAAAATACGTACTAAATCACGTGTAGCAGCCGACTTGGTCATCTCATTTGTGTATTGTAGTATTCCTCAATATTTTATTTTTTTTATTTCCATTGTTGGGCGTACGATAGCTGTCAAAAATGCCTTAATGTAAGATAAATGAATTATTTTCGGTATCTTATATTGTAAGGTAAATGCATGTCCCCCACATTTTTTTCAAATTCCACACATTTGACAATCCCCCATAATTTTGAAATTCTAGATGCAACACTGATTCCGCTAACAAAAAAGCTGCGAAACAGATCCATTTTACATGTCAAAAACAGCTTAACTGTTCATATTTTTTCCGCTGGATTTTATATGTGGGGGACTGCAGCCAAATATCTGCCGCATATTTGGTAGATCAAGGGCCCTGGATCAATTGCCTAGATATTGCATCCATTATATGAGGGATAATCCAAAATTTTTCAGACTTTGTTTATAATTCTGATAAATTTCATGTTTTCTTCATTAAATTTATACTTGCGAAAACATTGATGTTTCATCTATTTAAGATATGACCCCACCTATTGTGCACTATAAGGAAATGTAAAATTGACAACATAGGTCAGTTACATACATGAAATGATACTTGTATGCAAAATTTAAACAAAGAATCTTGCTTGTAGGGTCAAAAATGCTCCCACCCAGGGGATCATTTAGTATTGTAACAATAATTAAGATTAAAAAATTTTTTGGTCAAGTTTCATGAATACATGTAGGTCTCTCTGCTAATCAAAAATTTTATTTTTTGATTGCTCGAATAAATGAGCCATGCCATGACAAAACCAACATAATACAGCATGGATCCAGACCAGCCTGCGCATCTTCGCAGTCTGATCAGGATCCATGCTGTTCGCTATCAGTTTCTCTACTTGCTATAGGGTTTGTAAGCGAACAGCATGGATCCTGATCAGACTGCGCGGATGCACAGGCTGGTCTGGATCCATGCTTGTCACAAACGCATTATGTTGGTTTTGTCATGGCACGGCTCAAATATGTTATTACTGCCAGAGTAGCAGACAATGAGTAGACAGTTGCCAACACACAGTTATTGTAAAAAACAAAAAAGATTTTTAATCCAGCATTGTTTTACATGTTCTAGGAAATTTCGTATTAAATTTTTATGCGGATATAGAATTTGTGAAAATGTAAATTACTCCTGAACAAACAATAATACTGTATATGCATTGCTTTTTAAGAAATGATCAAGCTTTTCTTTTTTCTTTTCAGATGGGAGAGTCGTATATATTTCTGGCTACATAAGGAGAGATGTTTTTATTGACATCAAAACTAAATATGGTAAAGAAACATGAAGTGACCTTTATTTTATGAAATGTTTTCAGGACACTGTTATCATGCCCATTTAAAAGAAAAGGGAAATATTGTTTCAGATGTTCAGTTACTAAACCACTTTGTGAACTTTTTGTTTCATATGTCAGTGAATTATCTAATTCTTTGAGAAATAGACCTTGATTTATTTATGGTGCAATTGTTAGTATGTGCCTGTATATCAAGATCAAAGTCACAGTGACCATTTCTGCCAATTACTCTAATTGATTATATGTGTATCAATGACATCCAAATGAATTAATGATGGTTAGTTTGTATATCTACAACATGTGTATTGTAATATCTGGTCTAACGTATTGTGTATTTATAAGATATTATGACATTTTAAAGTGGAATTGACATTTCATACAAATTTTTATTAGAGCTATTGACATGTACTGAAAGTATACGATAGGTTAATTGTCAAAATATCACATAATGAAGGGATTTTTCTGTCATCGGTTGAGAAAAGATTTTTAGAGAGATACTAACTGTAAATAAGTTTAAAAATATTTTATCCAGTGTTTTAATGTTGGGGGACAGGGGACATGGGGTGGGGGGGGAGAGAAAAAATAGTGATGCTCATCAACATGTACCATTACATTATCATTTTCTCTGTTTTTCAAAATGGTTACTTATTCATACTACAGGTTAAAGAGAATGGCAAGGGGGCAGATTTAACATTTATAAAATTAATGTGATATTTTCAGGAGCATTTTAAGTGATCAACCTCCGCATTATTGCATGTATAAGTAGATTGTTTTCGCCTGGCTTTAATAACAAGGTAAATGGCTTAGATCAAGAGATGAGTTATTCATACTTTGCTTACCAAGTAAGAAGTTAGTTTTCATTCAGATGAGCAGTATACTGGCATTGACTTTCTTGAAATTTCCTAATTATAGTCATAAAGGGTTAAAGGCACTTTATGTCTCAGATATTAATAAATTTTACTTCTTCAGAAAGGGCAAGTAGGAGTTTTATAAGGTTTAATTAATAATTTTAGAGTATTTTAGATGCTTGTTACCTGAAGAAAATTGAGCTAATGTGAAATTATTTGTCATATAAGTATTAAAATATAAACAAAGTAGTATTTTGATTCGATATAAAATACTTAATTAGTATAACTGTACTAATTGCCAAAAAAGAAAAGAAAAAGATGCTAAAGTTTTTTTTTGAAAATATCTGGGGATAATGGGCCTTTAACCCTTCCCCCTATGAGCATATTGTGAAAAATGGCCGTTTTCACTGAAAAGCCTCCTGTTACAAGTTCAAACTGCTATGAAACTATGAAAAATGCTTCAATACTAATCAAACTTGGCACAAATGTTGACTGGACCATTGCCTTTGTAACGACATGCTCAGTCTCAAATTTCCTGTTACCATGGCAACGAGGGGACATCTCAAAATTGCCAAAAATCACTATTTTGCCTCGATTTTTTCCATCAAAATTTATTTCAAAGGGCTGCAACTTCTCAAGGGATTGAGATAGAGTCAAAGGCTTTTCAGCGTTGGTTAAACGTTACATTATGATCGACCTGGGGTCATTTTTAGCCTCTCACAAGTCCAAAAATTTTCTTGGCGATGAGAGGGACTCCGCCCCCCTTCAAACCCCCCTAACAGAAGGGGGCACATCCCCCTTCTGGCAACCCCCTGATGTATCTTTTGGATGGGGGGCGGCGCCGAAAAAGTGCTCAATTTTTTTGGCAACATTTCTCAAACGAAAACTTATGTTTGGGGCCCAAATAGGACATTTTTTCACTATTTGAGGCCCAAAAAAATGGGGGGGGGGGGTCGAAAGTGCGTTGTTTCGCGTATATATGTGGTAAAGGGTTAAGAGTAATGGGTGTACATAGAAGTTATCTTTTGTTGCAAGTTATTTGAATGACCTCTGTTTCTTAAAGGAGGTAGTATATATGTTGCATGCTCAAGATTTTTTTTTATTGTTAAAGAGTATGATAAGAAATTTATGGATAATTTTCCATATTTGAGCCGCGCCATGACACAACCAATGTAATGCATTTGCGATCAGCATGGATCCCGACCAGCTTGCGCATCAGCGCAGTCTGATCAGGATCCATGCTGTTTGCTATCAGTTTCTCTACTTGTAATAGGGTTTGTAAGCAAACAGCATGGATCCTGATCAGACTGTGCGGAAGCGCAGGCTGGTCTGGATTCATGCTGTTTGCAAACGCATTAGGTTGGTTTGTCATGGCGCTGCATATTTGTTTTTTAATCTATTGAAGATTGAATAAAAGCTTGTAACAAATGAAATAATTATAAAACATAATACATAAAATTTACATACAAAATGCATGATATTGTATATAAAACAACAACAAAAATAGACATTTACAAAATAAGAATTGTAGTGAAAATTGTTTTGTTAATATTATAAATATATGCATATAGTTTTATTGAAATAATTTCTTGTGAAAAGAAATAAACGTTTGTAAAAGTTACCATTTGAATTATTGTTTGTTTTAAAATAAATAAACATTTGTAAAAGTTACCACTTTAATTGTTTTTTCAAAAGCAATTCATCTTTTGAAAGTGACTTGAGGAGTAGAATGCTGCAAGAATGTCAGTTAAATCCACTTTACCTGCTTGAAATAGAAGTGATTAGCCTGCCTTCAGTGGAACAAAATACTTTAATACACCCAAATATAGCAATATTAATTTTTGTTTGTATAAAATAAAGATTATAATGAGAAAATGAATTAATATTTGAGCCGTGCCATGACAAAACCAACAAACTGGGTTTGTGACCAGCATGGATTCAGACCAGCCTGCGCATCCGCGCAGTCTGATCAGGATCCATGCTGTTCGCTATCAGTTTGTAATAGAGTTGGTAAGCGAACAGCATGGATCCTGATCAGGATGCGCAGGCTGGTCTGGATCCATGCTGGTCGCAAACACACTATGTTGGTTTTGTCGTGACGTAGCTCATTTATAAAATAATATGACTAAAACGTCTATAACTTCCATTCATTCCGTTGAAATGGGCAGTTGAGATGTTGTTAGAAAATAAACTATGATCTAGGTCCATTAATGAAAATACTTGCAATTAAAGATAAAGATATGATAATATTTGTTGTCTACATTTAAAGATCCTGTATGTTGTAATTGTGGTTGTATACCACACTTAAGTGAAATTATATATATATATATATATATTTACAATTTTTAAACATTGAAGAATATGTAAAATATGTACTGCAAATATTTGTTCATATTATAATTATGTAATCATTAAAATACATTATATTAATTCATTTCTTATTGAGACTTTATATAGAAACAAAAAATTTATTACCTCTCTTTATTTACATGAAATGTTAAATTCGGTAATATCTTTATAAATAATGGTTTTTGGAACTTACAAAATTGATCAATCTTAATTTGAGCATCATATTTATGATATAAAACTATAAATAATTGTGTTACAGGATCTTTAATTTTTTAGGGTACAATTTTATTAAAATTTCATACAAGTGTCCATGTATTATTTTTTTTAAATTAAATATATTACAACATTAATGGAGTATACTGTATTTGGGTATAATTTGGTTCAAAACACAATGATAGGAAAATGTATATTTTGGTATGTTAGATTATACCTTAGCGAAAGTGTAAATTGTTTTCATAATAAAACATTTATTTTTAGTATATTTAGGCAATATTTGGGTGTATTTAGGTATATTTGGCTATTTCATGCTGCCCCCCCCCCCCCCCCTTAAGTATTTTGTTTTGTCATTTTAAGCTCCATTTTTCATAGAAAAGAAAAGAAGAAGTATTGTCATGACTCACTCGTTGTCAGTTAACCCTTTTTAGATAATTTTATGTCTGTGGTCATTAACTTAAATACAAATAAAGCTGTAACATTGAAACTTGATGTGTCGATACACCAGGATGAGTTCTGTCACACTTAAGGTGACAAGGTCACTTTAACAGATAATAGGTTGTGGTCTCTTAAAACTTGGAATACTTGTTTCCTGCATTTCTGAAGGATAAATAACCCTAGAAAGCATTCTTGCTCAATTATCTCCCTTTCAATTTTTAAAAAAAAAAATATATTTTCATAATTTGCTCAAAAACCATCACGGATATAACTTGAAGAATTTGTTGAATATCAAGGCAAAAATTTCGCAATTTACCAGAATTATGCCCCGCACCCTTCTACTTGCTTTCATCATAATACCAGCCAGACAGCTATTGTTAAAACTCCAAGTTTTGCTCTCGACATTATAATGACCCTAGTGGACTCGTACCTTGGAAACAGTCTGGACGGGAATATTTTCAGGATTTTCAAACTTTATCACATAGTTTCATACGTTTTTTTTGAACAGGAGACTTTTTAATATAATTTCAAAGCAGGCCCAACAGCAAATATTTCACAATATATCGAACAGAAGAATTTTTAATAATGGGACAAATTCACCTGTGCAGAGTTAGTAAAGGTGCGAGTTGACTGTTTACCTTGCCAAAATGTGCGGGGATAACTTTGCCAAGGCAGTGGCAGTTTTAGTTCTCCAGGAAGTATAGTAAAAACAGTAACAAATAGTTATAACACACAAAGTTCAGCTTACACAAGTGCTTTGTCTCGAGCCCTTAACTATTAGTAGCGCAGCATATTCAACCACAACGCTTTAGTATGGTGTTTTCTGACGAAACGAACCCTTCGTAGTTAATTCATACGCATCAAAACTCCAAACCGGTGTTAAAGTGCCGATAAACATCACTAAGACTTATATCATTTGTTAATTGTGCCTTAAAAGTATTTTTTTTATCGCAAACATGTGATGAATGATGAATTTAAAACATATTAAATGTTTATAACATGAAATTAGTAGCGCTTAAGTGAAATAATTTGTAATAAAATTTCTAAAATATACACATCGCCAATCCCAGATTATCGTAAAAGTTTTTTCTTGGTTTCTGTTGTTTCTTGATCGTTGAAAAAATTATTAGCCATAGGTCAAGAGATAATTATTCGACTGTTCCTAATTATCACATAATTGATTCCTTGCCATCATCAAGTCTTGTTGATTTCTGTAAATCATGAAAATAATTTTAAAAAATCGACAGAGTGTGAGAAAGTCCTATCGACAATCTCATTTTATTTTTTATTTATAAACAAAACTCATGGCCCTTAAGGGCACAAGAGTGAACAATCAACAAAACAAAAAATAATAATACAAACATGGCATGGAGTAAATAAGTAAATAAGGAAGATGACTTATTGAAATTTCAGCATTATAGCTTTGACAAAAATGGCTAGATTAAATAAAGTATTTCTGTTGTCGCTACATATTAGAGCCTGAAAATTTAAAATACTAGGAAACCTTGAATAATAATTACTGATATACCTGTGTCTTTCATGATTAAAATAAGTACATTTAAAAATATAGTGAAATTCATCACCTATTTCTTGCTTTCAATTATCAAGTTTTATGTTAGAGGAAGATGTACGTAGCCTATCCAGAGACTTTATAGCTGTATGACCTACCGGATTAATACTAAAGGAATAAGCGCAGGCCCCTTAGTAAAACGATTTCCTAGATTTTAGGGATTTTAATGTGTAACTGAAGGAATTCAAATCCACAGTGAAGAGTATTGAAAAGATTCGAACCTATGCACACATATGCATGTTCGAGAAATAAAAAAAATAAATTTATTTAATCACTTTACATTCTATCAATATTTTACTTTTATTGATTTTCATACACAAGATTTGAGTATTTCTCATACATGCACCAGAAATTTTGAAATGTAATTAGAACGTTAATTTCAGACAATTTTGATTATTGTAAAAATGGTTATAAGCTTTAGTTTTCTGCCTATATCGAAATAAAAGTGTAATCATGTACCATGCTGGATGACGCCATACTGTTTGACATAGATTTTTCGATAGTATAGCTTCGCAATGACATCCATTTTGATCTTTGCTTTCTAAACGCCTTCTGAATCTGTAAAATCGAAGTATGAATGAATAATTAGTGTGAAACAACATGGATTTCATACCGGGTATACATCCTCAACAACATGTTGTACCTATATATTCAACCTCAAATGGATGTAAAATGAACTTCAATTTGGCTGATAGTAAGTTTGCCCGAAATTGGTATAATAACATTAAGATTCTCGTTAAAGAAAGACCCACTTTTCTATTCGAGCGTTAAGGACTTAAGGCACGAACAAGCATCTCGGTAAATCACCGAACTTGCGCGTGCTAGCTACATAGTTTGCGGTCAAATACTTATAAAGCTAAAATATACAATATTCGCTTAACTAGGTCTTTCAAATAGAGGCTGCTCGACAAAGATTACCTTTTCTGCAAGGCATTCGATCTACTTATTTCCCAGGACATATACTGTACATGTAACTGTTTTTGAAATAATTATTTCACCGTTTCTTGTATTTTACTTCTGTTTTTGAATGTAAGAAAATTGTAAAAGCTTCGTCGAGTTACGGTGTTGAAAGATATATATTGAGGACATGTTATTTGGTGGATATGGATTATTCGTTTACAATAGGTTTTGCACGAAAACTAGTTACACAAATGATGCAAAAACTAGTACAAAGCCATTTTTAACAGAATAAAATATATCTAACGCGAAAAGGTGAACACGCTTGGTACATGGTCCTTCGGAATCCAATATATATGACGTGAAAATGCATACGTTATTGTAGACTCTATCTTAAAATTAAAAAAAAAAAACAATAAAAAAAAAAAAAAAAAAAAGAAACAATAAAAAAAATAAAAAAACCTTTCACACAGAACCAGTGTGATTTAACTTATAAATCTCCGATATATTTTAAAATCTCGTCGACAATTTTTTATAAAGATTCTACCTACAACCACTTCAAATACATACCTTTTTGTTCATTGCACAGTGAAATACGAATATTAGTACTCCCTGAAAACAAATGTAAAGCCAATTTAATATTATTATTATTTTTACGAAATATGGCATTCATATAACAATCTTTTTTATTGTAGTAAATTAGAGTCATATGTCGAAGAAAAATTGACTGATTCAAATACATGAAGAGCTTGTTTGTTTAAAATTCTTTCGACATAGGAAAAATAGTTTTTGAAACTGTTCATGTATAAAATACAATTAATAGAGTCAGAGTCATGACTGCAAAAAAATATTTTTTTGGATAACATAAATATCAACTGAACTTGAGACCAGTATTCTCAATTTCTACCTTCACATCATTGTCTTCACACGTAATATTGCATTTTAAACACCTGTTCGTGGTTATCAGAAATATATAGAGTCTGGTCAGATTGAGCAAAGGTATAAAAATGCAACCGGATCTGGTCAGGCTGCAAGCTTGCTTAGCTTTGTACTGGTTGTAATAAAATGTCAGTTGACATTGATTGCACGGTACCTGCGTGCTGTTAAATAAAGCGAACAGATACTGGAACACAACCGTGTCTTCGTTGACAGAAAAAACTCCGAGAACCCACGTGATTCCCATGATTGGCATTAGGATCGCAATGCTCCGTGCACCAGCCCTGATGAATAGAATTAAGGAAAACTAGTCTAATGACATTGTAATTGTAGTCGATCAATGTTTATTTATATACGAGTATTGTATTTATTTATGCTTGTTTGAATGGTTATACTTAAATTGAACAAAGAACATTTCTCAAAGATATTGACTTAGTTAATAATGTAGGAAGTAGTGACCTATTGATAAATAGTTGGTAATTAAGATATCTGTTTCTCACTCCAGGAATTGTTTGTTCGAGCCCTTCTCGGCACTACCTATATGGCTAGTTCTTGTTAATTATGGAGTGCTGTGTAATGCGCTTCAATTAATGCAGGCGAAAATATATGTCTAAACTTAAGTTATAAACATAACTGAAATAAAACATATGAAACCATTGAAAATAAAAAAGCACGACAGTAAATAGTGAAAATACAGATTGTAATTTTGATAGACTGAAATGATATACGTACACTGCCTTCTCATTTCTTGACTTTTTTGACAGAGCAGAGGTTCCAAACATGGCTCTTATTACCAAGATGATAATCGCCATATTAATCTGTAAGAATACATATTTTTATGAATAATTCCGCAATTTATTAAAAAGAATGGTTTTGTACACGTTATGCATGTACGTTTTGCAAACGTATACCAGAGTACGCCACTTATTATATATAAATGATAAATATTAGATTTTGAAAGTATATTTTCAATATTTGAACATTACGTACGTGATTATATTGGGCGGCTTTTTTTTTTTGGCCCCCTTCTTTTAATTTTACCAACAAAGGCACTATTCAGTCCGTGACAACAATACAATATGAAAAGCGTACAAAATCCATTTTTCCTGCCCATATATTTTTAATGGACGTGCATGTCAGAAAAGCTGCCTGTGTGAAATAGTTTACCTACCAGCATTACAATAAGGGCGGGAACTATGAATGCCCAGATCAAATCCGACTTAGCAGACAGCCAGCATCTGAATTAAAATATCAAAATATTTTATTAGCAAGATTTGAAAACCATTTAGCTTAAATTCCAGCTTGAATTGACCAGTTTTAATTAACAACTTCGATTGTGTTTATTCATCAAATAAAAAGCATTATAATTTTGGTGTTCTTCTGTAGTATCCAAAGAGTTACTCCCTAAGCTTGTAAAACCTGTATGTCTGCAGATGAGCGAAAATATTTCAAGGAAACGAAACTTGAGAAAAATGTTCTAGGGTTTTCAGAAAAGTAAAAAGATTCAAGTTACATAGTATGTGCGATTAATAACTGAATTTGTAGTATTTTATAGCAATATATCATATCATATATTATCGTAATATATCATATTTATACTGCGTGACTAACGCAGTAAAGGCTATTATTGCATATTGATATCTTATTGGTTATTTTCTTGGATTGCTAGTGTCGTTTGAAAGGTGCGCATGTAGACCACGTTCTTTGTTCACTTCACAACCTTTTTTCTTTTAAATACATTTTCAAAATTTCTTAAAACTTTCCATTTATTTTAAGCAATGCTTACAAACCTATTTCAATGGCATATTGAAAACGACGGGGAAAGTTAGGATTTAAATCTTAAATTTGACTCAAAGTATAACAAAATCATATGTCCCATCATAGATAATTGTGATTTCACTCCATCGTAAAGTGTATCATTACGATGCTTTTAATTGTCAACAAAATATGTCTGCAACACTGAAAACTTAAACAAAAAAAAAAAAAAAAAAAAAAAGAAAAAAAAAAAAAAAAAAAAAAAAAAAAAAAAAAGAATTCTAATATATTCGTAATCTCTTATCAGAGTCAATCAGGTAAAACTAAAATTTAAGTATACATGGTATAATACGTGAAAACACTTATACAATACTTTTGATTGATAAAACGTTTTTTAAATATATTATTAAAAAAAATATTATCACCATTACATTCTATTTTCCAAATACACCTGAGAGCCCTCAACATCAATTCGTCAGTCGAGAAAGCATATACATTTTTATATTGATCATGTATTTGTTTGAAAAGCCATATTTAAATATACTAATCAATCGAATAAACAGTTTGTATGTTTGGTGCGTAGAAACACGCAAAAAAAAAATAATAATAAAAAAAAAATTAAACAAAATAAATTGTGACATCTCGCAATATACATTTATGATACAATGATCGGAAGTAAAAAGAACCTGTACATTGTAACACCTATTTTGTAATTCCCCATTTGATACGCCATTTAATTTATTACTGAATAAGAAGATAACGACGGGATCCGTTAATTTGTTCTGTTTTAATTAATTACAGCGGTCAATATTTTACATGTACCTATAGTGTAGGTCTGCAGTAGATGATAATTAGTGGTTCTATGTCTAAAGCGTGATCTTAATAATAGCACAGAGTTAATTTATAGCACAGAGCAAGCTGCAATGGATGTTTGTGATTTTTTATTTATAACATGAACAAGGAGAGTGGTTGCTAGTGATTAGGGTGTCCCACTCTCAAATTCGAGGCCTACTCGGTTAATAACCGTGTTTTCTTTTTTTCCTCTTATTATGGCACAAAAACTGATAAATTCTAGGAAACGGAATCGAAAGCTTTTGATAACGGTTACATGAACAGAGGAATAGGTATGTTTGCGCTAAACTAATTAAAACTGTTTCTTCACATAAAAGACCATGAAATATAAATTTTCAGAATAATTCTTTTCCCCAAACTTAACGCAACTCCTTATCAATCCGTGTACTCGCATTTGTAACTATTTGAAACAAAACTGGTCAAATAAGAAAAAAAGAAAACAGTCCAATGTAATGGTACCTAACTATGATACGAGCAACAACACTGCCTACTGTGCTTTATCAAAGCACATAAAATATGATAATCCGTTTTACTTTGAGTTTTACTTATAAGGCTTCAGTCTGCTTACCTATTTTTTGCATTGATATAAATTTATATGCAAACAAAGGCTCAAATAGTTGTCCTGTACTTTGGCAAAAATGCCCCAAGGTAAATATATTTGAAAACAGTGTGAAATGTATAGTATATGCATATAAAACGTTTTTGAAACGTTCATGTTTTCAAAATTAAAGTAATTCTGTTGTATGCATAGAATGAAAAGTAGAAAATACTTTAAAGTCAAAATTTTCAAAATAGTTATATAAGATCTTTTAAAAATTCCATAGCAGACTTTAAAAGACGTTAACTGATAACCCGCTTGGTTTGCATAAATATTGTCGTATATAAACCAATTCAATGCATATCTGTGAAAATTAGCCTCCTTATCGATAGCAATAAGGCAATGGCATATTTTGTTAAGTCTGCCCTTGAATAAAAGGGCGGACAACTATTTGTCCCTTTCTCGTAAGAGAAGGGGAATCTTGTGATGCGTGTATGTGGTCGCACGGTCACTTTCCATAAAATATGTCCTCGATGCATGTATGTGGTCGCATGGTCGAAAATTTCTAATATAATGACAACATATTCAAATGTGTCATTATATCGAACAGTCTTGCAGTCTTCTATATGTTATTAAAATTCTTGTGAAATCGTTATATGTAACGTTTAAAGTCTAACAACGACATCGTAACTTGTCTTTAAGAGTACCATTATTTTAACACACTCTATTTTAAGCGCAATGGTAGCCTCCCTTTGAACTGTTTCACCATTTGCAACGTTATCAGGGGAGTTCACTCTTAATTGACTATATTTTCAGGACAACAGTAACCTCCCTTTGAATTCAAACGCCACTTTTATTGCTATCAGGGGAGGTCACCTAACCGACTATAGTTTGAGGGTAATAGTAACCTCCCTTTGAATCCTGACGCCATTTGTAATACTATCAAGGGAGGTTACTCTAACCGACTATAGTTTGAGGGCAACAGTAACCTCCCTTTGAACCCTGACGCCATTTGTAATGCTATCAGGGGAGGTCACTCTAACTGACTATAGTTTGAGGGTAACAGTAACCTCCCTTTTCACCCTGACGCCATTTTTAATGCTATCAAGGGAGGTCACTCTAACCGACTATATTTTGAGGGCAACTGTAATCTCCCTTTGAACCCTGACGCCATTTGTAATGCTATCAGGGGAGGTCACTCTAACCGACAATAGTTTGAGTGTACAAGTAACTTCCCTTTGAATTCTGACGCCATTTGTAATGTTATCAGGGGAGTTCACTCTAACCGACGATAGGTTGAGCTGGCAACAGTTATCTCCCTTTGAACCTGAAGCCATTTGTTATGCTGTCAGGGGAGGTCACTCTTACCGACAATAGTTTGAGGGTACAAGTATCTTCCCTTTGAATTCTTGACGCCATTTGTAATGCTATCAGGGGAGGTCACTCTAACCGACTATAGTTTTGAGTGTACAAGTAACTTTCCCTTTGAATATCTGACGCCATTTGTAATGTTATCAGGGGAGTTCACTCTAACCGACTATAAGTTGAGGGCAACAGTTATCTCCCTTTGAACCTGACGCCATTTGTAATGCTGTCAGGGGAGGTCACTCTTACCGACAATAGTTTGAGGGTACAAGTATCTTCCCTTTGAATTCTGACGCCATTTGTAATGTTATCAGGGGAGATCACTCTAACAGACTATAGTTTGAGGGCAACAGTAAACCTCCCTTTGAACCCCTGACGCCATTTGTAATGCTTCAGGGCTGAGGTCCCTCTAACCGACAATAGTTTGAGGGATACAAGTAACTTCCCTTTGAATTCTGACGCCATTTGTAATGTTATCAGGGGAGGTCACTCTAATTTACTATATTTTGAGGGCAACAGTAACCTCCCTTTGATATTTTGAGGACATCAGTAACCTTCCTTTAAACCCTGAACCTTTTGCAATTTTATCGGGGGAGTTCACTCAAACCCGGGACAAATATTTTAGAGAAAACAATTCCCTTTCCCATTAAATCCTGGGGAAAACCCAAAACCCGTTTTTCCCAAACCCAATTTCATTGACATTCAGATGTTCTATTCAATTTATATTCTACATACTCGTATTAACAAAATGGTAAGAATCATGTGCTTTAATATTATATAAATATATAAACGTACTGTTTTGAAGAATGTAAAATATTACCACAAGAAAAGAAAACTAAGAGCCTTTCAGAAGTTGAATTGATTGATTGATGTAGAATAAAATGTGACATTAAGCTCCCCAACTGGAGCTTACTGAATTTCGATGGAATTAGTTACACTACCCCCCTCCCCGCGTTCGTCTAATAATGCACCAAGGTTTATGACAATATAGTATTACATTCTACTCACCCCTACCCCGCCAAACACATAAATAAATTCAAAAAAAAAAAAGTGCTGAAATTGAAATAAAAACTTATGATGAATTAGATGAAAATAATATAAAACAACTGAGAAAAAATAGAAAAAAAAAACAACAATAAAAAGCATGCATTACGAGTTTTCGTCCCCATATCCATCCATCGCCACCGACCCCATAGATATTGCCACAATTATGACCGGTATTGCTGAAATATTAACAAAAATAGTCGTTATTAAATAAGATCTGAAATTGTTACATCCGGGTAAACGTCCACGGATTGAGAAACTAGATTTATTATAGATAAATAAGCATTTGAAAGTAACTCTTTTTTCTTTTTGGGATAAATTGTTTCAAATTTTGAAAAAAATAACCCCCGGGCACTTTTTTTTTTTCAGCAGATTCATTAAAACCCTGTCCCGGTCCCTTGATAGAAGAATAAGAGCAAAATTTGGTTAAAGCAGAAAGATTTTAAAAAAAAACTTTTTCTAATATGCTTGGAAATAAACAAATAGCAAAAATTCCCAATTTTTTCCCTTGATGTTAACCTCTTCAATATAAAAATTTATAAGGGTCCCTTTTTTCAAAATTATATAAAATTTGGTTATAAATATAAATGAGCAATCGACAGAAAACTTTAACACGTATATATATTTTTAGGGTTGCACCCCCTTTGGGTTATTTCACCGTACAAACCGGCAATCAGAAGGGGTTATGCATTTTTGGGTTTTAAAAGGGGAAAATCACGTTTTGGCGAGCAGAAAAATTTTCCCCGGCTTTAAACGAAGAACCCCATAAGATATGCCAAAGGGGGAAAAAACGGCTTTTAGCTGTACAGGGCCTCCCTGTAAAAATATTACCAATTTGATACCCCTTCAATATTAATTGTCATGGGTGGGTTATTAAAAATTAAAAAAAAATAAATTTAACTACAACAATGGGTAACAGTTTTTCAAAGATTTCATAGATCCCTTTTCAGACCTTTCATTTTTTAACCATTGACATTTGTTAACAAATAGTTTGTGGTGAAATTCTTACTGAAGTGCACTAATCTGGTAATTTGAATCAGAAAGGATAGGGATTTTATAAAGATCTACTAATTTTTCATAATATGTATATACAAGAAGGTTAGAAACTAAACGAATCGTTTATTTAGAAATCTTTGGCAATTTATAAAGCATAATTATGACGAAAAACAGACATAAAATATACAATGCGATATGTAGATATACGTGATAAAATGCTTGTGAACTGACCTTATTTTCTGTCTGGTTTACTCCGGCTAGAAATATGATGTATGCTACAAACAAGACACAGGCCAGATGCATGTTGAGAACAGTTTTGTCCGATTTCAATACTCTGAATAAAATTAACAATCAACTTAATAAAAGCAATTAAGTAGTGATCATGCTGTCAAGATATATGTAAATTAAACTGATTGAAACAATTCAACCTTAATGCTAACTGATGAAATATTGAAATTTAAAAAAACTGTGGAGACCAACAGCGTTATAATCACGTAAGGAAACATCAAAAAATTGCAACATACCTCCAAAAGTAAGCATGGACAACGATAGTTATAAATAAACATATCATTGACAGAATACAGCCTACCAATGATATAGCACTCAATGCTGGATGATCTATCTGATAAGGAAACAAAATAAAAGCCGCGTCATGACAAAACCAACATAATGCGTTTGCGACCAGCATGGATCCAGACCAGCCTGCGCATCCGCGCAGTCTGATCAGGATCCATGCTGTTCGCTGTAAGTTTCTGTACTTGTTATAGGGTTTGTTAGCGAACAGCATGAATCCTGATCAGACTGCACGGAATGCACAGGCTGGTCTGGATCCATGCTGGTCGCAAACGCATTATGTTGGTTTTGTCATGGGCGCGCCTCAAAATATTATATGGCCCCACAGTTTTAATTTTTTTTCCAGATCATTTAACAAACATATTTTTTCTTTTAATATCATGAATAATGCGGGAAGCTATTAAAATTATAACGTTATAGTCTATAATTTCATAAATTAACAAGTGATTTGTTGAGATAATTTTATTTAAAAAAAAAAACTAATAAAAAAACCCATAAAATTACTGATGACGGTTTGAACAAATATTTAATAAGAATATATGAATACATTATTTGTACACTATGTAGATGAATCTGATGCTCACTGGAGAAACTATAAAAAATGGCAGATGTGTTTCTTACCGGTTTGATTTTGACATTGCAAAGTGATGCTTAGTTATAAAAGATTATACATACCTTTGCAGACGATGGACTCATAAGTACGGCAAAATTAGTCAAATGATTACACTTGCACACGACTGTTTTCGTTTTCTTGTCGAATTTCACCAACCAACATCCGTTTGTTGACCAGCCACCTTCAGAACTACATAGGCAAGAAATAGAAAGAATAGAAAGATTTTTGTTTTCTCTCATCGTCAACCACTTATTGCCTACAGGGACACCTTAAGTTGGAAAAGATGATATTCAAGATTAATCTAAAGCTATATAATGAAGCTGTCAAGACCTTTTATATACACTTTCGAAGAAATATGAATTGTATATTGATTATTTTTTTATCCCCTTTTGCCTTTTTTCCAAAAATGAACACAAAGGTTTTTCCAAAAAGGGCCCTTTGGAAAAAAAATTTTACATAAAATATGTAAAATTTTGGTTTTAAAATGTTTTTTCATGCTGATTTTAAAAATTCAAAATGTTAGACTCACTCCCCTTTACAAAATTACGATCGTCCAATTAATTATAAGACCTTTTGAAAGAATAGATAATCCACTTTCCGAAAAAAAACCCCACAACTATTTCAAATAAGAACCATATTATGTTTCCTCTCTTTATTTGTTAATCTTGTATTTACGATTAATTTTCAGAATTTGATCAAAATGTGATTTTAAGATGTTTTTAATTAAAATACATTCACGTATTCTATCAAGGAACATCAACTTACGTCGTACAATTGAAACGTAATCTCTACTGGTCTTTCTAAATTTCCTCCGACTTTCGGAAAATATGAAAATGACATCACCGGTGCATTCAACTTTTCACCTCTGTTGGTGCTGATGACAGAACAGGTACAAAATTCAATATACGAGCCGCGTCACAACAAAACCAACATAGTGCGTTTGCGACCAGCATGGATCCAGACCTGCCTGCGCATCCGCGCAGTTCTGATCAGGATCCATGCTGTTCGCTATCAGTGTCACTACTTTTGTAATAGGGTTGGTAAGCGACCAGCATGGTTCCTGATCAGACTGCGCGGTGAAGCGCAGGCTGAGTCTGGATCCATGCTGGTCGCAAATCCATTATGTTGGTTTTGTCATGACACGGCTCAATTATTTTGAATTAGCTTGTTTACAGAAGAATGTACAATAGCAGTTAAATAATAAAGTAGTGTTCCTCAACGATATGTTTTCCTTTTTGTATTTAAGAAGTAAAATTTAAAGCAAATAGCTACTTTTGTTAACTATATCAGCATTGTCTATTTAATATTAGATTTATTTTACAATGTTACAATGATTTTTTTTTGGTTTATATATTTTATTGTATATTTGTACATGACAAATTAACACAATTAACTATCATTATCTTAAGCATAAATACTGTGTACATACAAAAGAGTTGGAGCAAAAGTTATATCGAGATTATCTAGGACCTTTCCCTACAAATGTTTGCAAAAGCAGTTTAAGAAACATAGATTGCATTCTTAACGATAATCTTATTAATTCGTGTAATTGATGTAAAACGTTCCATTTGGAATATAACTGGTGCCAAAGTGTCATCACTTTTAGTTTAAGCAGATTAAAAAGTTATAAGACTAGTTAAGAAATGAATATGTACCTGTTGCCAGCCAATGTTGAGGGAAGTATCTTCGAAAGGTTTCTGTACATAACACTACTATATGACTTTGAATCTGTTAAGTATACAATTACATAGCTAATCAAATAAAAGAACAACAAAATAGTATGTCCCTTTTGGATTATCTACACAAATATACAATGTTTAAAAAATAATTCAGTTGAATTTATTTATCTTTGCATACAAGAGTTAAGCATTAACTTTAAATAATTTTACTATTTACTTTCACGACATGCAATCTGTATTTTATCCGACGTTTTCTCCGCCCATTTGGGTACATCACTATCCCTTCTATCGGGAAACTGCATTTCTGTTCCATCGCAGGCATTTGTTGAACCTACTTTGAGAACTGAAGAGAAGAGGATCATTATTATTGAGCCATAACATTATATACTAGTAAATGATCATTGATTTCTTGTATAAGTATAATTGCTTCAAAATAGGACTATGCTAGATTACACGATTACTACTAATATATAGAATAATTTCAGATGAATGTATGCTTTTCTTTACTTCATAAAGATCCTGTAACTCATTTTTTATGGTTTTATATCATAAATATCACAGGCAATCGGTGCGTGGCTTGGATAGTATACATGTACATGACCACGCCCACTTATTTTTTATACATATTTTTTTCACTAATAAAATATTTTTCATTCAAAATGTTTTTAAAATATCTTATTTTCAATAAATCAACAAAGAAAATTTGTTTTTAAAAAAATTTCATCCATATAACTATAAATATAGCGGATTCCGACCACCAGCCTTATGTTACCTCCCAGATCTTTGTTAATTGTCCACCAATTTTCACCAATAAAGTGCAATCTAGCAGAAATGATTTGCTCTTTCGAAATATGTACAATATTAGACCAGTTGTACGACAAAAGATAGAATTTTAAAGCGAAAAATGCAACTTTTTGTCTAGGTCGGCCATCGCTTTGACCGAGCCGAAAGTAGACGATTTTGAACATAAATCGATCCTTTTCTTAATAAACAAACTAATGTCAGTGCATGCAAAAACAGTTTTGAAACAAAAAAGGCAGCTATAATACTATCGCTTACCGGTCCAAAGTTAATCCAAAACGTCTGCAGGTACGCACTTCAGTAGTTATTTGCACTAACTTTTTAAATTTCCTCACATTACATGTATACAAATGCTGACCCGGATGTACCTGATGCGTACCCCTTTTCGCATTATAAAAATTGAGCGAAGCTGGGTACCAGCGGGAACTGAGCATGCGTACTTTGAATATCCGGATCAGGATTTGTATACATGTACAATGTCGGGAAATTTAAATAGTTAGTAACATAAGGCCTGGTGGTAGGTCCGCTGGCGAACCTTTCTACCTTTACTATATTTAAAGTATATATGGATGAAATTTTTAAAAATAAATTTTCTTTGTTGATTTATTGAAATAAGATATTTTAAAAACATTTTGAATGAAAAATATTTTATTAGTGAAAAAAAAAAAATATGTATAAAAAATAAGTGGGCGTGGTCATGTACATGTATACTATCCAAGCCACGCACCGATTGCCTGTGATAAATATAATACTCAAATGTAGAATTATCAATATTGTAAGTTCCAAAAAGCATTATTTGTAAAGATATTTCCGAATTTACATTTCATTTTAATAAAGGGAGGTAATTAGAAATTTACTTTTTATAAAGTCTACGTCAAATTTTTCAATAAGAAATGAATGCATATATTTTAATGATTACATATGTGGACAAATATTTGCAGTACATGTTTTGCATATTCTTCGATGTTTGAAAATTGTTTTAGAAGCATATATAAAAAATTTCACTAAAATATGGTAACAACCTGAATTACAACATACAGGATCTTTAAAACAAAAAGTCAACTGATGTGCTTACATAAATTAGATTTTGCAACTTTTATCTCCCCTGCAGTTGTACTGACATTAGAAATCTTCTCTGTAAATCGATCGAGGTTTTCAAGGACACTGTCAGCTCCTGAACCTGTCTGATATTAGTTACATATCTACTTTATTAACTATACTCATACAGTAAATACAATTTTTCAAGCAATCTAAGAACACTAAATAAAAAGAAAGGTATCACTTAAAGTTATTTATATATTTATACTTTGAAGTAATCGGCAAGAACAGAATTAATATTTGTTAACTCGGGTATTTTGATTTCAAACTTTGAAACATTGTCTACTTGTTGATGAAGTATTGCTAGTCTAATATGAACAAAATGCATCTCATAAGCTGAGCAACACTCTAAATTACTTGTGGAAAAACTGTTGCTGTTGAAGTATCAGCTAAAAAGAAAATTATTAAATGACCTATCACCATGAAATCACGGCAATACTATATAACGTTTTGCTCTGCCAAGATAAATAAATTTTATATAATACCTCATTAATTTTGCTTGACCAGGAGGATGTTGTAGTCTCGTCTAAAATATTATTTGCTGTTTCTACGAAAAACTGAATAGAAAAAATGCATCTCTTTTAGATACTAGTATATCTACTATTATCCTTCGACAATACATACAACGCCCTGTTTTGTTTTATTCATATTTCATAGGCAATGGATATCTGTATATTAAATGGGTATTTGATTACAAACTTTGAAGTATTGCTAGTCTGCTATGAAGAAAATGCATCTCACACTCATGAGAATATTATATTCTTAACCTAAGTCGTGAAAAAGTCAATTTAAAGGACTTTATTGTATCAACAAAACATCATATTCGTAAAGACTTGAGAACAGTTTTTGTGTGCGCATTATGCTTCAAACATTTTTTGTGTGCGCATTATGCCTCAAACATTTTTTGTGTGCTCATTATGCCTCAAACATTTTTGTCCGTCTGTAGAATGCTATTAAAATGGATTTTAAATAATTTTGACACTTTCGAATGTGAAACAGGTAGCAAATATTAACAAAGTGGTACGAAGTACCAACAAATCACTTTACCTATACTTATCAACGTATGGTCCAGCTATATGGCCAATGAGTAACATTTTAATAACTATATCAGGACATCAAAAATTAAAAAAGATTTTGAAATATATATATATATATATACATATATATATGAGGCTCAATGGTCCATTATTTAATAAAGATTGAATAACAATTTTGTGCCCGATACATCCAATAATGGAAAACCGGTTACTGCGTCAATGGGTAGAGATTAAATCATTTTCTTTTAAAAAAATAGGACAGTATGGACTAAAATAATTACAGTAAACAAATGTTGAAATATAACAACCGTTTATACGGAAGTTATTTGTATTTTCATAGTTTGAGAAAACCAGTTAAACTTAGAGGTACGTGTTGTTTTTTTAGGAAGTTATATTTTTCTTTTAAATGCACAAATTCATTTGCATTCAAACATGAGGAAATATATTTATGACTTACATCAGCGACATTGTTTACGTTATCTATGTTAACCTCAATTACTTCAGTAATTTTAGACATCACTTTGTTCACAGTTTCCAGGTCACCCAACAATAAGCTGTTATTGTTAGTTGTAGATGGAGCTGTCACGTTTACAAGATCGTTCAAAACGCTACTTACGTTTGTGTCTTCCTTCAAAACCTGTATAACAAATATGTATTTGTCTATAAAATTTAGGCAATATAAATGCAATTATAAGCATAAATTACCATTTATTATTCTTTATGAAATGTAAATGAGAAATGAAACTCTAGATGCAAATGAGAATTATCTTCATAGCCATGATGCAATGCCAACTTTTGTCTTTGGATTCTATCAACATTTAAAGTCGTATTTAAATGTGAATAGATTTTATTATATACATTTTGTCCTTTCTTTCTTTGAAAAAAAGTTTAAATTTCGCAACTTATACATTTTTTAACTTAATGAAATGTCATACTTACCTTTTCCATAATTTTAGATATAGCAGCGTTTGTACAATTATAAACGGGTTCCAAATATTCAGCATTCAGATTGCGAATCGTTTTTTCTCCAAAAATAAGTGAACTTTTTCGTCTGTTTTAATATCATTGTTATTAATAAAGAAAACAGGAAATTTTTTTACAATTTTTGATATTTAATTAATATTAATATATTTTACCTATCCTTTAACTGCTAAAAAAACTGTTATACCATCCAAAATCGCCCCTTCCAGGGGGTATATTTTTTTTTTGACATTGAAATGATTTTGAATTTTGAAATAAAAATTTTTGGATATGGTGGGAAAATCTTTTTTTCATCCCTATGTTCATTTTCTTCATTAAATTTTATTTCATTTTAATTTTTTCTATTGCTTTTTTCCTTTTCGGGGGACCACCCTTTTTCCAGATTTGTTTTAAAAACGCATATCATATGCGCTAAGAGAAATTGATTCATCTGCCTGTTTTAGCCAGTACCTGTCGTTCTTAGAAATGCCCAAGGCAAACCCACTATAGATTATTGCGATAGTTTACTTCAAATAGCCTGTTGTTAGTATATGAATTTCAAAATCATAATAATGAAGTTGTGCCAAAACGGATACAGCCTTGTAAGATTGCACTCTTGTGCTTCTTGGCATTGTGCTTATCAGCACGATTGTAACCTAGCTGAATATGCCTGTCATTAATGCATCCTCCTTTTAAAGAATTGATAGCATACCTTTGTACCCGTCCGGACATGTAGAAAATGTATATTTTCCTGGGCTTCCTCTTTTCCATTCTTTATTTCGGTAATCTAAATCAGCTGGACACTCTTTAACTGAAAATTGAACAGTGTACAATCAAAAATGTTTATTTCTATATCGACCATGGTTTTCGAAATCAACCTTGTTTTTGTATAGATATACACTTTTGGACATTTTTCTTTTCTTTCTAGAATTTTATTCCTCAAGCATTCAATGGAAAGCGAAGTTTTAAGAAATACTTGCAAGAAAATTGTGCTGTTTATTATAAAATATAGCATTGCCATGAATCATCGATTTTGCACTATTATCTATTTATATGAACGCCGCCTTTCCTTGTTGATCTTGTTTATCATATTTTACGCAGATGAATACCCTAGATACATTTATATCTTCATTTATGTTTTAAACATAAACAATAAAACGTAGATTTTGAAATAGATTTAAGATATGTTAACTTCACCCGTCGCGTGTTAACAAATACCGATGACAGCTAGGACCTGTGAAACAAACTTCCCTGTTCTATTTTGATTTTTGATAGATAAACAAGATAATTCATAAAAATCATCACAAAATTTCATAAAATCAGTTGAATACTAACATTTAACCAAAACGATAAGTTTTGTATGAAATTTATTGTTATCCTGATCTGTTACTTTAATAGTGACCAAACAGGACGGATATTCTTCTAAAATTGCAGACTTCAGAAAAAATGATCCCGATGAATTGATTGAAAAAGCTGAAATAGAAAAAACAAATAATAAAAGATCAAAATTATTTATTTTATAGCACAATTTACCGTTAACTTCATCTGTATCATTCATATAATTGCTATCTACATGTATATAACGGGAGCGGTGCCAAGTGGTTAAGGTGTCTGCCTCTCAAAATAGGGATCATGGTTCGAGCCCTAATCGGGTCACAACCATGTTTCTTCATATGAAACCAGTACTGAATGGTTCCAAAAAGCGGACTCGAAAGTGATTAATATAAGTTGCAACTTGTTTCGCAATCGAGCTTAACTTATTATGTTTAAACCAATCTACATGTACATATCTCTATCAGTATTCATACAATTGAATGTGTAGCAAAATTGTTAAAGTCTCATATGACAAACAAATTTGATCATTTTAAGGTAAATTGTTACGCCAACGTTACCCTTTGCATGTGTCGTCTGCGATGAAAAAAATCGATACGATTATAGTAATAATCGTTGTCACTGCAGATCGTATTTAGATTGTATATGCTAGTGCCGATAGTCTCATCTCTTGGCATTTTGACAGTGAGTTTTCCTGGGCTACAGACAGGAGCATTGTCGTTTATATCGTTAATAGTCAAAGTCACATTAGCTATGGCTTTTGATCCTGGTTTGTCCTTGACCTTTACACAAAAATGATTGCGAATGAATGAATCAAAAACTTTTTTTGTTTCAAAATAAAGAATAAATAACTTTACAATGAATTTACAAATATCATGTTAGAGGTATAACAATTGAATAGGGTCTAACAAGAAAACCAATTTATTACCAATAGCAACAGGATCTAAAGTATTTGCACATAATTACATATATACTTATGATAATACCAATTCTTTTAATAGACATTAACATTTCTTGTTTCGAAAAAATATGAAACAACAACAACAGCAAGAAAAAAAGTTAATGATCTTTTCTTTATGTCAAGGATTTGCTAAGTTTTGTTTAAAATATTTTTATTAAACCCAATCAAAATGAAATATAAGATTACTTACCACAACTGTAAAATTTACCACTGGTCCAAGCTTTGCTTCAGCTCTGAAACAAACATTTGTTATTGAACAGTGAACATATTATTTTGGCATCCCCGCGTTGATTTAGTACTGATGCTAATAGAATGTTAACTATCAGGGTGAATTAATAAATTGTAAAGCTTCTTGGTTTGATACTTTTGTACATCTTATTTTTGTTTCGATCGGTATTACGTCGCATTAACACTGTAAAGGTCATACGGCGACTTTCCGGAGGAAGACCTCAAGTGGCCTCTCCTTGCATTAAATCAGGTACGAGCGGGTACGTAAGAAGTATATCGTATGCATAAATATAGATATTCTGGGAGGTTTTTGTCTTTGAAAACACTTTTGAAAAGGACATTTTACCATTACCTTCTCTGATATTTGTCCACATCAACACTGCCTGCTAGAACAATTTGGACATTTCTGTCAGTAATTTGCCCTAGGCTTATCTCTTCCGGTTTATCTGTAATGAAACACTGTCGCGCTAAAGATACAATCTTTTAAAAAAAATTATTTATGGACATTTGTAGACTTGAAATATTTTTGTATTATAGACCAATGGCTTTATATTTATACTAATGCCTCATATTTCCGTGGTACCCATATTTCCAAGGTATCAGGCTTAAACAGTCTAAAGTACCTCCTAGACTTAATGAACCTGCCAGTAGTTTTACTTTTACTATTTTATTGTATTTTAATCGAAATGTTACATATAGAACTAAAAAAACAACATTTTATTCAGATTAAGAATAAAGTTATTTAATATTTCACCATTTTCCTTTAAGATTTCATACCTTTAAAGAAAATCCTCTTTGTTTAACAACCATTGAGGTATTTGATAAATGCCAAAGATAAAATCGCCCCTTTCAGATGAGGCTAGGTATAGATGTACTAAAAATACATTTTACTATTGGTTTTGCTTTTGAAACTGTTAAAATGTATTTGCCTTGGAAATATGAGAACACAAATTTACTCACAAGGCAGCAGATGGGTGTTAATTACAATGTTGTATACATAATTGCTTACATGCAAACATTAAATGGAATAAACTATGATGCAATTGACATGTCTATCCTGCAATATTCACTGTGTTTTCCAGAATTTTATCCTTTTAACTGTTGTTGTCTGTGTTAAACTGTTAAGTACCACGGAAATATGAGGCACCAGTATACTGGCATTAACTGTATCTACCCAGTTTTATCGTCTAAATTGTTTTCTTTAACTTTAAATATAGAGATCTACGAGTTTCTCGAAACAACAATGACTTTCAATCATAAACTTTAAGTATACAATTATATAAATTTGACTTTACATATCAATTGACTACATGACAATATATAAGAGTACCCTGGCTGTACACGTGAATATCTCCTCGTATATCGCCATCATTATCTCGTACTGTGAAAACGCCAAGTACAGCGCCAACAGAAGTATTCTCCGACAGTGTCACAACCATATATGTTGGTGATATAACAGGGGCTTCATTTACTGTTTGAAACACATATCAAACAATTTTGTTAAAAATAGTTCTTTCAATTAATGTAGGCTAGTCTTAAGTTGAATTAATCAGCAGTCAACAAAATCTTTTGAAACTACATGTAATTTTGAACTTTGTTTTGATTTTTGAAATAAATGATAAAAACACACCACGTCTCTGTTTAGGTCACGGATTTTATTATGAACAAACAAATAAATAAACAAGAGGGCCATGATGGCCCTGAGGTCGCTCACCTGTTTATAGCCACCCCCAGGCCAATTTTTACCCAAGGGCTTTTATTTGAACAGACTTGGTAGACACCCATAAGAAGATGTTTCATGCTAAACATCTAAGTTCTAGCTCATTGGGTTTTTTAAAAGAAGATTTTTTTCAGTTTTTACTATACACATATAGTTTAAAACAATGACACCCCTGGGGCAGGGCCAGTTTTGACCCCCGGGCTTTTATTTGAACAAACTTTGTAGATATTTACTTAAAGATGTTTCATGTATAATATCTAAACTCAAGCTATTTGGGTTTTTTCAAAGAAGATTTTTAAGTTTTTGCTATACACATATAAGGAAAATCAATGACCCCCAGGCCGGGGCCAGTTTTGACCCCAGGGCTTTTAGTTGAACATACTTGGTAGACACCCATTAGAACATGTTTCATGCTAAATATCTTAGCTCTAGCTCTTTGAGTTCTTTAAAAGAAGATTTTTTAAGTTTTTACTATATGCATATCGGGAAAATCAATGACCCCCTGGGGCGGGGCCAATTTTGACCCCAGGGCTTTTATTTGAACAAACTTGGTAGACACTCATTAGAAGATGTTTAATGCTAAATATCTAAGCTCTAGCTCTTTGGGTTCTTTAAAGATTTTTTAAGTTTTTACTATATGCATATAGGGAAAATCTATGACCCCCTGGGACGGGGCCAATTTTGACCCAAGGGCTTTAATTTGAACAAACTTGGTAGACATTCACTAGAAGATGTTTCATGCCAAATATCTAAGCTCTAGCTCTTACGGTTCTTAAAAAGAAGATTTTTTAAGTTTTTACTATATGCATATAGGGAAAATCAATGACCCCCCGGGTCCGGGCCAATTTTGACCCCATGGCCTCTATTTGAACAAACTTGGTAGACACTCACTAGAAGATATTTCATGTCAAATATCTTAGCTCTAGCTCTTTGGGTTCTTTAAAAGAAGACTTTTTAAGTTTTTACTATATGCATATAGGGAAAATCTATGACCCCCTGGGGCAGGGCCAATTTTGACCTCAGGGCTTTTATTTGAACAAACTTGGAAGACACTCATTAGAAGATGCTTAATGCTAAATATCTTAGCTCTAGCTCTTTGGGTTCTTTAAAAGAAGATTTTTTAAGTTTTTACTATATGCATATAGGGAAAATCAATGACCCCCTGGGGCGGGGCCAATTTTGACACCAGGGCTTTTAATTGAACAAACTTGGTAGACATTCACAAGAAGATGTTTCATGCCAAATATCTAAGCTCTAGCTTTTACAGTTCTTTAAAAGAAGATTTTTTAAGTTTTTACTATATGCATATAGGGAAAATCAATGACCCCCGGGCCGGGGCCAATTTTGACCCCAGGGCTTTTATTTGAACAAACTTGGTAGACACTCACTAGAAGATGTTTCATGCCAAATATCTTAGCTCTAGCTCTTTGGGTTCTTTAAAAGAAGATTTTTTAAGTTTTTACTATATGCATATAGGGAAAATCAATGAGCCCCTGGAGCGGGGCCAATTTTGACCCTAGGGCTTTTATTTGAACAAACTTGGTAGACACTCATTAGAAGATGTTTCATGCCAAATATCTAAGCTCTAGCTCTTACGGTTCTTTAAAAGAAGATATTTAAAGATTTTTCTTTCGGTTGCCATGGCAACCAGAGTTCTGCATGAAATGGAATTCTTTGAATAATCTTGATAGAGCTTCATACAAAGAGTATTCCTGCCAAGTTTCATTAACATTGGCCTTGCGGTATCAAAGAAGATGTCCTTAGAATATTTAAAATGTGGACGGACGACGGACGACGGACGCCATTTGGTTGGCCATCCTAAAAGCTCACCTGCACTTAGTGCAAGGTGAGCTAAAAAAACAATATCTAAAACAAATGCACACGAGCACTTCATGGGTGTATAAAAAGAGTAAATGTAATTATACAAAAGCATTAAGCATTTAAGAAGCCTATACATTTGTAGATTTGTTTTACTAAAAACGTAAATAGATGAAAGAAACTCTAAAGGATTTACCTAGAACTGCTGGAATAGAGGTTCCATCATACAGCAATAGTTTTGATTTATTAAACTTTAAAATGCCTTGCAATATATTTTCTCTATCCACGAGGCTGGTTTCTTTATCATAAATGACTGTAAAACCAACAATTATAGTATCTTCTTCCAAAGGTTCTTCTATTGTGCTATAGATATAAAAAGGAAAACCTGATTTTCAATATAAAACAATGGATGATGATGACTAAAATTTAGTTTCTTTGCTGCAATGAGCATACTTTGGTCGGCTGTTGATAAGAATGACCATGTAAGTACGAAGTTATTATAATGTTTTCAGTAGATTCATTTCGCGCAAAAAGGTTAGAAAACAAACTTACTACATTATATATAACAATTGAATTGTGAATAAAATACCAAATAATATTATATAGTAATTATCAAATATGAAATATTAACACATAAGATACGAAATTTGACAAAAGTAATATACTCACAGTATTTGTTGTACAGCAATAGAAACTTTAAGTGTTGCATAATCCTCAAAATATTTCGTGAGCTACAAAAAAGAGATGAAAATATAAATTTTATATACCAAAAATTAATGCTTATTGCTTTGCTTGTAGAAAATGTTTTGAACATATTTTTAAGTCAGGAAATTTAATACATGTACACTTCTTTTTATATGAAACATTATTATTTCTTGAATAACATATTTATATAAAATCGCTTTGTTTAACAAATATACATATTTTTGGAAATGACTGGTAGAGAACCGTTGAAGCCTCATGTTTTGAAACATATTTCTGTTAAAAATTTCTGTTTAAAAAAGATTTAAATTCACCAGTGACATAATTATAATTTTACCGATGTTCCGAGATGCTCTCGTACATAGTTGTATGTTGCTGGGTCCTTCAGATCCTTAACCACGCTTTTACCAATTTTCACCCGTAAAGATGACGATTGCGATCTTCCAGACACATCTTTAAAAATCAATGAATCAAATTAATTACATCGGATTTAATATTGAACTTAATCCGACGCAACATTATCAAACGGGTTAAAAGACAAATTAAGAGATACACAAGCATTATGACATTTTAGTTAATGGTTACAAGGAAATAAATAACTTACTTTTACATGTCAAATCATTTTCTTTTAAAACATATCCGTTTGTACAACCGCATGCAAAGGATCCCTCAAGATTATGACATAATTGCTGACATCCGCCGTTGTCAATGTCGCATTCTATGATATCGTCACACACAAAACCTTTCTCATCTAATACGAACCCATCTTTACAAGCACACGAAAAGGATCCTTGGTTGTTTGCGCAAATCTGTTCACAGTTTCCATTGCTCAGATCGCATTCATTAATATCGGTGCATGAATAGTTATCACCCTGTAAAGAATATCCCTTTTCACATTGACATTCAAAGTTGCCAATCATATTGACGCAAATTTGTGCACAGCCGCCATTTCTGTAATTGCATTCATTTTTATCTTTACAAGAGTACGTATCATTTTGTAATATAAAACCAGTCGCACAGCTACATTCATGTGCGCCATTAGTATTAATACACACATGTTCGCATTCTCCATTGTTCGTGCTACATTCATTGATATCGTCACAAGATTTGTTATTACTCTGCAACAAATAACCACGATAGCAACTGCATGAAAATGTTCCATTTGCATTGCTACATTCGTGATCACATCCGCCATTATTACGGTTGCATTCATTTTCACATGTTAGATTATCTGACGTCATATAATAGCCAGAGTTACAATCGCACTTGTACGATCCGTCCTCGTTGATACATATCTGATTACAATCGCCATTTCGAATATTGCATTCGTTTAAATCTTTGCATGAAATGTTATCATTTTCGAGAGAATATCCATCAAAGCAGTTACAAACAAACGACCCAAGCTTGTTTGTACACGTGTGGCTGCACCCGCCGTTGTCTGTGTTACATTCGTTTATATCTAATATAAAATAATACGAAAAATATACAAAGCACGCTTTTGCTAATGTTGACAAAATAAATAAATAAATTGGCGAAACATATTTATAAAACCTCAAAAAAATCACTTATGCAGATTGTCTGGTACAACGATATAAGTATTACGTAGAATTACCAGCATATCGGTGTCAAGATGTTAGCCTTTATTATTTTCAAATTGAAGACTGTAGCTGCTTTCAAATCAAATGATTCTGTACAAATTAATGAAATGAAAAATATGTTTTTTTAAAGAAATGATTGTGATACATTGTGAAACTAAATTTTTTTACATCGAATTAAAAAGCTTATACATTATTATACACAATAGCAAAAGATACCATTGCATGTCGCGTTGTCTTCTCCTATTATATACCCTTCGTTGCAGTAACAATCATATGACCCTTCTGTGTTTCGACAATTTTGAGTGCATACGTCGTCTGCTGAGTCATTTTCACATTCATCAATATCTATAGGATGACAGAGAATATGTTCATGCAACAGTATTTTCTAATTTCAATATATGTATATATATATTGTATTATATGTGTTATTATATGAGTTCTTTCTTTTTTCTCCATAAAATAAAATAGAGATATAGAGGCTATAAAGATGTCACATATTTCATCTCAGTGTAATTCTATTTTTTCTAGTTCAATTAAACACTTTAAGATATAATTGTGTACCAATCCAGTCTGAGTTTTGGAGTAGATGATGTACTTTATTATCTCTGTAATCAAACAATATTCATATTCGTTTTTCTTGTATTTCCCCCAAGAGATATGTTATTCCATGAATTTAGTTCTTGTGCTATAGTTAAGCTTTATTGATATGAATAGGCAACTTGTTATATTTACTTTGGTGCAGGGCCGAAAATATTCAAATTAAAGAAATTATATTTTTTCAGGTACTTCGGTAACTAATCAGTTATTCAGACATAGCATGTTGTAACATATAACACACTTTTTTTATTATTTCACTTTATACCTATACAAGTCATAAAAATATCAGATACGTTCCAAAGTCCAGTTCCTAAACAAGTTGTTATGTTTTCGCTAAGAGGTTTGAAACCGTCGTGACATAACAATATGCAATGAGTTCCAACTGATGATATATTTGAGGAACATAATGTGCTTGAGTAATTTCCGTTCTCTGGAATGGATAACACTGTACAACCAGATTCTGAAATACAAAATATATTCTGACACTAGGTTATGCCTGTACTATCGAAATTTATACAATTGATATGCTCAGAATGTATACTCTCACATACGTACAACTTGAACTCAGAAGCATATGTAATCATGTTAGAAAATGATGTCTTGATGTATAACCTTGTAAGGCAACTAAGTTGGCAACTAAGTCGACAGCAGTATGAAGTGATCAATGCATGATCATCTGCACTGCACTGATCTGTGTATGACCACCTTCTTGCACCAATCTATCTGTAATTACCTTCTCTGCACCGATAGTATGTTATCACCTTAACTGCACTTATCTGTGTGTGATTCATTTCACTGCATCGATCTGTGTATGATCACTTTCACTGCATCGATTTGTGTATAATCAGATTCAATGCACCGATCTCTTTGTAATTACCTTACTGTTGTGATCTTAGTGGTTTTTTTTTATACAAGATCATTTCTGATCATAAATTCATAATCTACAGAAAATTCACTCATTTTAGTAAACTTAAATAATATTTTCAAAAATATGTTTATGAATGTAAATATATATTGTAACGGTTCAGCTGGCTGTCCAAGTGCTTTATATAATTTACAAGTAATTTATTTCATTTGTTTGCCTTTATTTTAGAAATTTGATGAGTTAAGGCCCACTACACCCCTGAAATGCTTTTATTCTCATTTCTCAAAAGCTTCTTATTGTGGTGTACTTTTATAATTTCAAAAAGGTTGACCAATTAATTAACCATCTGTTGACTTTTGGCTATTGGTATAGTTATAGCGATTAAATATTTTGTATGGAAGTCAGGATACTACTTTGTTTACATTTTGCTTCCTTTATGACCAAAATTTTACATTCAGCAATATTTTTGTCATGCAATAAGAATCTAACATGCCCAATACGCTATTATTCAAACGTTATAGAAATTTCATTTTCCTTTTTTAAAGAAGGAAACAAATATTTGTCTCTGAGGCATAATTTGCCTTGAATGGAAAAACACTTAGATCAAGAATAATAGTAGATCATCTTGCTTAACTTTAGTTGTTAAAATAAAACGTTTATGCCGCTGGAAAACAGCTCATACAGCATGTACATACGCTGACTGTTTAATTTTAATTCCATATTCAAAGTTTCCCAAAATTAAAATAGTAAAGATTCATATGACAAGTAAAAAAGATAAAATAAATACACTACTAAAAAACATAATTACAAAGTGTATGCTGTACAACTTACTTGTTCGACACTTAATCCCTACATCTTCTTCATGGTGACAATTATGAGATCCCCAAATATTTCCCTTTTTGTCACATTCATCAATGGATGTTTCCTGTCCAGTACATTCAAGATCGTCTAACCATATTGTACCGTTACCAGGGTTAGAGTACTGTTCATAAAATACTCCACCACTCCTGATCAATGAATATCAAAATAAAATTAACTAGCTCTCAGAAGATCAACGAGCATTATTTATGTTCAGCATAATTAATTGTTATTTCTATTTCTTTCCAAAATAGATGTCAATGTAGGCCTATAAACAACTTATACAAAATAATTCACCACCTTCATCAGTTTGAAAATTGACATTTATACCAAGGTGAAGGACGATAACCCATAACCTGTAAAGTGGAAAATAGACATAACCAAAATTAAACAAACCTGTCGTATCCCAGCATAAAACAAAGTACTTGGACATTCAAAGAATCGAAATTATCATCGCACACTGTTCCCCATATTCCAGAGTGATAAACTTCCACCCGACCATCGTTCTCTGTTATCCCATCAACTAAGCGAACCCCTTAAAAGTAAAATAAATTACATTATTTAGCAGTAATCTTAATTATACGGCTGTTTAAATACCCCCTTTTAACGTTCAACATGCTACTGATGAACTATTTTGAGTTAAAAATATGTCAACATTTAAGAAAGTTACATGTAAATAAAAGAATATGTTGTTATAGTCTGTAACTAAATGAATTACTTTTATCACATCATTAATGATCTCAACCATTTTAAAATATAAACAAATTTAATATTTAAATAAAAATAATTCAGCAATGAAAAGATTGTTTTAAAATAATTCTGTAAACATCGGGATACTGCCAACAGTATATATATGCATACAGTTTATGTTAAAAATGACTATGACAGAAACTTTATGTACTTGGTTTACATCTTATGCCTGCATCAAGGCTGTGACTACAGTTATTGAAACCGAAAAGATTGCCTTTACAATCTGCACGTGAAAGTTCATGCCCACTACAGCCCATACTTCCAAACCAGAGGTCACCTGCACCCTGGCCAAAGTATGCATTCTTATACGCGATTGCATCTTCTCTGAAATATTTTATTTTTCAATATCAACCATGTTTCTTTTTTAGATGACAGTTATTTCAATTATGTTAACAAATATCACTTTAGTAAGCATATAAGTACATTATTGATATCTATAAGACTCAGTGCACAATATGATCCATTAGTATGCGCATACCTTGGAAAGCCTAGCATGTGACATAAAACTTGCGCATCTTCATTGGTAAATCCATCGCTACAGACAGTTCTCCAATCATCTGAATCGAAAATTTCAACAAGCCCTTCGTATTCCACTAAACCTCCGATAAGGCGAACATCTGTAACATTTACAAAAATATACTCTATATTTTACATTTTTGGACCATACTCCAACAGTACCTCTATCTTAGAAATTCTCATAATTAGAATTGCCATTAAAACAAAAACATTTTACCGTATTTTTGGTAACATTTTATTGCTACGCCTGTATCATTGCTGCAGTTGATCCGATCCGTTTTAGTGTTGTTGCAATAGTTTATTGATGTTTCATTTCCAAAACAGTTAATATCACCTAACCACACAGCTTCACTAGCGTTGCCAAATGAATTGCTCCCAGCAAAAACTTCCGCACCATATCTGATGTTATTAATACAGAATACATACATTAACTGTGGTAAAATTACATTTCATGATTAAATCAAGTTAGACTGGCTATGTGGCCGATTGGTTAACATGTTAGAGTATCAGTAATATTATATGGATTGCGTAATGCCGTATTGGATGCAATGGAAATCCATTGTTTCCTTGAGCAAGAAACTTTACACTAATTGCTTAACACTTGTTGGTTTTAGAAATATATTCGAGAGTATTGCTATCATCTTATGGCTTCGTAATCAATCGGACTAAAATAAATAAATAAATAGATCTACAATAATAAAGTTTAAATCATTTGAGTAGATCATTACATTATCAGGTTGGTTCTTTTAAATGTATGAAATTGATTATGTATTTGGACTCTTTAAATACGAAAAAAAAACAACAAGTTAATACTGGAATTGATTTACCTTTCATATCCAAGCATACTGCAAAATACTTGGGCATCTGCATTACTAAAATTATCATGACAAACAGTTCGCCATATAGACAAGTAATGTATTTCAACACGACCAACGTTTTTTGTTTTGCCCCCAGTCAAACGTATTTCTAGAAAAACCACAACAATAATAACATCTTGTTGCCATTTCGGCATATTGCGCAAAATTAAATATATACTGTTATGTTGTTGCAATATAAATTTTACCTATGCTCTCATGAAAACATATTTTCATCTTTCAATAATGTATATAATCAGTTCAATAGTAACAAACGCTTTTCTTTCGCTTTTGACTTTTTGACTTCTTTAGAAAAAATGACGTTTATAAAATAACAAATGACGCAACATCCGTAAATAACTGTACGATAAACGGAACGTGAAGTTAAGCAGAAAAAAACTAAAAAAAACTTTGTCAAATAAAAACAAAATATTTCAAATAAAAGTATTGCTACATGACTAAGAAATATACGATGTATGAATATGAAATGGATCTTCACATGTGATACAAAAAGCTTGATATATATGTTTACCGGCCCAATAACATGCTTAGATACTAGATTCATAAGATTTACATCTTATCTCCTAATGGTATGAATACACAAGTTTTGTACACAGTATAATTTTGTCATCTTTCAAGCGTATTATTGGGCCGGTATACATATTGGCATAGTGCTGTCGTTGTTTATAACATAACAGATACCTAGGCACGGGCGCATTTATATTTTCAAAGTAAAGATGAACGTAAACAGTACTTAAAGAATAGACAATAACATAATTATCATGTAATGGTAATTGTTGTTTTCATACTTGGTTGGCAAACTATTCCGGCATCTTCTCTATGCGCACAATTATGGGAACCCCAAAGTCCCCTGTATTTTCCACAGTGGTCGACCGATATTTCTGTTCCATTACATCGAAGATCATCAAGCCAGATTGTTATATTTCCTTTCCCAAAATATGCCTCACGCTTAGCCTGTGCTCCTAATCTGCGTCATAATGAATAGACAAATAGAATGGAAAGGAAATAAAAATGGGAGATTTTCTAATGCAAACTTATTTAGACTTGATTAAAATTTTAGTGATCTGTAATTCGCCTATTTAAGAATGACCTCAGTTGATAGATTTATAGCGTTAGACATACTCTCTTCTTATGCCTGTCACGTTGACCATACCATCTTTTAGTTGCTAGATCCGTCATAATTATGTAACATAATATAATTTGTAGATATATAAAATGGAATAGATCTAGCTGCACTTTGTTATAGATAAACATATGTCATGGACCTCTGATGTACATCTTAGTGTCTTTTTAGGAAAACCGTATTAAATTTGTAATTTATTAACAGAAATAGCGATGGATTTTTGTGTCCAATGACCAATCATACATATTAAAAAACAACAAAATGTCATAAAACTACAGCATGTCATAAAACTACAGGTCATTAAACTACAAAATATCATAAAACTGCAACATGTCATAAAACTACAAAATGTCATGAAACTACAAAATGTCATGAAACTACAAAATGTCATAAAACTGCAACATGTCATAAAACTATAATGTCATGAAACTACACTAATGTTATAAAACTACAATGTCATGAAACTACACAATGTCATAAAACTACAAAACGTCATAAAACTGCAACATGTCATAAAACTACAACAAGTCATAAAACTACAATGTCATAAAACTACAAAATGTCATAAGACTGCAACTACCATTATACTGAAATATTTGATAAAACTAAAACATGTCTTAAACTAAAACATGTCAAACATGTCATAAAACTAAATCATGCGATAAAACTGCCCGGACAATATGGAAACCGTGTATAATCTAATAAAAAATATTCATTTAAATTAACAATTATTATTTTTTTCCCTTTAAACTCATATCATATCTAAATACGTTACCTTTCATACCCGAGCATGTAACAGAAAACCTGAGCATCACGGTAATCGAAGAGGTCATCACAAACTGTTCCCCACGTGTTGTTATAATAAACTTCCACACGTCCTTCAAAGATTGAACGTCCGCCAACTAACCTGACTTTTATTTCAGTGACATTATTTTCACCGTAACAATGGTCTAGAATAAATAAAATTATTTTGAGCATTAAAATGATTTGGGTTATTTTTTATTGGAATCCTCCGCTGGCAGATGTATCTGTTAAAACCATTAGGTAGTATGATATTGTTCTACCTAACTGATCGCTTTAATTCTTGCCGCTTTCTTACGGATATAAAAGGCTCTGAAACTTGTGCATTTCTCTCCTCCAAATCCTTCTCGAGGCGTGCAAGCCGCTTAGAAGGCACACGGCCAACTCGAGAGTGTGGCGATAACAAGATGATGCCGCCGTGATGCCTTTTGCAGTATTGTTGTATCCTCTACTTATCACCAACAAAAGAAGAACAAGTCAAAGAAAATTCAGCTTGAAAGACGTCTCTGGCGTGATTTCTATAATTGACCGGCATGGACTCTAGTGATCTCGGAAATACGGTTAATTGCGGCATCGAGCATGAATAAAACTTAATACAAACATATGCATTCTTCTCACTTGTTTCCAACACCCGTATACTATACATGCTTAGTTTTAAGAAAGAAAGTAAAAATGCCACGAGGTCACAAGACAGCAGAACATACAAGTCGACATTAGCGAGGATTGTATGGATCCGCGGGTGAATCAGTCAAGACGCTGGTAAATCGACAATTATTGACGATGAATAAATCATTCAAGCCGCAAATACTTTGCCTGCAAACTCGAACAGTATTTCTCAAATTGTAGATGTGGTGGCTACTTTACCTAGTAGTACCATTTATTCACATTAAGATAATCGCAGTAATAATCCAACTCCTGTAGTTTAGGACATTGAGTACTTTTGTTATGGTCATTGGGTTTACTTTTATATGTTTCTACATGATCATTTTGGTGTTTTACTTATTTAACCTTTTGTAACCATAATAACAACAGAATTTCACTTGGTGGGGATTCATTTTATTTACACTGTCTCGTTTATAGGAACCTGGTGGGGCTAAGAGTGAGGTTTGGTGCACCATTAACCGGTTAAAACTCCCCAGCTCCCATCAGTACATGTGCTGCTGACCGTTCCAAGGCGGCGCCACTCTGTGTTCTTCAAATGTATGTTTATGTTGTTTCATACTGTTTTGGTGACATTTTGCTTGTGTCCCTTGTTGTTTTCACGTCTACGGTAAGTATCTACCCTTTGCCCGTTGATTTTTTCTTTAATTAACCACCCCCTCTTTCCTAGGGTCTCCTTCCACTTCCCCTGTGCCCTTTGACTTTGTGGGCCTATTATTTAATTATTTAATTGTTTTCTTTGAACTCCTTATCAGTTACAAAATATTTATCATTTTAGTGATTAGTCTGTACGTATTCTGCCTTGTTCCCTGTCCTGTTTTAGTTTTGAGTCCGACTGGGCTCCGTGCCACTGGTTATTATTGCTTGATCGTGTGGGGGCTGCGTTTATTGAACGCTGATTTTCTTTGTTGATCTTGTTTATCATATTCTTTGCCTATTATGTCCGTTTGACTGGTTGATGACGATTTATCAGCTCATCTGCCCACGACTTTTAAGCAGAAAATCTGTTAGGATGAATATATCTATTTTGCTTTACTATTAAAGGGTTCTGTATTGTCTTTTTTTTTTTGCAAGTGTGTTTTTCGTCAAAGAAGCGATGGTCACCTCGAAACCGAATAGAGGGAACATAAAAACCAAATAACTAGTATTGAGAAATGGACCAATGCTTTCATTATATATGCAACCATTTAGCTGTCCATTCACGCTGAAAAGGTTTACGAAATATTTTACTACACGTTCAATATTAGAGATTGTGCTATTCGACAGGGTAAATTAGTTTGGTAGGCCTATGACGAGCAGTTTTACCTCCGTCAGGCAATAACACTTTCCCCATGGTGCAAAATCAATAACGACTTGTGGTGGCGTCATATTCGAGTCAAACCAAACCTTCGTAATACTTCGCATTCATTTAGGTAAACGTGTAACGATTTCAATGCTGCAAAATTAAAATTATATTCAAACGAAACTTATTCATTACTTAGACGACTTTTTTGGAGGTGATAAATTTGCGTAAAGTTGTTCTCAGAATTTAGATATTTTCAAGAATGCAATGTCGGAATTAGGTGTCTCCTAAGCTGAAGAAAAGATACAAGGCCCAGTAGAAGTACTCGTAATCCTTGGGATAGATTTTGAGTCGAACAAAATGACTGTGAAAATTCCGTTGGAGAAAATCCAGGAAAAAGTCTTAGAAATAAAAGACATTTTGTCTCATAAAAAGTACGGTATGTAATCGGCTGCTTAAACTTTTATTGCATGGCCATTATTATGAGTCGGTCTTATAAACCCAATTTGCGGTCTATCGAAGCCCCAGTATCATATAAGAATTGAAAAAGAAATATATTAGTATATTAAATATGATCACGTGGGTTTTATTTTTTACAAAATTTAAATGGAATTTCGGTTTTTGGATTTCAAATAAAATATTAATAATTAATTCCTCTAAAATTCTTAAAACCGATCACAATCTTTCAAAATTGCACCGCAATTGCACTGGCAGTCTTTTCTATTTACTTTAGATCTTTCCAAAATTTTATATTTACATGGCGCGGTGCCCCAGATCAGTCGTGGCAAACCTACATTATAATTGTTGTTGTAAAGGCCTCTCTTAAATACAAAAATTCGTTGCGCATGGCGTCTTTCTTTGCAAGTTCGATATATTAATCATTGTACTCATTAAATTCTGTCGACCGGAAAACAAGCCGACGTGGCTTATTCAGTCTTGTTATATATTAACTTTCGTGAAGTTGGATCCAGCTGTTACTCCTCCTATCTCTGGGCTCGGACAACCGCTTTAGGTGTGGTTTGCTGTCTCGAATTTTACAATATTTTTAATAGGTACTACGGAGAGATATCATAGGTTCAATAGTTGTTGTATAAGCTGACTAGACATTAATAGATTTCGCCCTTCATCTTGGTGCTATATATAGCTTGGGTCTTGCTCTCTTAACTTTGCCTTTCCTCGCTGTAATTACAACGACTTTCTTTCCCTTTACTGGCATGGGGCCCCGTTTTCGTCTACTTCCTTCGTTAACCGGGCGTGGATGGGAATGCTGATGCAATGTTCGTTGGACCGACATCACGGCATATTTTTATGATACTCTCGCCACGCAGTTCCCATAGGGACAAAACTTGTTGGGTAGCAAAGTTAAGTAAAAGAGGTCCGTGTTGAACTAAATATATGAAACTATGGCTTTCATAAACACTTAGCAATATACAAAATTTAATGTTCAAGTTAGGAACAAGCATGCACATTATACTTCATTTTATTTATCTTACTGATGTGTTTTATTTTTACATGCGATTATATTTGAAGAGATCTTAAAGCTTGAACAATAATTCAAAACAAGATATTACTAAAATAATGATTAACATTTCTGTAGATAATAAAATATATAAAATGAATTATTTAATATTCAAGTTAATATTAAGGAAATTTCATTCAAACTTTTTTTAAGCATAAAAAATGTTTGTTTGTTGTGTAAGATGTAATTTTATTTCATCTCGTGAACCCCGAAAACAGTATTTTAACGAGTGGCTACTGTTTTTAAAGCTCACTCGATGAACCAAAATTTCATCTTACACACAAACAAACAAATATCCTCTAGATCAATATCATTTGCATACTTTTTTCGAAAATAACTTATTTTTCTTTTGCTGATAGATGTTGAATGAATTCAGGTTTAAAATTGAAGTTTTATAATCAGGTATTGAATATATATACACGAGTATTATATTCTATTTATCACATACCAAAATAAGAATTGTTTACAGTAAAAATGATTCGCGTGTACCTTGACGCGGTTATAGTGTAACGCTTTCCTAAGGATATGTTTGTCTAATTCAAATGACGTCTCGCCGAAATATATGCACCATCGTGCAATACCATATTACATAGTCGCTAACGGAGCAATGGTATGTGATACATGAAATAATAGTGTTTCGCATTAGAAAAATCAAAAGTAAATTAGGTTATGAATACATTGATGGAAGAAGATGAAATCTTAAAGAGATGGTTGTTCACTTAAAACAATAAAAATGTTTATATTATACTTACAGCAGGAGCTTCCACAGAACCTAAAATGGCATACAATTGAATTTACGATAAGTTAAATAAAAAAAGCAACAATTATAATTCATTTTAATCAAAGTAAATATTAGACATTTTCACCGATTTTTGAAGTTAAGGTTTGAAGTGATTCCATTTACGAGAATACAAATATCTCAAATAAAACATCATTAAAAAAAGTCTGTTATTTTACCAAATTAACACAATTAAATTCCAGGTGTCCATCTTTCGGAATGTTTTTAGGTTGTAAACGTGTATGTGATTGTATTTTCAATGGCTTGTGGTTTAAATAACAAATGTACACAACAAAAATATCTTACCATCTATATTTACAAGGTCAACGGAGCATGCGTTTTGTCTATTTAGTACAACATTCATTAAACCTGTAATATAAAGGAGAAATGAAGCAACTAGCAACTTTGATATTAATTTTCATACAAAGAATAATCATAATAATTTTTATTGAAACATATGTGAATGATGATTATTATGAATAAAAGCGTATACAACAGTAAAATAAAGACATAAAGGCAGAATGATATCTTTTTAAATTTTGCATAATATTTGATTATGATGACAAAAAAAATGAATAAAAAAAAATTAACAAAAATATAAGCGTTTTATCTGACGATTAGCACATGCATTTTCTGCCGTTGCACTTAAAGGGACTCCACCGTGTTTTTTTTTTTTGACATGATGGGACTGAAAATATTTTTTTCTAGACAAATGGACCATTTGAAGTAGGTTTAAACCACTAATATTTGTGCAATATTCCAGATCATTCGCGCTCTTCGTTTTTATGGAATAATTATTCAAATTGTAAAAGAATGACACAAAATGCAAGACGTTTAAATGCTACACTCAAAATGGGCTAAGAAAAGCATAAACATACGATTTTCAATTTATTTTAAAGTATATTTCTTAACTATTTTTGCACATATTTCTGTTTAAAGTGTCCCAGCTCATGTATGTAAGAAATTCAAATGATATGTTTTTAGGCTTTTAAACCTCAGTGGAGTCCCTTTAAAAAATTTTTGTTGCAAATTTAAAGGTAAAAAATCTAAAAAGGTCAGTAAGACGTTATTTTGCCTATTTTTAATAGGTATAAACTATATCTTATGAAACAGTATTTATTTCATACAAGCTTATTAGAAGTATCTTTAAAAAAATCAAACAATATTTTTTGCAGCAAATATATAGCTTTCTACACTTTAGAATAAGTTTAGTGAACAACATATTTGTGATGAAGTAATAATTTAGAAACATCTATGTATCATTTTAATCAGGCAAGAAATTTTGTATTGTTTTATATATATATTGTGTGCAAATAAGAATAGGAAGTTGTACAAAGTTTGAATATATAAAATCGGCCTTGTCCACAAAAGATCATCGTATCACGCATACGTACCTAGTCTAGTTGCCAAACATAGTGAATAAGGAAGTTATTGGGTTTTCTTTTTTTGTAATTCAAAGTTTCACACTATGAATGTTTCATCCTGATGAAGTTATTTTATATTTTCGTTCATGTTTTTCTTTCATGAGTGTCAACAATGAGGCCCCAACTTCAAGCAGACAAACTTAAGAAGAATATGAAATCGAAATAAGATATTAGTGCGATAGTCAGTGCAAAGTAAACCTGCCGCCCACCACCCGGGAAATTTAAAAGGTTTTAAGTGCACACAAGAAGCATTACATAATTAACAATTATTACATATATTCAAATAAATTCATAACTTCATTATTTACATTGTTAAAACATGAAAGAAAACTCTGGAATGCGACAAGTTATATTGGATATAGTAGAGAAAACAAATGTGGAAGTTGAGCACCTGAACTTGAAGGTGTGCGTCTCTTTATTCATCATCGATCAATACATAGTTGTTCGACACATTTCATACTACAAAATGTCTAAGTTCCCAGTATGTTTAAGTTTCCACAAAGGGAATTACAATACTATCTACGCCTTGTACAGTATACATATAATCTGGAAATCGTGACACAATGTTAATCATGTAATCTTTATAGAGTATTAACATACAAACTAGATATTGAAATCTTACAATGGTATATATTTGTCTCATTTGTTTGTATAGAAACTGAACAACTTTTATCCAACTGAAATGGCAATAATGCTTGGCAAAGGTTGATATTATTATATTTTTTTAAAATCTCTAATAATATTAGCTGTTTATACGGATTCGATAAATCAGATTTTTTTTCATCAAATAAACTTGAAGTATTACCAGCATCTTAACATATAGAGTTGAAACCTCCTGATCCATTTGTACAAGAGATAGATTTATAATGTTAATTGGACTATACCATATTCAAACCTGGACAAATTCAAGTTTTGCACGTTGAAGGCACATTATGCTTCGGAAATATTTTTTTTTTTTAAACAGGGTTAAAATGATTTTTTAATGTTTAAATAATGGTTTTAGAAAATGTTTTGTGCGGGTTACCTAAAAATCTAGCGATAGGTGTGAAATAAGTTGTCATAAAAGTAGCAAAATGTAAACAAAGTAGTATTTTGACTTCCATACAAAATAATAATTCACTATAATAACTGTACTTATTGCCAAAAATGAACAAGATGGTTCTTGTAATAAGCCAATTAGTAACTTTTGTATACTATGAAATATAACGAAATAAAACATTTTTGAGAAATAAAAATAGAAGCATTTTTAGGCATTACGGGCCTTTAAATGATATTGTATTTGGTTAAAAAAGTCTTCCTGCTTCAAAAGTCTTTTCACCTTTACAAATTAAAAAAAAAATATGACAACAATGTTATTACGAATTATTATTGCATTTCTCTGTTTAAGGTAAATATTTTTATAACATGTTCTTTTTACGTAAAATAAGATTTCTTTAAAAATAAAACGGAATATAACAAATTTATTAAATTGAATATCAAGCCTCTCCGATAAAGCATCTCAGACTGTTATTAATTTGTAGAAAGAAAGACAAAAGAGAGGATAAAATCAGAAAATTTATCTATTGTTTTTTTTTTACAATAAAATGTAAAAATTAAACGTTTGCTTGTGAAATCCGAAATATCCGACATGTATTAGATGAATAAGTTTAAAAATGTAATAAAGTAATTGGTGTTTTTGTTTTGTTAACCAGTTTAGGTACTGCTAGAGTATGCTACTATTCAGGAACTTGCCAAAGGGTTTGCTACTATTCGTCTAAAGATGATGATTGCTGGTGGGGAACATGCTATAAATATAGGTATCGGTTTCATTATCATAATAAAATAGTAAGTTACATCTTAATATATCGACACAGACTACGTAGAAATCTCAGAGGTTTCTTTACGTGGCAACACTTATATTATTGAAGGTTACTGGTTGTTCAATCTTTTAACTGTACAATTTAACAAATTAAGTAATTCGAGTGAATGTGAGACAAAAGTGCACTTAATATCTATTAATTGCATAAAAAATTAAGAAACACTCCCGACGTATGATATCATTATAGATTTACAATCAAATTCTACGATTGATTTTGTTCATCACTCTCAGTATATTCAATTCGATTTTTGTTTAACATTGTGCTCGATGTCAATTATAAGATAGATAATGAAATACTATTTTTAAATATTCAAACACTTACCTACTATTTATGTAATAGATTTGCCTGTCTTTCAATCTGTAACAGAGTATGAAAAGTTAAGGGGTAAAAAAATACAATGTTTTACTACCAACACAATGGCTGTATTACGATGGCTTAATTCAATCACATTACATGTACGTTCCAACGTGTTACGGGTAAGAACAACTTGTACAACATCTATTCTAGAATCAATGTTCTATTACACATACATTGTATTTCACTGATAACATATCATCATTTTTATTCACTCATTTTATCTAGTCTGAAAAGCAAAACTTGCTACGTTCAATGTACAGAGAACAGGTGCTGTGTAGGATGGACAGGAACTTCATGCTCCGATGGTAAGTCAAGTCTAATTCTTATTTCGAATGTAAGATCTCAACATGATTCTGCAAAATCATTTCAAAACTGTAAGAATTGTTTAAACAACAGCAGTCACTATTGAAATATTTGCTGAAGAAGTCCAACTTTATAATGAAAACAAGAGATTAAATGTATTATGATTGAATTAAAACGACCTCTTTATCAGATACAAATCTGGTTTATTGACAACAGAAATAACATTTGTAATAATTGTAAAATTATTCCCTTAACTGAACTCATTTTGTTATGTATCAAAACAGACATAAATGAATGCAGCACAAATAACGGAGGGTGCCAACATAACTGTCGTAATACAGCAGGGTCGTATGAATGCTACTGTAGTTCGGGGTATTCCTTGATGTCTGACGGACAGAATTGTACAGGTAAGCGATTAATGCGTTCAATACCAGTTATTAAAAGGTTTCTTCAAATTATGGGATACCTTTTTCAAAGAAAGTAGAATTAACCTCTGTTGAATATGAGTTAGACATTTATCAGTGTTTACAAGTGTTCATCCTGTCAACAGCAGAAAATGCATAGATGCAAGATTGAATTTTATTGAAAATATATAAAAACACAGAGGAGGTTATAAGATAACCAAACAACCCATTCGTTAAATATTGTTACAATACAATTTTAATGTTTACACATGTCTTCACAATTTCCTGAATTCAACAGACAGAGACGAATGTCTTGTCAACAGAGGTGGCTAGTGACGAAAGGCCATGTAATGGTTATTTTGTTTAAATGAGAAACAGTTTTGAAATTGTAAGCTTTTTTATATGAAACCATCATGCGATCCAGGCTTAACAAAAATAAGACAAACTTAGATAAACGATAATGCAATAAAATCTGCATAGAAAAGTGATTATATTATTGTTCCCTGCTCTTGACGAAATAAAAATGGTTGAAAGTATTTAAGATACATTTATTATTAATTTAGAAAAACACAATTAATACAAAGCAAAAAAAAAAAGATTCAATTTTGAAATACATTGTGAAAAATACAATGCAAAGAGGCAATTTAAAATTAAATAACGTTCCTAACCTCTGTTATTACCCCAAACCCCATTTTCAACTCATTATCCTGACCTATATATATATATAACAAAAAGCACACTTTTGACGCATAAATAAAACCAATTAAAACATATCGACTGTGGTAAGTTGTTACGATAAAATTTCATAAATTATTTACATCAACTGTTTTTACCACTTAACCAAACTTTGATATTGACTTTTGGAGAAGTATATTCTCACAAAATTTTAATATGATTAGTTAAACATTGACCCTAACCAATATCGTTCTGCAAAAAATTTCGCCTGTAACATATTACAATTTGTAATTTGTTTTTTTAAACAATGTATACCAATTTATAAAGAATAAACATTATTTGCTTAAATATTGTGAACTAGATCAGGTTTATCTCAAAAACAGATAAAATGGTTTACTGCTTTTGTTTGGGGATGATTCATTGAATGGCGTTCATCTTAGTTGATCTTTGTTCTCATACTTTACAATAAGTTAAAAAAACTTCATAATAAGTACTGAATTAAAAAAGCCGTTTAATTTTGCAACAAATAAATATCTTACTTATTGCAAATAGAATTTACAATTTTGTTATATATGTTAGATTAAAGACATAAATAAAACTTCTTTTGATTTATATCAAAACAGACATAAATGAATGTAACACAAATAACGGAGGCTGCCAACATAACTGTCGCAATACAGTTGGGTCGTATGATTGCTACTGTAGGTCGGGATATTCCTTAATGTCTGACGGACAGAAATGTACAGGTAAGTGAATAAATGCGTTTAATTTCAGTAATTAAAAGGTTTCTTCAAATTTTGGGAGAAGTAGAAATAACCTCTGTTGAATATGAGTAAGACATTCATTAGTGTTCACAAGTGTTCATCCAGTCAACAGCAGAAAATACAAAGATGCAAGGTTGAATAACATAGAATATATAATAAACACAGTGGATGTTATAATATAACCAAACAACTTATTCATTAGATTTTGTTGCAATTCTAATGTCTACACAATTTCCTTAATTTAACAGAAAGCGACGAATGTCTTGTCAATAGAGGTGGCTGTCAGCATTATTGTAGGAACACAGATGCTTCGTTCGTGTGCTCCTGCAGATCAGGATATATATTAGCTAGTGATGAAAGGACATGCAATGGTAAATTTTGTTTAGATAAGAAACTGTTATTAAATTGAACACATTTTTCTTTTATATGAAACCATCATGCGATCCAGGCTTAACAAAGATGAGAAAAACTTAGATAAACACTCACGATCATGCAATAAAATCAGCATAGAAAAGTGATTATTTTATTGTTCCCTGCTCTTTACGAAATAAAAATGGATAAAAATATTAAAGATTAATTTATTCTTAGAACTACACTACTAATACAAGGCAAAAAGGAATCAATTTTGAAATACATTGTTAAAAATACAATACAAAGAGGCAATTTAAAGTTAAAGAACGTTCCTAACCACAGTAATTACCCCCAATATCATTTTCAATTCATAATAATAACCTATTCATATAACAAAAAGCACATTTTTGCCGCATAAAGAAAACCAATAAAAACAAATACGACTGTGGTTAGTTGTTTCGGTAAAATTTCATAAATGATTTATATCAATTCATTTTTTAACCACTTATCAAAACTTTGATCAAGACTTTTGGAAACGTATATTCTCACAAAGATTTAATATGATTGGTTAAAGTTGTGCCCATATTTGTTCTCGTATTTAACAATTAGTTAAATAGGACGGATTTATTATAAGTACTTAATCCAAAATGCCGTTTAATTTTACAAGAAATAAATATCTTATTTATTGCAAATAGAAATAACAATGTGTTATATATGTTAGACTACTACTAAAACTAAACTTCTTTTGATTTATCAAATCAGACATAAATGAATGTAGCACAGATAATGGAGGGTGCCAACATAACTGTCGCAATACAGTTGGGTCGTATTATTGCTACTGCAGGTCGGGATATTTATTGATGTCTGACGAACAAAAATGTACAGGTTAGTGAATAAATGCGTTTGATTCCAGTAATGAAAAGGTTTCTTCAAATTTTGGAATACCCTTTTCTAAAGAAGTAGAAATAACATCTGCTTAATGTGAGTTAAAACATTGATCAGTGTTCACAAGTGTTCATCCTGTCAACAGCAGAAAATGCAAAGATGCAATATTGAATTACATAAAAATATACATATTCACAGTGGAGGTTATAACCAAAAACCAATTCGTTACATTTTGTTGCAATTTTAATGTTTTCACAATTTCCTTAATTTAACAGAGAGAGACGAATGTCTTGTCAAAAGAGGTGGCTAGTGATGAAAGGCCATGCAATGGTAATTTTGTTTAAATGAGAAACTGTTTTGAAATTGTAATTTTTTTTATGACAATTTTGTGAAACCTTATTATAAAGAAGTAGAAATAACTCTTTTGAATATGAGTTACGAGGGATGTTCGAAATGTATTGCTTATTTCTATCTGGAGACCTCAAATTTCAAGTTAGCTCAAAAGTGTTCATTTCATGCCCTCGAAGTACTCCCCGTGGCTAGAAATGCAAAGTTTCAGTCGATGTATCCCCTTTTTGAAGGCGTCACGGTACGCTGATTCAGGCACAGTAATAAGGTACTGATGAATGGCAGATCCAAGTGCGTGTTGTATTTCCGCCCAGCAAGGAATGATTTCAATTTCGGAAACAAAAAGAAATCACATGAGGCAAGGTCTGGAGAATGTGGGGGGGGGGGGAAGGTGAAGCAAAACAGTTACTTTTTCTTTTTTCAAAAACGCCAAAACTATTGCGGAGGTATGAGCGGTGGCATTGTCATGTAGAAGACGGATATGCTTAAAACCAGTGACAGGGCGTCGTTTCTTATAATACTTTTTCAGTTTCTTAAGTACTACGTCTTTGTAGTACTTCCCAGTGATACTTTTGCACTTTTTCACCGGCACTTTTATTGCGACTCCTTCACCAGAGAAGAAAATTGCATACAAAACCTTCTTTGCACTCAAAGATTGTTTGGCAATTATTGGGCGTTTGTTGTGTTAAGTGGCCCAGATTTTGTTGCTAACTTTTCTGACGGGCTCAAAATAATGGACCCAGGTTTCATCACCTGTGACGAAAAACTATTTTGTGTCATATTTTGGAAACATTTGAAGCAGCTTTTTTGCCACCTTAACCCGTTGCCTCTTTTGCTCATCGGTCAACAGATGTGGCATCCATCTAGCAGAAATCTTTCTGACTTTCAAATGCTTCTTCAAAATAAAGTGAACCGTTGATAGTGATATGCCTAACTCGTGCAATATTCGAACTGTAAATCTGTAAATTGCAGACCAATGGCTTGTAACCTTTAATCCTAATAAGACAGAAGTATTATTTTGTTCTCTTATTAGAAATGAAAGACCTTTTTTGTACTTTAACAATGTTCAACTTAATTACACTCAACACCACAGGCATTTGGGGTTAACCTTAAGTGATGATGGAACCTGGCATGAACATATTAATAATATAACTAACTCGGCGTCCAAAATATTAGGTTCTATGCGTTTATTAAAGTTCAAACTAAATAGAACAACATTAAATCAAATTTGTATTTCCTATATGAGGCCTTTATTAGAATATGCTAGTGTTATTTGGGATAGTTGTACCTTATATGAAAAAGAAAAAATTGAAAAAATGCAATACGAAGCTGCGCGCTTAGTAACTGGTTTGACTCGCTCAGTGTCTATAGAAATACTTCTGCATGAAATAGGTTGGGTCTCTTTAGCAGATCGTCGTTTAATGCAAAAATTATCAATAATGTATAAAGCTAAAAATGGGGAGCTTCCAAGTTATCTGGACACTTTGTTCCCAAATTTTGTATCAGAAAGTAGCCAATATAACCTTAGAAATAACGATAATTACGTAACAATAGCACGACGAACAGAAATATTTTCTAGATCATTTATACCCTCAGCAATTTCGGCATGGAATAGTCTTGATAATGAGATACGTGACTCGACTTCTTTAAATGTGTTCAAAACTAAACTCAAGGATAAATTCAAACCCACACTTGTCCCTAAATATTATTTAATTGGAGAAAGGTTAACATCTGTTTACCATGCACGTTTAAGAAATAGATGTAGTAATTTGAATGATGATCTGTATAGAAATCACTTAGCAAACTCCCCTGTTTGTGAGTTTTGCCATATCGAGGAGGATGCTGAACATTTCTTTTTTAACTGTAAACTTTTTGGTGTTCAAAGACTCCAACTTTTCACTTCCACTCGCCCTTTTCATCCATTAAGTACAAGTACTCTCCTTTATGGAAAAGAAAATTTATCAGTCGATGAAAACTCTTTTTTATTTCATGAGGTTCAAAAATATATAAAAAATACACATAGATTTAAATAATAAGAAATAAGTACATGTAAAAATAACAATCGTTGTTCCAATATTAATTCTTCTAATTCCCCTTATAAATGACATATTTTGACAGCCATACAAACCATCACATACTGCAAGTGCAGGAAAATTACTATTATATTTTTTTATCTAAAAAATTTGATAAGCAAATGTTTTTTTGTTTTTGTTTTTTTTTCTCTTAAATTTGATGTCGAATTCTATTCGCTACTTTGTTTTTGTTTCCGCCTTAATATTTGTAATTGCTCATGTGTATAGTGTTTAAACATGTTTTCGTTTCTATATCTTATAATGCTTAAGGGAAGGACAGTTACTAATGTTGCTAGAACTTGTTGTTCAACCCTTTTGCCCTTTGTTAAAAAATGTTGTTTTGTGGAAATAATGTTATAAATTGTATTCAAAGAGCAATAAAATATTATTAAACTAAAACTGTAAATCTGGCATCTCCTTCAATGATATCCTTTATTTTGGAAACGATTTCGTTATGAGATGCAGATTTTGGCCTACCTAATTTTGGTGCATTTTGATGCACTCTACAACATACTCAAATTTCTTTTTCCATTGCCTAACTGTGTCATTAGACACACAAGAAGGCCCATAAGCAGTAGAGAGTTCAGTCATCAAATGTTACAAAGAGCAACCCAGTTTTGAGAGAGCTTTGATGTTAGCCCGTATTTCATCTTTTTGTCGACGCTTCTACCAACCATTTTTACTACAGTGGTTAATGACTGCGTGTATTTAAATAGCAAATTGTATGTCTTACACTTAGTCTAACATGTACATTTATACACCGTTGTGTAGATCAGGATATATATTAGCTAGTGAAGAACGGACATGAAATGGTAATTTTGTTTAAATGAGAAATTGTTTTGAAATTGAACGCCTTTTTATATGAAACAATCAGCGATCCATGCTGAATAAAAATAAAAAAACTCAGATAAACGCTCGCGATAATTCAATAAAATCAGCATATAAAAGTTACTATTTTATTGTTCGCTGCTCTTGACGAAATGAAAATGGATACGAGTATTAAAGATACATTTATTATAAGAAAACCACAATTAAAACAAGGCAAAATAGATTGAATTTTGAAATACATTGTTTAAAAATACAATGCAAAGAAGCAATTTAAAATTAAAAAATGTTCCTAAACTCATTTTCAACTCAAAATTATAACCTGTTTATGTATCAAAAGGCTCACTTTTGACGCAAAAATAATACCAATTAAAACAAATACGACTGTGGTGAGTTATTTCGATAAAATTTCATAAATTATATACATCAATTGCTTTCTTACCAATAGACAAAACTTTGATCAATACTTTTGGTAAAGTATATTCTGAAAAGATTTAATATGATTGGTTTAAGTTTGACCCAAACCAAATTTGTTTCTGCAAATATTTTGTATGTAACATATTACAATTTGTAATTTGATTTTCCAATTTATGAAGCATTAACAGCATTTGCTTAAATAGTAGTGAAAATAGATCTAGTTTATGTTGAAAACAGATTAAATGATTTCCGGCATTTGATTGGGGATGATTTATTGAATATCGTCAATCCTAGTTGTTTTAACAATTATTTTAATAATGACGCCTAAATTATAAGTACTTAATCAAAAATACCATTTAAATTGTCAACAAATAGATATCTTATTTATTGCAAATATAATAACACTTTGTTATACATGTGTACATGTATATATGAGATAACGACATAAACTAAAATCCTTTTGATTTATATCAAAACAGACATAAATGAATGTAACACAGATAACGGAGGGTGCCAACATAACTGTCGCAATACAGCAGGGTCGTATCATTGTTTCTGTAGGTTGGGATATTCCTTGATGTCTGACGGACAAAAATGTATAGGTAAGTGAATAAATGAGCTTAATTTCAGTAATTAAAAGGTTTAATACCTTTTTCTAAAGAAGTAGAAATAACATCTGTTGAATAAGAATTAAATCATTGATCAGCGTTCACGAGTGTTCATCCTCTCCACAGCATAAATTGCAAAGATGCCAGGATATACGTAAAGAACAAGCAATGGTAATTTTGTTTTAATTAAATACGCCTTTTTAACGTGAAACCATCGTTCGATGCAGGCTTAACAAAGATAAGAAAACTTTAGCTAAATGCTCACAAAAGTACAATAAAATCTGCATAGAAAAAGTGATTATGTTATTCTTTCCTGCTCTTTACGAAAAGATACTGGTCACCGTTGTAAGAATTTAAGATACATTTATTACTAGAACTGCACAATTAGAACAAGAAAAAAAAGATTCAATTTTAAAATTCTTTGTTAAAGGGAGACACAGGCAAAATTTTCATTTCTTAGTTTTGAAATTTTCATTCATTATTCTGTAAATGTCCTCAAAATGAATACACTAAACAGTCAAAGGAACAAAACTTTTCTCCATATAAAGAATAAAATGGTGTTTTCCTAACTTGACCCGCGTGGGTCAGGTTAGAGCGCTAAAATTTCACAATAGTTGTCACTCTGTACTCTGGAAACGTTAAAAAACATGTCAAATCAATTACTTAGACTTGTTTCAATCATACAATATCCACAATATTTGTTATTGTAACTTCCAGGGTTTGTTCAAATCGCATGACTTGTTTTTAAACTATTCGGTGATTCTGTTCGCGTCAAAATTTCGTTCAACATATATAGATATATTTAAACTTCAAACCCAAAATATATAGAATTTATACAGAAATTCATGTTGGGGCTTTAGAAATGTCATTTTAGGGTGATTTGAGTACAGAAAATCATTTTTATATTTTTGCCATTATTTTGCCTGAGTATCCCTTTAAAAATACAATATGAAGAAGCAATTTAAAGTAAAAGAACGTCCTAAACCTCTGTTATTATCACGCAAAATAATGATATGTTTATGTGACAAAAAGGAATCTGTTTATGTGACAAAAAGGAATCTGTTTACGTGACAAAAATGAATCTGTTTACGTGGCAAAAAGGAACAATTTCGTCGCATAAACAAAACCAGAAAAAAAATACGGCTGATGGGAATATATGTAACGTCAACGCACATAATGACATTTGGAGCAATTAGAGAATTGAATCTCGAATGACCTAATATACATACATATTCCTGCTTTTGTCGTACTAACGGGTATATACCCTTGACAATGATTACTTTAAACGTTATTGCAATTGTGTCTAGGAATGTCAATTGTTCAAGATGGAAATACAACAGAAATCCAACAAGTATTACAGCATTACGTTGTGATCGGATGTTCTAATATTTCAAACGAAATGAAAGATCTTAGATTTCATTATTGTTTCAAAACTTTTTTTAGCATAACGTTATTTCTGGCACTTTAAATAGAGAACCCAAATGACTGATATAGGGTCGTAACGGCTGTTTTCATTGATGTATTGCGTTTTATACAAAAATCATATATAATCATCATCCTCTTCACCATCATCAGTTATTACTTTAGCTTCTGTTGGAATATTAAAACTCTGTTGTTAGCCTAAAAATAGATGGTGGAAGTTAAAGTACAACCTCCCATAACGGTCACCTCTCATAAAAAAGCCACCTCATTTTAACGGCCAATTTCATTGTATTTGAAAAGTTACAGGAAATGCATGTTGACGATGCAAACTCGGGTACGCCGGACGTTGATCTATTGCCGGCGTTCATTACCACAGTAAAGACTGTACCAATATAACAGCTAATCAAATATGGTCAATCAATTGCTTATGATATGCATAAAAGTGCAAAAAAGCATAATCACTTCATATGGCCTCGCCTCCTTCATAAGGTAACGTACGTACGTCATGGTACGTGTGGTAAAAACACGTCGACGAACGTAAGTGCAAACGTGGTCGCATACAATGTTGTTGCGAGAATTTTAAATAAAGTTTCCTTTTAAAAGGAAAGGCTTGCTCAGTTGTGCCATCATCCCATCTCTTTAAAATTGTTTTTTTTGTTTCAATTTATTATCACAATTTTTTTGAATTACGGTATATCATAAAGGGTTTTTTTAGTTTTTTTTTCTCGAATTTTTTTTCTCACTTTTATAGGGATAGGTAGGGTAAGCCCAAGACTGGACGAGCACCTGTGTCCATTTGTTTGAGCACCAGTGTTATGCGTGCAGATTTGGACCAAAGAGGGACCAGAAGTCCACTGATTATAACTGAACGTAACAGTAGCATCTTTTTTTAGTAAAAACGAATATTTTTTTACAAAAACGATTCGAAATCTATTCTCTATTGTATAAAACTAATAAAGAAAATAATCAATCGTAAGATACTAACATTGGCTCTCATGTGCAGACCTATCTATCACAAGTGTGCACATTTGACATTTCATTTCCACTTTATTTCGCAGAGAGAGTCATTCGTTTTGGCAGTTGCTAATTTCATTTATATAGCAACTTTAGAGACAAGTAAATGCATTAATAAGCATGTATCAACTATGTTACACCTAAAATATCTATGATAACAACACAGGAGATCAGCATGTGGTAAGGTTAATGATATGCATGGGCTATTTTTAGATTACCTCAACTCTGTCAGTAGATCTAAATATAACTTGATCATGCACTAATGGTCACGATCTTTTGGTAAGCAGGACCGCCCTTTGGAGACGGAATACTACTACACTAATCATTCTCTATTGTATAAAACTAATAAAGACAAAAACGAATTATAAAAGAAAATAACTTTTGAGTCTTGAAAAAGAATAGAAACGGAACAATTTCGATAAATCAAGTAAAAATAGAAATCCTATTTTATATAAACAAACTGGGATTACCGAAGTAACTAAAATAGCTTAGATTTCCGTAATATTACTTCGTCTGATTCCGCAGTATGACGGAATCGCCCGAATTGTCACGATTTCAATCGGAACTACCTCGGCTATTATCTTTAATCCGAAGAGTGACGGAAAGGGCCGAAAAGTTGCGATTGCACGATTGCAGCTGGTTTCCCGTTCAATCATGCACTAACAAATGTAAGCAGGAAACCACCTAACCGGAACAACTTTTCCAAAACAAAGAAGCCAAAAAAACCCACAAAAACAAACAAACAAAAGATAACTTCCTAATGTGAAGGGTGTGTTTTGCGTTGACGTGGGATGCATTCAACGACAACGCAACACACCTTAAATTATATTTTAATATATCGGACGTGGAACTTTGTAAAATATGATAAACAAGATCAACAAAGAAAGGCGGCGTTCAATGAACGCAACCCCCAAAGACTGCAGATTTCTACGAAGTCGTTCGGCTCGAACGTTCTACATTTCGTTGTGACCAAGTATATCTCTTTATTAACAGAATTATATATCTTATATAACAGACATAGACGAATGCTATACTAACAATGGTGGTTGTCAGCATGATTGTAGTAACACAGTTGGTTCGTTTTCTTGCAACTGTAGACCTGGGTATCTGCTTACAGAAGACAAAACAAATTGTAAAGGTAGGTTTACTTATGATTTAAGGATAGTTTATTGTTTTTATTTAAGGATGTACAGTCAATTTACTCATTTAATATTTCCTTTACTACTATAAATACTTTTTTACTGGTGCATAGTTCATTAATACATATTTTTCACATTTAAGTAGTGAATGTTGCCATTTCATATTTGGAATTTAGTATGGAAATTGATGAATAAATGCAAAACTACTGATTATCATTACTTTCCATGCAAAATACGATAAAACGATTGAAGTTAATCAGATACATTTATAACAAAAATACACAAATCAAGATTTTTTTTAAAGATCTTCAGTTAATACTGGCCAATTTTTCTTAAATAACATTAGATTTAACGAGTTTTTAGTAACCGCAAGTGCTAGCTTAAGGAAGGTCGATGTTTCTTCTAAGATACCGGTTCGTGCCTAGACAAATGCACGAAAGAGCTCATCAGGTCATCTTCACCAATAAAGCTGAAAAGTCGTCGATTGGTATTTAGATGTGTCGATTGATATAATGAAGATCAAATTACACTTAAGGTTAAAATGTTTTAATTCTTCTTTAGCTTAGACATTGGGTTGGCATATTTTACTTATTACTGTCATCAATGACAATAAATTGATTAAAATGTACCTGGTACATGCAACATTTTGAGTTTTTCCGTATTGGAGTAAATATTTTGGACTCAATCATAATATCTATCATAAATAACAGATATAGACGAATGCCGTACTAACAATGGCGGTTGTCAGCATAATTGTAGTAACACAGGTGGTTCTTTCTCTTGCTACTGTAGGCCTGGATATATCCTCGCAGGTGACGAAAGAAAATGCAATGGTAAGACTGCTCTTATAAAATCAAGGATATCTTATATTGCCATTTTTATTTTAGGACAGGCATTCACATCACGCATTTTATAAGTAAACCAGGTGCTTTAACTTAATTACAGTATAGCTACCTATTTTTGAAAAACTTTATAGAAATAAACTTTTAAATAGCATTTCTTATGATCGTTGCCGTTTAAGAATTTGTTTGTTATCCAGATGATAATGAATGAAAACCTGCGTTAATTATTTCCCAAAGTTCTAAATTTTTTTTTCTATTAACTCTCACGATTCTGTACGGATCTCTCGTTAACTCTTTTACGAAATCCTTTCTCTCTACAATCTACATTACAATAACAACTTTATGTAAAGGTACATCTATCATACTTGTCATTCATTTAAAGCTAAGGTTATTCACTTTCTTTATGTTTTAACATGTTTATTTTACTGGGATATTCTTTGTTTACAGATAAAAATGAATGCAGTAGCAGTGATCATGGTTGTAACCAAAACTGTATCAATACACCTGGATCTTATTACTGTTCCTGTTATGCAGGCTACTTTCTTTCTTCTGATAATAAAACGTGTAACGGTTTGTACTCAATTGTGTATAATCAATTTTGTTACATCATGCATTATGGCTTTATCTTTTAAAGAACTCAAATGTTGATATCCTAAAGTTTACAGTCTCAAGTGTTCTTTAGTTATATTGATTTTTTTAATAAATAGATTCTCTTATGTTAAGTGATTTGTAATACATGTTTTATAAGCGTGTACTTCATAAATACGTGCATGAATGCGTTTTATAATAATGTTTCTTATTCTTCTATTTGAATAGATATTGATGAATGTAGCACAAACAATGGTGGCTGTCAACAAAATTGTCGCAACACAGATGGATCATTTAACTGCCACTGTAGGTCAGGATATTCTCTTATGTCAGACAGTAAAACTTGCACTGGTAGGGATTTTACACATTTACTCGTATATGTACTTTTATTTCCTCAAAGTTGCGTAGACATTTTTAAAAGTAGGACTAAAGATATACAGCAAATTGATCTGAACGATCAGTAATTTGCGATCATAATTTTTCTTTACAAATTACGACATCAATCTATAGAAGCATATCGGATAGATTTATTACATAATTAAACAAATCAGTTGAGGCCACTAAGATTCAAACGGCCATGATCCAATGTAAATAATTTAAATGTTCAGAAAGACCACAGTTTAAAACAAGTTTTTTATTTACTTCGGAAATTGTCTCGAATTTCATGTTGTTTACTCTCGCTTATAATTGAATTTTGCAGGACACTAAAATGTTTCTTTCCCTTAAATTAGCCTTTAGTGCTACATTTAAGGAGCCGTTATCATGACCGTACATGCTGATCAATATTACAAAGTTATACTTTATTTTGGATGTTGAAATAATTAATGGTTACACAATAATATGAATGGCGCTTTTTCACTTAATTAAAAATGCTTTCACACATAACAGACATAGACGAATGCCGTATTAACAAAGGCGGTTGTCAACATGATTGTAGAAACGTAGTTGGTTCATTCAAATGTTACTGCAAGTCTGGATATTTGCTTACAGATGACAATGCAACTTGCACTGGTTAGTTTGTTTTAATAATACAAGCATTTCAATTTTCAACTGACATTCAAGTCACGTTTTCTATAATTTATTTGACTTCATTTTTTATTTATTTGTACGCTTTTTTTATTTCATGTTGTTTAGTCTCGCTCAAAGTTGAATCGTGCAGGACAGTGAAATGTTTCTTTTCCTCAAACTGCACGAAAGTGTCAAATATAAGGGTCCACGATCAGGACCGTTCATGCGGATTTCTATTACAAAATTATACTTTATTGTGTTGGTTCAAAACTTTGTTATTACACACTGACATGGATAGCACATTTCACTTCATTAAAATGTTTTCACACATAACAGACATAGATGAATGCCGTATTAACAAAGGCGGTTGTCAACATGATTGTAGGAACGTAGTTGGTTCATTCCAATGCTACTGTAGGTCTGGATATTTGCTTACAGATGACAACAATTACTGCAAAGGTTAGTTTGTTAAAAAAATAGAAGCATATTTTAATTTCCAACTATACGTTCCAAGTCACGTGTTCTATAGTTTCTTGGAGTGAAGTAAATTGATAATTTTTTATTTGTACGCTTTTTTATTTATTTCATTGGAATAAGTGTTGTCGTTTCAGGAATGCAAGACTGTTTCAACAATTTCCTTATTTTCTGTTTATTTCCCTCTTTCAATAAACGTAAATGACCTCATAAAGAATTATTGTGAATCCATATACTCTTTCTATCTTTTATTGCTTTAGTTTTTTAAGAAAGCAAATGTTTATATCCTGAAGTGTACAGTATATCACTGTTCCTGTAATACAGACTTTTCGCTTTCTACTGATAATAGAACGTCTAACGATTTGTATTCAATTTTGCTAAATCAATTTGTTACATCATGCTTTAGTACTTTAGCATTTCTTAAGAAAAGCAAATGTAAATAAGTTTCGTTATGTTCTTAAGTGATAGTGATAATTTTTTAAATTAATAGATTCTCTTATATTTAATGATTTGTAATACATGATGGTATAATTATAACTGAGACGTCATTCAATGTTGTGATATCTATCATTTAATTATGATGATTCAAACAATGACGGCTTAATAAATTGCCGCAAACAATCAGTTAGTCACTGTATAGATTCAAAGTCGCATGACTTGCAACGTAAAGAATTTACAATGTTAAGAGCACTATTTAAAACAAGTTTTTTTACTTCGATTATTGTTTCGAATTTCATGTTGTTTAGTCCGAATCATAGTTAAGTCGTGCTAGACACTCAAATGTTTCTTTCTTAAAACTTCACAAAAGTGCCACATTTAAGTATCTGTGATTATAACCGTACATGCGGATCAATTTTACAAAATTATAATTAATTTTGTTGGTTCAAAACTTTATTATGAAACAATAATATGTATGGCACATGTCACTTAATTAAAATGCTTCTACACATAACAGAGGTAGACAAATGTCGTACTAACAATGGCGGTTGTCAGCATGATTGTAGTAACACAGATGGTTCTTTCGAATGTTACTGCAAGTCTGGATATATCCTCGCAGGTGACGAAAGAAACTGCAATGGTAATGCTGCTCTTATAAAATCAAGGATATTTTTATATTGCCATTTTTATTTTAGGACAGGCTTTCAAATCACGCATTTTATAAGTTATCTTGGTGTTTTAACTTAATTACAGTATAGCTATCTAATTATGAATGTTTTGTTTAGAAATTTACAAATAAATAGCGTTTTTTTATGATCGTTGCCGTTTAAGTATTTGATTGTTATCCAGATGCTAATGAATGAAAGCCTGCTTTAACTATTTCCCAAAGTTATAATACCTTGCATTTTTATCTATTAACATTCACGATTCCGAACGTATCTCTCGTTAATTGTTGCATGTTATTCAGGATAATCTACTGTTTACAAGGGTGCTAGAAAAACCTGATTTGCACCCAATGTAAGACAAATTAAGTTCTTTAAATGACGACCTATCTGCGCGTCGTTTATGATGAATTGCGTTCGTTCTTAAGCTGACGTATTTTTTCCCGTTAAAAATGAAAATGTAAATTTATACGCTACTAGAAAATAATACAAAATGAAAATATTAGCTTTCGTAATTTCTTTTCAAAACCGTATTTATCTGTGATATGCAAGAAAAAGACTCAAACACTGGCAGTTGTCACAGAGACGAATATCTAGCTTTCGGGTAACTGTGTAGCAGAAACTCCTTACCGCAATAAACAGTTACTGTCGAGCCAGATATTCCGGTCTGTATCGGCAGCCGGTGTTAGATCCATATACCCCTATACGAAATCTTTTCTCTCTAAAATCTGCGTTATAATTATAACTTTTCCATTTACAAATTTCTGAAAAGGCTTATCAGTTATACTTGCCAAACATTTAAATCTTAGGTAATTCACATATAAACAGGATATCAGACAGGATTATGTAAGGTTTACACATGTGCTATTAAACTCTGTCTTACACCCCTCATGTAAGACAAGTCGCGTGCTTTAAATGACGTCATGGCCGCGCGCCTTTTATGAATGAGTAACGTTAATTAAGTTGTAAGTTCATACGCTACTATAAGGAAAAAGTGCGTAATGAGAATATCAGTTTTCGTAATGTTTGTTCTGAAAATAATTTATATGTAATATGCAAGAAAAAGAATCAAACACCGGCTGTCGGTGCAGATGGGAATATCTAGCTCTCGGGTAACAGTTTAGCGGAAACTAGGCAGAGCCTCGTTACCACCGTAAACAGTCACCCTGGAGCTAGAAATTCCGGTCTGTACCGGCAACCAGTGTAAGATTCATATATTATGTTTTAACATGGTAATCTTACTTGCATAATTTTTGTTTACAGATATAAATGAGTGCAGTAGTAATGATCATGGTTGTCATCAAAACTGTATCAATACACCTGGATCTTATTACTGTTCCTGTAACAAAGGCTTCTCACTGTCTTCTGATTATAAAACGTGTAACGGTTTGTATTCATTTTTTTCAATTTTGTTTTTGTCAATTTTGTTACATTATCTTTTATTGCTTTATTTTTTTTAAAAAGCAAATGTTAATATCCTTAAGTGTACAATTTCATAATGTTCTTAAGGGGATAAAACAAAATTCTCTTATATTTAATGATTTGTAATACCTACTTTACAATCTGTATTTTACATTTATCACACACCCGTGCCGATTTTGCGACTCCGTAAATATGGTATTGCACGGCCGTGCATGACGTCATTAGCGTTATACAAGACGCGCTAAATGTTAGCGTTATACTATAGGCGTGTCAATGAAAAATGACTTTTTCACTTTAAACGGTCTTTATTTTGGGTATGTGATAAAAAGATTATTAAATTCGTGTAAGTTCTTCATTACTGAATTTATTGCACTCGTTGAATAAAATAATATTATGCACGCCAGAGGCTCGCATAATATGATTTTATTTAACTCTTGAACTTACACTAATTCAATATCCTCTATATACGTGCATGAATGCTGTTTATATCAATGTTATTTTTCTATTTAAATAGATGTAAATGAATGTAGCAGAAATAATGGTGGCTGTCAACAAAATTGTCGCAACACTGATGGATCATTTAACTGCGACTGTAGGTCAGGATATTCTCATAATGTCAGACAGTAAAACTTGCACTGGTATGATATTTAAACATTTATATGCAGTTTTATTTCAAAATAAAAAAAAACACGTAGATATTTTATAAGTAGGAATATACATAGTAAACAAACTGATCTGAATTATCATTAACTTGTGATCATAATTTGTCTTTACAAATTAATGATATCCAACTATGGAAGTATATCACATACGGTTATTACATAATTACACCAATCAGTTCACGCCACTAAGATCCAAACGGCCATGATCCAATGTAAAGGATTTAAATATAAAGAAGGACATTCGTTTAAAACAAGTTCTTTACTTTGGAAATTGTCTCGAATTTCATGTTGTTTAGTACCGCTCATAGTTAAATCGTGCAGGGCACTAAAATGTTTCTTTCCCTCAAACTGCACGAAAGTGTCACATTTAAGTGTCTGTGATTATGACCGTACATGCGGTTCAATTTTACAACATTATAATTTATTTTGTTGGTTCAAAACTTTATTATGAAACAAAAATATGAATGGCGCGTTTCACTTTATTACTGATGGTTTAACATATAACAGAGGTAGACGAATGCCGTACCAACAATGGCGGTTGTCAGCATGATTGTAGTAACACAGATGGTTCTTTCGAATGTTATTGCAAGTCTGGATATATCCTCGCAGGTGACGAAAGAAAATGCAATGGTAAGATTGCTCTCATAAAATGAAGGATATTTTTAAATTTCCATTTTAATTTTAGGAGAGGCATTCACATCGTTTACTAGGTGCTTTAACTTTATTACAGTTTAGCTATTTATTTCTAAATGGGTTTTAGAAATTTACTTCTAAATATCTTTTCGTATGTACGTTGCCGTTTAAGTATTTGATTGTTATCCAGATCCAGATAATAATGGTGAAAACCTGCTTTAATTATTTTCTAGGGTTATAATACCTTGTAATTTATTCTTTTAACTCTCACGATACCGAACGTATCTCTCGTCAATTGTTGCATGTTATACAAAATAATCTACTGTTTACATAGGTGCTAGAAAAACCTGTTTTACACCACATTGTAAGGCGAATAACGTGCTTTAAGTGATGACATACCCGTGCGTGTTTTTGGAATGAATTTCGTTCATAGAATAACGTCAGTTATGAATGAAAATTTAAATTCATACGCTACTGTAAGGAAATACCTAAATAAAAATATTAGTTTTCGTTTTTACTTTTCGAAATATCATTCATCTGTTATATGCCAGAAAAAGATTCAACACTGACAGTTGTTACAGTGACGAATGTCTACCCGGTGTAAGAACCTCCTTACCGCCGTTAACAGTTACTGTCGAGGTAGATATTCCGGTCTGTACCGGCAGCCGGTGTTAGATCCATGTACTCATAGTCTTATACTAAATCTATTCTCTCTACAATCTATATTATAATTATAACTTTTCCATTTACAAATTTCTGAAAAGGTACATTAGTTATACTTTCCATACAAAGCTAAGGTAATTCACTATCTTTATATTTTAACATGTTAATCTAACTGGTAACATTTTTGTTTACAGATATAAATGAATGCAGTAGTAATTATCATGGTTGTAACCAAAACTGTATTAATACACCTGGATCTTATTACTGCTCCTGTAGCACAGGCTTCTCGCTTTCTGCTGATAATAAAACGTGTAACGGTTTGTATTCAATTTTTTGTATCAATTTTGTTACATCTGCTGTAGTTTTTTAAGAAAGCAAATCTTAATCTCCTAAGTTTACAGTTTTATATTGTTCTTAAGTGATAGTGATTATTTGTTTAAATTAATAGATTCTTTTTTCGGGTTTGCCTAAAATACGAAAGTGAGATTTTTGACGAAAGTGAGCGAAAGTGAGCGAAAGTGACTTTTAAAATATTAATAGTAACCTTGTAATAGACTTTTACAATATAATTGCAGTTTGTAGACGTATATTATTAGAAATGACTTATAATTATTATAAAAAATAATCATAATGATGATTTATTCGGTTTTTATTTGCATAATTTATATACACAAATTCTTATAGATCCTTTCGCTTACATTGAAAAATACGAAAGTGACTTATAAAATATAAAATATACCGTTTAAATTGAAATTATTTTTACTAATATTGCACAAAGTGGACGTATAATATCAGAAAATGATAATATTTACTTTCAAAGATAATCATTATGATGATTAAATCGCCATTTATTTACACAAGTTATATACAGAGATCTTCCTTTCGCTCGCATTGAAAAATACGAAAGTGGCTTACAAAATATCAAATATACTGTTTAAATTGAATTTATTACTAAAATTGCAATTAATTTGTAGACGTACAATATCAGAAGTCAATTATATTTATTTTTAAAAATAATCATTATGATGATTTAACCGCATTTACACAAGTTAAAAGATCTTCCTTTCCCTCACATTGAAAAATACGAAAGTGACTTAAAAAATGTCAAATATAGCGCTGAAAGACGCATGTTTTCAGAAATGAATAAATTATCATTAAAAAAAATCATTATGATGATTTAATATCCATGCATTTTCATAAAAAAATATTGCTGTATACGGTTCTGATATCTTACTTTTGCCCACATTGAACAATACAAAAGTGACTTAATCGGACGAAAGTCAATGTCAATATTCACGATATTAATGTTTTTATAATAAAAAAATAAATGAGTCATTTTCATTATTATTCATGTTTTCATGGTGATTGACCTATAACTGATGATGAAAATGACTAGCACAAAATATAAAAAAAAATCCTAACTTATTAAAAGATTGAACTTTACCGATATATATAGTACGATATTTATAGAAATTTCCGTGGATTACTTATTTCCTTTTTTCATAGTGAAATATTATTTTAACAATGATGGGAAATTCCAAATTATTTTTCAAATTAACATGTACATCGCTCATCTACACCTGGGTGAGCATAATAACTGCCACTTTAATCCGTGCAAGATATCTATGGTGGTGCAGAAGGAAGGTTAATTCAATTGTCCACTCAATAAACAACGGGCAAATGTCATCATAGATAATGTGGTACCAGATTTTTTCATCGATGCTAAGCATTTTATTTCACCCTTTCTTGTTAAATTGTTTAATAAGATTTTTGAAAGTGGAATTTATCCTGAATCTTGGACTAAAGGCACCATAGTTCCAATATATAAGAAAGGAGATCCTACGAACCCCAGTAATTATAGGGGAATTACCTTGATAAACTCGATGGCTAAATTGTTTTCACTATGTTTGAGAAATAGACTGAATAAATGGTGTGAAAATGAAAATGTTTTAAATGATATACAATTTGGTTTTAGAGATAAACGTAGTACTGTAGATTGTGTTTTTATTCTTCATAGTATTATTCAAAAGGTTTTTTGTAACAAAAATAAACTTTACTGTGCTTTTATAGATTACGAGAAATGTTTTGACACTATTACCCGTGATTCATTGTGGACAAAGTTAGTAGAAATTGGTGTAAGTTGTAAATTTGTAAATATTGTTAAATCACTATATGAGAGAGTCACGTCATGTGTTAAAATATCATCTACATCTAAATTGTCTGATTTTTTTTGAAATGTCACTGGGTTTAAAGCAAGGGGAACCACTCTCACCGTTGCTTTTTATACTGTTTGTTAATGATGTTAGTGATTCACTAGATTTTAATAATTTGTCAGATAGTGACTTACAGCAACTTTCAGTATATCTTTTGCTTTTTGCCGATGATATAGCGGTTTTTACAACGGACAAACACAGTTTACAATCCCAGTTAGATAGTATATACATGTATTCAGTCAGATGGAAATTAAAAATTAATGTGAGTAAGACAAAAATATGTGTATTTGAAAAAGGAAAACAAAGACATGATTTTGAATGGTTTATTAATAATGAAAAAATTGAAGAAGTTGACAGTTTTTGTTATTTAGGCATTAAACTTGTTAAAACAGGAAATCTTCGTTTTGCTGTTAAGGCCCTATGTGACCAGGCGCTTAAAGCCATGAATAGTTTATTATCTCTTTTTAAAAAGATTAGCATTGATTTAAAGACCAAACTAGTATTATTTGATAGACTTATTGTTCCCATTTTATTGTATGGTTCAGAACTTTGGGGAATATACAATTATAAAGAGATTGACAAGTTACATATTAGGTTTTGTAAAATTATCCTGGGTGTTAGAAAACAAACTACAAATGCTGCTGTACTAGGAGAACTCGGGAGATTCCCGTTATCTATTATAAGTATTGAACGTTCCTTTAAATATTGGATTAAACTTAAGAGCAATAATAATAATTCTGTTTTGTGTGACATTTTTATACAACAATGTACACTATCACAATTAAATGTTAATAATTGGGTGTTTAGAATTAAACAAACTCTTGACAATCAAGGTCTTTCACATATATTTGATATATTTAATCCTAATTTGAATTATTTTTTTATTATACAAAGACGATTGCGTGACCAGTATATTCAAGAATGGAGTTCAAGTTTAAATACCTCGCGCAAATTAGAATATTATGCAAAATTTAAAAATGTGTTAGAATTTGAACCTTATCTTAATAATATTGTCAACGATATTTCTAGAATCCAGTTAACTAGATTCCGTTTGTCTTCGCATAATCTTGCAATTGAAACTGGAAGATTTAATAATATAGAGAGAAATGAAAGATTGTGTTTATTTTGTAATCAGAAACAGATTGAATCTGAATATCATTTTTTATTGATTTGTCCAAAATATAATAATATCAGAAAAGATTTACTTCCAAAATATTATACATCTTGGCCTTCGCTTAATAAATTTGTTGCATTAATGAATAATAATAATAAAACTATTCAAGTAAAATTAGCAACTTATATTAAAGAGGCGTTTAAAGTAAGAACATTTGCTATTGAGCTAAATGAATTTTTACAGACAAACAGTGCTTAATTGTAAATTTATTTTCATTGTATTGTAATGTTTATATGTTATGTGTTTGATTAATCATATGCATTTGAATTATTATTGTACATTTATATGTTATTTTGTCTTGGCCATATTCTATAATTATTTACTTGTAAATGGCCAAAGGCATATTTATGCCGATTGCTAAATAAAGATTGAAATTGTCATCAGTTACATACCGATGATTGGATTATAATAATACTTAACTGGGATTAAAGCGTCATGCGGTCACCGTCGTGATTACTATCAATTAAAGTGGATGCGAAAATGATATGACAACACGTGTTTGCACGTAAACATATTCATACTTTATTTTGTCTCATTCGTATACATGCATTTTTAAACATATATACAACATTACATAAAACCTACATAAGACCATTCCATTTAAGAATTTCAAGAGACATTATAATAATGAGAAACACATTCAAGACCTATTACTGTTAGATTAGAATCAAACAGTATAATTACAATATAATATATAAAAAGAATATTATAATGTTAGGTAACACCATCGTTAATCAAAAATTAAAAACTGCCCGAAAAAGACGATGTAAGAAATTGAGAACTGTAAATCGGAGCCCTAACGCATACATTGTATAATTCATGTTTTTTTGCCAATTATAGTTTACATAATAAATTACATTTTTCATCTTAACATATTAAGTTTTATAAAAATGATAGTTACTATAGCTTATAACATACGTCTACAAACTGCAATATTATCATGAAATTCTATTTCAACGCTATATTTGATATTCTGTAAGTCACTTTCGTCAGGCTGACAGTAAGCGAAAGGAAGATCAATGTCTGAGCTTGTGTATAAATATATTATGCTAATAAATGAAGATCAAATCATATTGATTAAAGATACTTGTTTTGATAATATACGTCTACAAACTGCATTATTAATATTAAATGCAATTTAAACACTATATTTGATATTTTTAAAATCACTTTCGCTTCCTCTCCCTAACATTGAAAATACGAAAGTGAGCGAAAGTAAGATATATAGAAATAATGAAAATGCATGAATATTAAAACCTCATAATGATTTTTAAGTATTTTTTATTCAATTCTGAAACTATGCGTCTACAAACTGTTATATTAATATAAATTCAAAATAAATGGTATATTGAATGTTTTATAAGTCACTTTCGTATTTTTCAATAATAGCGATATATATAATGATTATTTTTGAAAATGAATATTATCAATTTCTGATAATATACGTCTACTTAGAGCAATTTTAGTAAAAAAATCAACTTAACCAGTATATTTAATATTTTATATGTCACTTTAGTATTTTTCAATGTGAGCGAAAGGAAGATTTCTGAACTTGTGTATAGAAATTATGCAAATAAATGGTGATTAAATCATCATAATGATTATTTTGAAAAATAGATATTATCAAATTCCAAAACTATACGTCTACAATCTGTTATATTAATATAGATTTAAATTAATCGCTATATTTGATATTTTGAAGTCACTTTCGTATTTTTTCAATCTGAGCGAAGGAAGATATCTGAACTTGTGTATAAAAATAATGCAAATAAATAGCGATTAAATCATCATAATGATTATTTTAAAAAGTAATTATCATCAAGTTCTGATAATATACATCTACAAATTGTAATTTTAGTAAAAATTTCAATTAAAACAGAATATTTAATATTTTATAAGTCACTTTCGTATTTTTCAATGTGAGCGAAAGGAAGATATAAGAACTTATGTATAGAAATTATGCAAATTAGTAGCGATTAAATCATCATTATGATTATTTCTGTTAATAAATATAATTATTTTCTAATAATATACGTCTACAAACTGAAGTTTGTTTTAAAAGTCTATTAAAATGCTATAATTACTATTTTAAATGTCACTTTCGCTCACTTTCGCTCACTTTCGTCAAAAATCTCACTTTCGTATTTTAGGCATACCGTCTTTTTTCTATATAATTATTTGTAATACATGCTGTATAAATGCTGTTTAGATCAATGTTTATTAATCTTCTATTTAAATAGATATTGATGAATGTAGCACAAACAATGGTGGCTGTCAACAAGATTGTCGCAACACTGATGGATCATTTAACTGTCACTGTAGGTCAGGATATTCTCTAATGTCAGACAGTAAAACTTGCACTGGTAGGGTATTAACACATTTATACATATGTATGTACTTTTATTTCAAATCATTTTATCGCTTTAGGTTTGTTTTTTAAAAAATCACAATGTGCATATAAATAAGTATTTATGCTCATATTTTTCTTTAATTATATCATTAAATCGTACGTAAGAGGATTTAACTATTCAAATGTTTTTCAAATGAAAATTTCGTAAGATTGACCCTATGTTTTGCATAAATGCATTTTGTATCAGCTGTTCCTTTATAGATATTGATGAATGTAGCACAAACAATGGTGGCTGTCAACAAGATTGCCGCAACACAGATGGATCATTTAACTGCGACTGTAGATCAGGATATTCTCTAATGTCAGACAGTAAAACTTGCACTGGTAGGATATTTACACATTTATATTTACTTTTATTTCAAAACCAGGATTAAATATATAAAGCATACTGATCTGAAATATCATTAACTTGTGATCATAATGTGTCCTTCCAAATTATGGTTCCAATCTATGGAAGTATATCAGATACGGTTATTACATAATAACACAAACCAGTTGAGGCCACTAAGATTCAAACGGCCATGATCCAATGTTAAGGATTTAAATAAAAAGAAAGACATCCGTTTGCAGCAAGTTTTTTACTTAAACAATTGTCTCGAACTTCATGTTATTTTGTCTCGCTCAAAGTTGAACTGCACGAAAGTGGTGCATTAAAGCGTCCATGGTCATGACCGTACTTTCGGATCAATTTTACAAAATTATAATTTATTTTGTTGGTTCAAAACTTTATTATGACTCAATAATATAGAATAGCGCATCTTCCCTTAATCAAAAATGTTTACACACATAACAGACATAGACGAATGCCGTACTAACAAAGGCGGTTGTCAACATGATTGTAGGAACGTAGTTGGTTCGTTCCAATGTTACTGTAGGTCTGGATATTTGCTTACAGATGACAATGTAAACTGCAACGGTTAGTTTGTTTCAATAATACAAGCATTTTATTTTCCAACTGACATTCAAGTCACGTTTTCTAAAATTTTACGTTTATTTTTTTATTCATTTTATTGATAAGTTGTGTTCCTTATGTATGTGTGTCGTTTCGTGAATGCAAGCCTGTTTCAACAACATCCTTATTTTCTGTTAAAGACCTTCTTTCTATTAACTTTAATGACCTGATATCGTAATTTCATATAGTCTTTCTACATGCTACATTATTACTATTACTTTCCCGTTTACCAATTTTTGAAAGGTACACCAGTCATACTAGCCATTTATTAAACGCTCGCATAATTTACTTCTTAGTGTTTAACTAGTTATCCTTACTGGTAACTTACTTTTCTTGACAGATGCAAATGAGTGCATTAGTAATGATCATGGTTGTAACCAAATCTGTATCAATACACCTGGATCATATAAATGTTCCTGTAATGCAGGTTTCTCGCTTTCTACTGATAATAAAACGTGTAACGGTATGTATTCAATTTTGTAATATCAATTTTGCAATCTGACTTAAGTGAAGATCTACTTATTTCTTTAATGTTGATCTTATGACGACCGTATATGTCTTTCAAAGCTATTTTTAGCCATGCAATCAAATCGGTTTTAACAAAGGCATTAGAAGAAGTATCAAAATACCGTTATCCGTGGAAGTTAAACAAATTGTTGATTTTTGTTAGAAAAAAAAATGTTTGAATTTTTTAACAATATCTAGAAGTAGAAGAGTCAATTTTAATGGGCAAAATTGTTTTGACAGTTTAGCTGTCGGCTATTTGGAGAACGCCATATTTGTTTACGAAATGGAAAAAATGCCTACTCATTGTTTTTCAGAGGGTTAAAATAAAAAAAACGCATCGCTTTAAAAATAATGAAAGCTCGCCGATGAATCGATGTGTGAAAGGTCACCAGAAATGACTTCGTATTTGGTCACGTCCGATTTAAAAGCGGAGCGTTATTTAGAGCAGATTTAAATCATATTTATCATTTTGTTACATCGTGTTTTATTGCTTTAGTTTGTTTAATAAGCTAATGTTCCTATCCAAAGGTTTATAGTTTGTAAATTTTTTTTAGTGATATTGATTTGTTTTTTTTATTTATAGATTTTCTTATATAAAATGATTTGTTTAACATTCCTCATATGAGCATAAATGATGTTTATATCAATGTTGAATATTTTTCTATTTGAATAGATATTGATGAATGTAGCTCAAACAATGGTGGCTGTAAACAAAATTGTCGCAACACTGATGGATCATTTAATTGCCACTGTAGGTCAGGATATTCTCTAATGTCAGACAGTAAAACTTGCACTGGTAGCGTATTTACATATTTATATGCACTTTTATTTCAAAATCAAAAACGCGTAGATATTCTTATAAGTAGGTTTATGGATAGAATGCAAACAGATCTGAATTATCATTAGTTTGTGATTATAATTTTTCTTTACAAATTACGATATTAATCTATGGAAGTATATAAGATACGGGTTTCTTTTACATATTTACACAAGTCAGTTGAGGCATCCAAGATTCAAACGGCCATGATCCAATATAAAGAATTTAAATGTTAAGAAAGACAACCGTTTTAAACAAGTTTATTTCGAAAATTGTCTCGGATTTCATGTTGTTTACTCTCGCTCAAAGTTGAATCATGCAGGACAGTGAAATGTTTCTTTTCCTCAAACTGCCGAGTGTCAAATATAAGGGTCCATGATCATGACCGTACATGCGGATTGCTATTACAAAATTATACTTTATTTTGTTGTTTAAAAATATTGTTATTACACAATGATATAAAATTGCGCATTTCACTTCATTAAAATTCTTCATTAAAATGCTTTCACACATAACAGACATAGACGAATGCCGTTTTAACAAAGGCGGTTGTCAACATGATTGTAGGAACGTAGTTGGTTCATTCGAATGCTACTGCAAGTCTGGATATTTGCTTACAGATGACAATGCAAACTGCAACGGTTAGTTTGTGTGAATGATACAAGCATATTTAAATTTCCAACTGATATTCAAGTTACTTTTCTATTATTTCTTTGAGTGGTGTAACTTCAAAAGATATTTATTTGTTCGCTATTTTTTTCATTTATTTCATTGATAAGTTGTTACCTTATGTATGTTGTCGTTTCATGCATGCAAGTCTGTTTCAACAATTTCTTTTTTTTCTGTTTATTACATTCATTCTATTAACTTTAATGACCTCATATAAAAGAGTTATCGTTATTTCATACATGCTACATTATTACTTACCAATTATTGAAAGGTACACCAATCATTCTAGCCATATTACAATCGCTCAGATAATTTACTGCTTAATGCTTTAACTTATATTCCTTACTGATAACTTCATTATTTACAGATGCAAATGAGTGTAGCAGTAGATATCATGGTTGTAACCAAAACTGTGTTGATACACCTGGATCATATCACTGTTCTTGTTACCCAGGCTTCTCGCTTTCTACTGATAATAAAACGTGTAAAGGTTTGTGTTCAATTACGAAACATTACTTTTTATCGTTTTTGGTTTGTAATTAAGAAGCACGTACACTGTGCATATCATTAAGTATGTGTTCATGGCGTTCTTTAATGATACAGTTAAATTGTACGTTTCTCTCATGTAAAAATTATTTTACTATTCAAATTTACTTACAAAAATTCCGTAAGAGTCTGTATTTTGCATAAATGCATTTTATAACAGCTTTCTTTTATAGATATAGATGAATGTAGCACAAGCAATGGTGGCTGTCAACAAAATTGTCGCAACACTGATGGATCATTTAATTGCCACTGTATGTCAGGATATTCTCTAATGTCAGATAATAAAACTTGCACTGGTAGGGTATTTACACATTTACTTACAGTTGTGTTGATATATTTTATAGTTACACTGAGAAAGATGTTTTTTTTAGTATAAAGCAGTCAAATATGTATAAATTTTATTATCATTATTTTATCCTCCACGCAAATAACGTCACAATAGAAAAAAATAAGAATCCCTAAAGAAAGCCCAAAACGACAAAATTGAAAATGTTGCAGGCTCGGTTTGATTGAGCCTGTTAATGGACGGTACTGTAAAGTGCAAACTACCGTCCACGCCCCCTAGCACCGGCTTAAGCAGAATTCAACATTTAAACATGAAATGGTCATTTTTTTAAATTTAGAAACATCAGCAAATGTGTTCATACGGCGGTTTTCATGGAACCTTCAATGTGACACTTCCATGTCATTCTATGAAAAGCGGCGTATGGTCCCCAAGTAATAGAAAGCGTGTGTCCTAAACGAGAAAACAATGGGTGGAACTAAATAAAATGGAAATTCGAAAGGAGATCAGAGGTTATGACGCCTGTATATCACAGATAAGACGTCAAAAGAAATAGTTAAAAAGCAGGCAACAAGGGTGAATTAACATTATTCAAGTAGGAATATTGGAACCACCCAGCTAGAAAATGCCGAATAGTTAAAACTTAAAATACCACAAGCACAACAATAATGTCGTGCTGAACGATCTTTAAGGATCGGAAATATAACATCTCTGATTGAATGTACGGGGCGACTTTTTACAGCCTCCAAACTCGATAAAAGGACACTAGAAGCATTTGTTTTTAAAGCTACACAAATCAAATGAGGTGCCAAAAGTCAGTGATTAAATGTATACTAGTATAATAACAAAATAGACTCTTTATTTCCTTGCCCAAATTCCATGTCGTATAGTTCATAATTTTGTTTAAAGGCGCTCACTTTCTTTCGGAATTTAGGAATAGGCCGCTTATCTTCGAATTGCGATGAAAATGCACATTGAATGGTCCATGATTCCTGCCATATTGGCGGATTGATGTTAGAAAATTTTAATTACACTCAATATTATGTTTAGTTTTAGAAATCTGCTTTATTTAATGCACTAAGATTGCAATTTCAGATTTCATAGTTGGGTTGGTGTAACTATTCTTATCTTTATTATCAAACAATAATATGCATCTTGCTTTTGCTTTGATTAAAAAAAATCAACCTCGCACCACCTTAATTACAATGGCGGTTGTCAGCACGATTGTAGGAAACAGTTGGTTTAATCCCTGTATATCTTGGTATTTTTTCACAGTTTTTTTAGTTCTAAAAATCTAAGGATACTTATCGTTTACATTCAAGGATAATCAAATCAAATTATACATTTTATACTTTCTTAACTATTATAACTTTATTAGTTATTTATACAAGTTGTCGTTCATAAGTAGCGTTTCTTACGTACATTTCGTAATTGGATTTTATTCCTGGTGTTTAAAAATTAAAAACTAAATTTCCTTTTTTGTATATTTCATTTTATTGTGCTCACTTTCAAAATCTTATGTACCTAATGTTTTTAATGAATATATTTTACAAGATGCCGACACGACATTTTTTACCCGATTCAGGAATGTTTTCTATTACTATCGTTGCTATTACCCACCCGATTTCGAAGAGATAAGGCGCGGGATACCAGCTACCAACAATATTATATCAAAGTTATGAAAACCCTTAAATGATTTTCGTTAACATTCGAGTACAGTTATACGTTCATAGCTACAGCTGAGTGATACGATACACACTCAAAAATAACACACATGATTTTAAATACTTTTATATAAAAGGAATAAATAATTTGTATAATTTCAAATTGTAAAATGAAATCTCGTGTATCTGTACTCTAAAAGAAACAGAACATTTTTAGAGAAATAGTTAATATAAATAGAATAAAAAACGATGTGTTCCTTATCAAAAATGAAGCGGGTTCCTTACCATGTAAATATAACTTTATATGTCATATTTTATTTTCGATTGGTACCGCGCCCATGAAAACTAATTGTACTCGAATGTTCTCAGTTCATTATTTTGATATACTGTGGATAGCTTTTACAATTACGGGTATTCTGTTTCTTATTTCTTAAAAGTAGGTAGAAAAAATACTTGAATCCGGCAAAAAAATGAGCCTAAATGTCATATGGTATCGCCAAATTGAATGAGTTTGGCATAACAGATTTTAGTGCATATAACTAGGTAACTAAATAATTAAGATAAGTATAAGTCATTTGCTATTTTTTATCATATCATTTCTTAGAAAACTTAGATGTATGTTTCATTATCTTGTTTTTAGACGACATTGGCGAATGTCAGATTAATGACGACAGAAAAAGCAAATGTGTCAGTAAAACTTATGGCTACGACGATTTCCTTATAAACCGTGCTACGCCTTTAAATAGATGAAGCTTGCATTTTAATTGCTAAATTCTCCGTATGTGATAGACTACTAATCCTAAATGATATCTGCATCTGCTTTGAGAGAAATGACTATCAGACTCAATATTCAAGATCAATTGTCACAAAAAACATTTCGCCTCGCTTCTGGTCCAAATCAACAACCCTTAAATTACAAACCAATTCTCCTCTTATTAAACGGGGTTGGGGGCAGGGAGGAAGTAGACTAAACACAAAAGATGACTTTTTTATTTAATAGTTAGTTTTACCGTTCTTTTTTCATGATATATGGTATATAATTTTCATCTGATACGGTTAAAATCACATAAAATCACATAACAAAGAAGGCGGTCATAAATAATATTCTTGCTTTTTTTAAACATTTACAAATGTAAATCCGTGTTTCGGCATAATCGTGAGGTTAGCACTTCTAGGGGCAAGTTGCTCTTTTCTTGGACAAGAACTTTTATACTGATTTCTCAGTACTGGTTTATTGCAGGAATATAATCATGAGTATGTCTGTAAGCTTATATGTTGCACACAATCGAACTTATTAAATTATTTATAGGGTAATATAAATCAGGCAGTTCTGAATATGAGCATGAATTTTATAACTTGGTTAGTACTGTGAATGTTACTGTAGTTTTTGGCAATGTCAATTACACAAGTAATAGTAAGTTTTGTTAAACGTTATACATGTACTTAAGACGATAATATATTACTATCACTGTGATGGAATTGTAACACAATTTAAAACTCATTAACGTGCTTTGTTACAGTGATTCTTACAACAAATCATGTACAGGAACATATATAAATTTGTTTATAATAAAGAAAGTTTTAATGATATTCCAAACTTATGCACAATTTTAAGTCGATGTTGTAGCACGGGGTTTTACTACTTTTAACTTGAGTGTCATGTACAGTCTTAACGAAATGTATTCTTGAATTTGCACCAACTATTTTGTGTCATTGCTTAAGAGCAACCTCACCTTTTCAGAATATATTAACTTCATATTGACTCGTGAGCTTTTCGTGAAATTTCAGATATAAATGAGTGTTCTTCCGATAATGGGGGGTGCAGTCATTATTGTAACAACGGGAATGGGACATATGAATGCAGCTGTAAAGACGGATATGCTCTTGATGGAGATTTGACATCTTGTAATGACATAGATGAATGTTCCAAAGCTAATGGCGGATGTGATCAGATATGTAACAATCAAAACGGTTCCTTTGCATGCGGCTGCTTTGATGGTTTTACGTTATTAAAAGACAGTGTTTCATGTCTGGACAAAAATGAATGTGAGATAGAGAACGGTGGTTGTGACCATATATGTACAAATAACGATGGTTCGTTTACCTGTGATTGCAAAAGAGGGTATTCAATACAAGGTGATAATTCCACGTGCGTGGATATTGACGAGTGCCACATTAACATGACTGCGTGTGACCAGTTATGCAGAAACGAACGAGGTGAATATTTTTGCTCTTGTTTTGATGGTTTCTTCCTGAACAATGACAATATATCATGTGATGATATTGATGAATGTAAAAGCGCAAATGGTGGATGCGAACACATTTGTTTAAACACCAACGGCTCGTTTATTTGCGACTGTTACAATGGTTACATTGTGCAGGCCAACCTTTGTTCAGACATAAACGAATGTGAAATTGACCATGGACTTTGCGATCACAACTGCACTAATTTAAAAGGTTCTTATACCTGCAGTTGTTTAAATGGATTTAAACTTCAAGGAAACAATCAAACATGCAAAGACGTGAATGAATGTACTGACGATAACGGCGGTTGTGAGCAAATATGTTTTAATTCTGTTGGGTCATATTCCTGTGGATGTAAAAATGGATTTTCACTCAACCCTGCCAATAATTCCGCATGCGAAGATGAATGTGCTATCAATAACGGCAACTGTAGTCAGACTTGCAATTATAACTTTGGGTCAGTAGTATGTACATGTTACGCTGGTTATGTACTCCAAACAGATGGTGCAACATGCTTAGATTTTGATGAATGTTCAAAAGACAATGGGGGATGTCAATCGTTGTGTTCTAACACAGAGGGTTCATTTAAATGCGGCTGTGACGAAGGAAAAGTACTAAACGAAGACGGGGTCAGCTGTAATAGTAAGTTCGCATCAGACTGTTACATTTAATACGAACGTAAATCTATGACATAATTTTGCAGTAGAAAAAGATTTCTAATTTACAATTGCCTCTTATTAAAAGCACATTATCTTATTATTCGGCCATTGTTTAAGGAATTGCACACATTATATCAAATAGCGTAATTCTAACGAAATGACATGTTTTTTTTCAGAACACAACTAATATGTAACTTAACATTATACATGTATTGTCATGTTGTTTTATACATAAATTGTGTTGCTGTTGTCGTTGTAGAGACAAATATAGCATCAATATACATGTCATTGAGACTAGTAGTTAATGAAATAACAACTTTAGCAACATCTACCATTTTTGGAGCAGCAAAGGAGTCGGTATGTTAACTTTTATATATGTATTAAAACACGAAATAAGATTAATATTACATTAGATAACACATAACAATGAATTTCGATGTTTTAGGAATAAAGATCGATAGCAATATACTAAAAGTTTTATGGCGAGGTTATTAACAAGTTTGGAGTCAAAATAGGTTTTCATAGACAGATAAATTCCTTTAAAAGTACAAACATTTTTATTATTTTTTGTTTGTTTTGCAGCTTGAAACATACTTCAAGACATTAATAGGAACCCCATTTACTCTAGCAATAAATGAGATAAGGTTTGTTATTGGCTTTGTTTGTGATATTGTGCTTAAACTTTAAACATATGTTAAAATTTAAAAATGCCTCTCCAACACAATTCATTGCACCATGTCGTCCATTGAATCAAATGTGTGTCTCGCAATATACGTGTCACTTTTTTCACAGTACCAATGTTAAGTTAATCATTTTAAAGTAACACGAACCAAGTTTTATTCCAGGTCATCTACAAAGGAAAATGGAACGCTCGAGATTTTTGTAACGTATACAGTTTCGTATATCAGAACCGCATTACACAATATTGAAAAAGAACGTCTTTTGCGAGGAACAACTAAACTAACTGAATGGACTGATGTGCAATTCAACGGAAAACCCGCCCAAGCGATACTAAGTATGCATAAATACCTATATGGCCCTAATTTTTTACATTTGAATAATCAGATAAGTGGATTATAATAAGAATTGCACCACAAAATAATCTTGACAAAAAACGCATGTCAATGTTTGTGGTTAAATATATTGTTTATCAAATAAAATGTCAGAGTAGGGATCTATCAATATCAATGTAAATTACAGTGTTTTGCGATGAACGACTCAGATACCAAGTATTGTTTTAATCAAAGTATGCTGTTAATGTTTTTATTTTGTTTTTCTTTGAATTTGCATAGCAATTTTTTAATTGGCCATATTTAAAATCGTGAACTTGAATGAAATACACGTGTTTGCGTTTAATTTACAAACGTTATGTTTTTGTATGTGTAGAATATAAGCAAAGCAAATAATTGTGCATTCTTTCAGTTTTACCGGAGGGAGGACTCTGTGAAGTGCACATTATAATAAATGGCGATTGTGAACCTGGGTACCATTGTCAGTTGAATGAAAATGTGCCTCGCTGTCGGTATGTTGTAAAGTGACATATACCCATATTTCTTTCATTTTTAAGTAAGAACATTACAAGCATTTTAAGTTTATCGCTAAACGACAGAGCGTTATTATTTGTACAATGAAAGTTCCAAAGTAATAGACGACCGAAACACGCGATAGAAAAGCCCGAAATTAATGTATTCATTCACCCAACAAGTGATTACATTATGTCTATTTATATAATGCATTTACAAATATGATGATAAATTCAGCAAAAAGATTACATTGTAACCCTCTTTGAAGTTCTCTGTGATCGACATACAGCCCTTGAATCTACCGGGTTATTTTCATTTACAAAAACACTTTGTTACATTTTTCTTAATCATAGGAAAACAGAGCACACAGATGACCTCAATCAAGGTAAGTTCTATATTTAAAAATATGTGTCTATATTTAACCGTTTTTCATACTATTTGACTTATTTCTTTCCTTTGGCATGGTCACGTTTTGAGTTAACATATGAAAATGATGTGTTAATAAAGTTTACTTTTTGAGCAACTTTTATTCATGTCAAATCACACAAAAACTTGTAAGATTAGGATAACATTTTCCCTCTACTGGTCTTGTAAGAAACAACAATAAGATTGTTTCAAAAAAGGAATTCATATAATTGTCTAATAGTTGATCAAACTGAACTTTGAAAATTATAAATACAATTTGTATAGATTATTATCATCATATGTCATAAGTTAAACGAGATATCATAACTAAAACTGAATCTAAATACGAGAATTTATCAGGTCTAGGACAAATGCAGGAATTCATGTTACAAATTGCATATCAATTTTTCGAAAATCTCTTATCTTTTTGATGTTTGGATATAACAATAGATTATCAATATTATGTAATAAATTAATAACCGTGTTCTTACAAATTATATATGTTTTGGTGCACCTTCTGTCGTTTTTTTTCCTTTTTTCAACGTGTTCTTTGCATATTGATTTTTTTAAATTCAAGTTCTCATAGAGAACTATTTTTCTTAATGGCAAGTAAGTTCAATCTATTCTATTCTTGAATACCTAAAATAATTTCAAAATGGTCTAAATTCAATGATAAAATTTAGCGTGAACGTATATTATTTTTTAACCCTTGACTTGCTTAATATGTGCAATGGGTGTCCTCTCCTTTGATTTTGTAAAAGTCTTTTTAAAAATTTCAGTAACCGAAATACAAAATTTGGGCAAGCAACAGTTCAGAGTATTGTTAGACGACAAGGATGTGCAGGCTGGCCTGGCTTTAATCTGATGGCAAAGGCTAATCACTTCCGGGTTCAGCATGGTATAGGGGTTAATTCTCTTTTCAATTTAAATAATCGTGTAATATTTTTATATACTTTAGGTAGACTGGTCGTTTATATTGTTCCAGTTATTGTTGCCATAGTCTTTATTGGGTTAGCAGTTATGACCGGCATCTGCATACGTCGGAATAGAATACATTCAGGACTTTCAAGAGTTAAATACAGGTACGTTGTTTTATGTTTCACTTAACCAACAAAACACAGACAGTTTAAGTCGTTTCACATTTTCAAATCTGTATTTTAATACAATAAACAAAATTTTCAGAAAAGTATAATACATATTGTATCGTTTTTCAGGCGTGAAAAGTCTGCCACGGCTTTACATGAACTGGCGGAGAAAAAACAGGAACATGAAAAGTCATATGTGAATTTAAAAATCACGAATACACGTGACGCAACTTCAATTACATCACATATATATGAGGACGTTATGTAAAACCAAAGGAAGAACATGTGTATATTTTCAGGAAAACATGTGCTGTTTGAATGTATTTTAATATTCAGAATTTTTAAATGACAATAGTACCAAATAAAAGTAGTAGATTATATATTTCTTAAACTTTAATTGATATGTGCAAGAAAATTTGCCGTCATAGATGGGAATATCTGGCTCTCGGATAACTGTTCTAGAAAATACTAGAAAACTTCCGCCTTATACAGTTACCTGCTGCAAATATTTTTCCTGTTTTAGATTCTTATACCAACACATATTATCTGCTTCTATATTGTTTAATTATTAAAAAATTAAAATTATATTTTTGCCGTTTTTTGATCCTAATTATTGTATCGAATAACTCGTTATATTTATTTAACTCATATATTTTCATAACTTTTATTTGAATGATTTACTAATAAAATAAATAAACTTGATCTAATATTGAGCATGTGGCTATTTTATACAGCATAGGACATTCATGTTATTTTGTTTTAAGAAAGCCCTTGTTTTATCAAACTACACCTGCAGCAGTTTAAGCGACGAGAGCACATTTGAATCTTGCTAATACAAACTTGGGTGCAACATAGCGTAAGGTCGGCACCTTAAAAATTGTCATACGCTAAGTTAACATTAATATAGCTTCATAAGCTCCTATTACATATTAGAAATAAAATAAGTAGATCTGAATTTTATAGATTATACTAAAACGAAATTGTTCTTATTCGAACTTTTCCTTTGGCAAGTCATCATTGATTAAATTTAACCCTTATTTGAATGCCAATCTTAAAAAGATAACATTACACCAAGTTCATTCTACCGGATACGTTAAATGTAGGCGAGAAGGAAGTAAAAACAAACAAATGATTTCAATGTTTTACCTTAAATTTGATCCTAACAATGCATAAATCATACGATATCTAGTTTACAGACACTTATGTGTTGCATTTTAAAACAACAACAGCATGGCCGAAAGAGGAAACAATAAACGATAGTTCTGTTAAGGCTAAACGAGTTAAATAAATACATATTTTATCTTTATGTATGTATTACATTGTATTAGTTTGTTAGTTAAACAAAATAGTCATTATTTTAAAACACAAGATCATATCATTAATATGACATTCAATTTTATACAAGTACTTTTATTAAGGAGCATATGTACTTTTAAATGAACTCAAAATGCTTTTAAAGTTACTGCTACGTAATTAATAAAACATTTGTCAACATCATTAGCTCATTATATGTATGTACATGTCATGCAAAAGATATTAGACTATTAGAAGGGAACACTTAAGCTATTAAAATGTGTTTAAAGCACAATGTCTGACCATTGTTTTTATTATGTTGATCCATACGATGATTCTTGTCCATTACAGCTGGAGGATATCTGATGCTTCTCTCCCAAAGATTCGGACTTTTGTGACGATTTCTTTGGTTCATTCTCTTGCTTCCTTTCCTGCTTTTTTGAGAAACGATCGTCATGAAAAACATTTAAAATCGCCTTTAAAGCTGCATGCCTCCAGATGAATCAAAATAGTTTAAGAAAATCAAACTTGAAAAAACGTACTTTGATTTATGAGAACAATAAAAAGATTTAAGACTAATGTATTATTTTCATTAATCGTCGATTTGTGACCGATTCTGCAGTATTTTTCACCATATTTCTACTGCGTTACTAACGTAGTAAGGGCTATTTTTGCATACTCTGACCACTTTGTTTCTGATTTACATGGGCTGCATGTGCTGTATCCAGGGTAAAAAATTTTTCAGTGCTTACATGACAATATTTTACTTGTTAAATTTTTTTCAGACTTTTAATGAAAATTTGCATAAATCTGGAGGCGTGCTGCTTTAAAATAGATCTTTAATCCTGATAATTAATTTTATCGTTGAAACGACACTCGTAATTAAAAAAGTGACTTCTTGAAGCTATGATTTAATTTACTTGGTAAAAACAGCTTCTTGAGAAAAGAAATCATAATTGAATGTTAAGACATGTACGTTTAATATATCTTAGTTAAGATCTAATCTGGGCATAATAATTTTATTGTTTAGTTCTACAAACTGTAACTTTATCAAGTAAAAACTAACGTTTACGTTCTTGTCATTAGAAAGCGGTTGCTCTCCAGGAACTTCGGCTTCGTACACGTTTTCAACTACTTCATCATGGTCGACATTGTATAGATGTCGTCTGAAAGATTTATGTTATCATACTTCATGACACATGAATGATTATCGGGTGATATCAGTCTTCTTATATTTTTTCTTGTCCTTCTGGGGGATCATCAATTCAAATAGCTAAATGCTTTGAAGATTGAATACAGATTAAGTCGATGCTAAGGAGGTGGAGGGCGTGAGATATGTTGTAGTTCTTATCAACTCTCATGAATAGACTCGATCAAACCGAGTCTGTAATATATACCATTTACTATTATTGTAATTACTCTCGAGTGATCTCCCTTTTTAGATTAGTAATAATGCATTTGGTTAAATAGCAAAAAAGAATCACTATTGATACATAGAAAGACAGAATAATAATGTACGGATTACAATTAAATATAAAATGAATTGTTCAATTCTCTACCTACGATTTTTAATTTCACAAAAATGGAGTTTAAACAAAAGATTGGAAAATGTTTTGGTGTTATATCTTAACAATTTTGAATTGATATACAAAATGTCAAGGTAGGCAATGGTTTAACATTATACATTAAATAAACCCCAAAAACATGATGTACAAACGTGTACTCACTTGTATTTAATTGGCCAGTTACCAGTCGTCACTTTTTTCCTCTTGATGAAACCGACAACAATACAAATCACTGCAATAACTATAGCACAGGCAAGGACTGGCATAATGTAGACAAGGTATTTTTCTGTAAATGGATTAGCATAGCAATATTGTTTTCCATTTTACCCAACAAGAAGATAGATATACAACTATATTTATATAAAATGTTGTAAAAGTCTATTTAACAAAAGACGTTTTATAAATAGGTAATTACCAAGGTATTTACGGAATACCGTTAGGGCCATCGCCTATAAATGGTTTGATCTGAAACGCGATACTCGACAGTACGATGATGAAAACGCGAAATCACGAAACTACGATGGTGAAAACGCGACAGTACGATGATGTAAAACACGACAGTACGATAACAAAAAACGCGATAATACGACAGTACGATGATGATAATACGATAAACTATCGTGTTTTCATCGTCGTGATTTCGCGTTTTCATCATCGTAATATCGTGATTTCGCGTTTTCATCATCGTACTGTCGTGTTTTCAGCATTGCACTATCGCGTTTTCACCATCGTACTATCGCGTTTTCATCATCGTACTGTCGTATTTTCATCATCGTACTATCGCGTTTTCATCATCTTACTATCGCGTTTTCACCATCGTAGTTTCGTGATTTCGCGTTTTCACCATCGTACTATCGACTATCGCGTTTCAGATCAACACATTCATAGGCGATGGCCCAAACGGCATTCCGTAGGTATAACCTTGGCAGATACTTTAAAAATTTCGAATGGTATTTCGAGCCGGTGCTACGGGGCGTGGATAGTAGCTTGTACTTACCGCTACCGTCCATGAAAAGGCCCAATAAAGCCGTGTCATTTTGCCGTTTTGGCGTTGTTTAGGCATTCAGTTTTTTTAAATTATTTATGAACTTTATGAAATTTAAAGATATGGATGCTTGTCTTAATGCACGTTTTTATCAGAGGGTTATTTCAAGATTTTAGATTACCTTGGAATTTTTCGTTTGGAGAACTGATGTACCTGTAAAGAAATAATCATAACACTGTTTAGATGTGTAAAATTTTGCAAGAAACATATAGAAAAGGGAAAAAAGCAGTAAAAAAATGTTTATCGTTTGAACGAAAACAAGCCTGATACAAACTACAAGCATGTAATATGAATTAATCATGCTAATTGCACTTAAGTTGCCTGTAAATCTGTAAAAGATATACATTTCCTAGTCAATGTATATATTTGTTGTTTTTTGTACTAACATTTATGCACATTTTTGGAGACATTTGTATACATACCAAACTAAGGTATGATCTCATAAAATTCAAGAGTAGGCATGTACTCTTAATACCAAATGGCGTGATCTATCTTAAGCACACGGTCATACTTATCAATACCATGTCTGTTGCCCAGTTCGCTATCTAAGCTGTTGACGCATTTTTATCCTTTTCCAGAATGAAATTGCCTGGATGACAATGCATTTTCATTTAACAGGTTTATCTGTAGGGTCATTTCGTATTTTGTTTGATATTGTATACACTGATATTCATTGAGAATATTTTTCGTAATACACTTATTGGCAATTATTTCGATAATTATTGAAAAAGCTTACTTGCACATAGGTCCAATTTTGCTTTCTGTACATTGAAACCCCTTTTCACAACCTCCAGAGAGAAGTAAGTAAGCGTCACAGTCGGAAGATACGTTTTCTGGCAGATCTAAAATATAACATCAACATTGGTCCTTTCATATTTAAAATAAATAAATCCTTCTCATTATCTGTAAAATGGTATGGCCAATGAAAATGAAAATTGCAGTATATGGCTTCATATTTGTTGTAACCTTGATAATACATGCACATATATTTCTCACCTTGGTATAAAAAATCAAGCAAAATTTTGGTTCTCTATAAAATTAGAAACGATCATTTATCTGTGATAGTAGGAATAAGGACTTACGTAGTTTTGCTTGAGCGGGTTTTCCTTGGAACAGAAATTGTGTGCCATGCCTAAGTTTCAGATTTCCTTTCAGGATTTGATTCCTTGTATTACTCGATTTCTCGCCTTTTTCATACACAATTGTAAAATTTACCATTAGCTTAACATTCGTTTCACCTTTGAGCGAAGTGTATTTTCTGTAAACAATCATACATTCTATACTTGTAAGTATTGAAAATGAGTCAGTAAAATACGACTTTGAATAAAGTAAGTTTATTACAGAACAAATTCAAACAGTGTTGTTTTAATTCATAAAAAGTTGTAAAATTTTAGAATTTTAAGGGTATTTTATTTTGTTTGGATTTTACTCGCACCTACAAAGTATAGGCCACATGGCGACTTTCCTTCTTTACTGGAAGAAAAAGAGCCTAAGTGCTCTTCCGCGCATTATTTCAGGTAAGAACGGGCATCCGAGTAGAACCACCGACGTTCTTTAAGCTAGCTGGATAGATTCCTTACATGAAAGAATCCAAAGACCCTATCGGTATTCGAAACCACAGCGGTAAGGAGCAAGTGGTTTAAAGTCAACGACCTTAATCACTCTATCAAGGACGTCCCCGCGGGTAAAAATAATAAACTGCTTAATTAATTCAAACCTGATTTTACGGATTACTATTTTGAAATAACTTTCAGTGTAGTTCTTGAAGTGCAGCTGGAGCTGAAATGATAAAATAAATAATTTGCAAAATCTGATAAGAAAAACATTCCCAGGAGATATAGTTCACTCGTAGTTTATTTCATTTCTTTCTATTTACCAACATGCTGGCAAAATAAAGCATTGATTGTATTGCAGATCATTCTAGCAATCGACATTTTTTTTTAAATTAATGAATAAAAAGCCCAATATACCTCAGTAGTCTTTTAGTTTCACTTCTCAAAATCTTTTTAAATTTGATATCCCATTTTATTTTCCAACAAATTACTAATTGACCAATAACCTGAACTATTTTTTGCTTCTGTTACTTTCTGTCAATAAGTACAATGATAGTGATTAAGTAGTTTGTATGGAGGTCACAATACTAGTTTGTTTCCATTTTGCTACCTTCATGACAAATAATTTAACATTGAACGCCTCTTTCTCGGGTAATAAGCATTCAATATGCTCTAAAACCATTATTTAAAGTTACAAAACTTTAGTTTGCCCTTTCTAAAGAAGAAAAAGAAATGTTTGTTTCTAAGGCATTATGTCATTTAAGAGTACACTTAACTTAAAATAGAATACACTTACCGAGTACTTAATTTGTTCAAAGACACCCGTTTCTCTGGAGAAGTCAGCTGGTATATCTTTCTTATCCATATCAACTGATATTTCAACCGAAGCTGAGAGTGAATGTTCTTTGATATCTGAAAAAGTTAAATGACAAGTTCAAGCTATAATATATGCATTGTGAAGAGAATGAAAAAGTACCACTAAAACAACAAGCGCGTATTGTCACAAGACCAATAATTACATGGACATTTTTACGATAAACCTTGATAAAAATATTTTGAGTAAGACTTAAATAAAATACAATACGTAATTGAAGAAGCAACCCACTTTCACACGAGAGTTTATCTTCTTTAAGGGCAAAATGTACACCGCAGCTGCAGAAATATGAGCCCTCAGTATTTACACATTGCTGTTGACATCCGCCATTGTCCACTTCACATTCATTAACATCTACACAGGACAAGGCGTCAGTATGAAGTACATACCCATTGTAACAACTACATGAAAAAGCACCATCATCATTTGTGCATACTTGCTCACAGTCTCCATTTTCTACATTACATTCATTTATATCCATACAAGATATACCGTCACTGTTTAAACTGTAACCGGTGTGACAACTGCATGAAAAAGAACCTTCTTTATTCGTACATATTTGATCACAGTCTCCGTTGTTATTTTCGCATTCATCGACATCAACACATGTCGTGTTGTCAGCATTTAAGACGTATCCGTCAGGGCATGCGCAGGAAGTGTTGTCAGTCTTCAATTCAAATGTTCCAAAACAGCTACATTGAAAAGAGCCTAGAGTATTATCACACATGTGATCGCATCCACCATTTTCTACCTCACATTCATTTATATCTACACACGATGCGGTGTCATTGTGAAGCTCATATCCTCCCAAGCAATGGCATGAGAAAGAACCATCTGTGTTCCTACAGAAATGCTCACAACCTGCATTGTTCCACTCGCATTCGTCAATATCAGCGCAAGTTCGGTTGTCATTTCGTAGTTCATATCCATCATTACAGCTGCAGTTGTAAAATCCGAGCGCATTGTTACACAATTGCTGGCATCCGCCATTGTTTATTTCACATTCATCAAGATCATTGCAGGATAGGCTGTCATTATGCAGCACGTGACCGTCGTTGCAGCTACATTGGAATGAACCAGCTTCGTTTGTACACGTATGCTCACATCCACCGTTATCATCTTGACATTCATCTATGTCTGAATAGTAATATACGTGCATAGATACTAACATATATTGTGTTTACATTAACAATGTGTAGCAATGCAAAACTCTTCGGAACATTAAATGTTAACTGTAAAGTTTCCATTTTATTAAGTCATAGGGAGGGATGCTTTTATCATGCAAAGAGGCTATTTTGTTATTGTCATTTTCTGTGAAGTATCCAAGCAAAAATATTTCATTGTCTTATAAAAATCTGGAAAAATGTAGATACTCAAGAGCAATGACATTAAAGTTAAAAAAAGTTAACAAAGCAAAATCGGCTTGATCTACTTAATTATTTACAATTATCTGATTTGGTAAATACGACGTTTCTGTAAAATTTTGTTTCTTGCATTGTAGATATTTGATGAAGCATTTTTTCCCGGGAAATGTAAATATTTAACCAACCATGCATAATTGCGTAGGTTAAAACACACTTCTTTATCATAAGTAAGTTGTTAAGTACAGTGTTGTTTTTTATTTTGAATATGATTTTTATTAAGATATTGGAAGAAAACAATCTGTTTGGATTGACTAGTGTACCGTCACATGATGATCCATTTGTATTCAAGACATATCCTGGTTGGCATGCACACTGGTAGGATCCCAGACTGTTCATACATAACTGTTCACAGTCATGGGTATTGCTGGCACATTCATCTATATCTGATTACAAAAGTAAATATATACACATACCTTATCTATAAAATATATTAAAAAATGATAAAAATTAAGAAATGTTACGAAAACGTTATACTTTATTTTTTATTTTAGTTACTATTTTATTCAGATTGGTCTAAACAAAAATGTAATATTTTGGATATTTTTGCAGGCATTAAGATAATCGTGTAAATATATAAACTCGATTTTTCTTACATAATTTATGTAATGTTATAAATTGTTTTATTATATACTTATAAATGAAATATTGACAAAAATTGATTGTATAAAATGGTAAAAATTTATTTTTCATTGCAGTGAAACATGTTTTCCGTATTTTTACTGATATCTTGCCGGACTACTTTCTTCTCAATTCAGCCAATATACAAAATTTAAGTGAAAAGCTTTCAAAGTGTAATGTTAGAAAATACAAAAATGTTAAAAATAAACAGAAAATCATTTTTTTTTTTCATAAATACAGGATATATTTTCATCTTGTGGTATGAAAATTATCATTTTTCACTCGTGACTGCCGCAACTCATGAAATATTTATTTTCATAACACTCGATGCAAATAAATCCTGTATTTATAGAAAAAACTTAAATATTCTCTATTTATTATACATCAATTTAACCTTCAATGTAAAACTTCCATATGCCATTTATGTGATTGAATATCACCCTTCTAGGATATATCCACCGAGGAATATTTCTTATGTCACCCTGGGGCACATAACTCTTGAATAACTCCATATTCAGCATTTTTTTAAGTTTAACTAGTCTTTGTTGATTGTAAGGGAGATAACACCTATATACCTCCGTTTTTAATATTGTACTAGTTAATTCCCTTAGACTATTTTTTTCTATTTTTGTAAAGTTCTGTTTATTTCCTTGACTGCGTACTATATAAATGTTGTAGTTGTAAGTATTTAAGTATTATAAAATAAATAACACATGGCTGACGTGTTGATAGAGGAAATTGCCAACCTTTGAACTGGCATTTAACCCCTTATTTATATATAAACAACATCAAACGTAATTTTCAAGTTATCTTTATTATGAACATAGCCATTAAACATTTTACTGTTATTTTCTAGACAGCAATTTGCAGTAAGCATAGTAGTAAATCAGATAAAAGACGTTCATTTTCATATGTCTAACATAGGATAGTAATTTAAAATACCTGAACAATCTGGTGAAGAAAAACCTGGTTGACAAAGGCAGTTGTCTGGAGCTACACATGTTCCATTATTTGGACATGTGGTTAATCCGTTACAGAGGGCTGTACATACAAAATAATGCTCGATAAGAAGACATGATAAATATTGGTTTACAGCTTATGTTAGTTTCTTGTACGGTCATATTTATCACACATACAAATTCTATTTGAAAAAAAAGAGAAAAAGAATAAAGCTGTAAAAATATGCTAACAATTTTGAACAATATCGAGTCACGAAACTGTTGCTTACTTTAACTGTTATTGAGATAACATGTCAAAGGTAATTTAAGCTTTTCATTTTCAAATTGGGTTAAAGTCATATATCTATTTAAGAAGCGGAAGTACCTGAGCAATTTGGTGAAATGTATCCCGGCTCACATTCACAATAGTCTGGCGCAGAACAGGTACCATTATTTGGACAAGTCGTTGAATTGAAACAGGAAGCTTGAAAAATTGTATTGCAAAACAAAAATATATTGATTATTGAATCTTATTTCTGAATGTAGCTGTATTTTTTGTTTAGCGATGTTTTTTTTTTGTAACAATGTAGCCTAGATAATTATTATGTGGATTTTATTTGAGATAATTGTCTATAATAAAAGGTCTGTAATGAAAATTATTATGTTGCTAGCATTTAGTATCAGACCTAACAAAAAACCACGAACAATAATATATAAATGTTATTAGCAAGTGTGAGATACATGATCTAAAATTATATATAGCTGGTGATAAATTGTTCTAGAACAGAATATTAATATTCATCATATTTAAATGTCCATACTGAATCATTTAGAACTTTATTAACATTTTCTCAAGCAATATCTCTATTGTTTTCATCAGTATTTGAAATAATGATGGAAAATATGTTTATTGTAGACAAATCAACTTTAATTGAGCAAATTCAAGAGTTCAAATGCATAAATATTGCAATTAAAAGTGGCCTAAGGAGTCTGGGGTGGCTAATGATTTAGGTGACAGTCTCTTGACTCTCTTAAGTACTCGTGGGTCCGTGGCCTACTGGCCGCGTTCTGTCATATAATGTATGTACATTTTTGTACTACATTATTATATGTAATTAATTTATGTAAGCAAACTCGAGACAGTTTCAAATATACTTAAATAAATGTTTTTAACAATCAAAACTTAATAATAAATATTAGATATTAGTGGCCCTTGTTCTGTATTAATAAGTCATGATTTAACAATCAGGCGTCATTGAGTTAGATATATAAATATTCTCATTCTTATCAGTTGAAACATTAATACGGTGTTCCGTTTGGACACTCGTGATTTTTTATTTCGTCCATACCCGCGATGGATGGTAAGATGGTGAAAAAGCGATGGTACGATGACACGATGATGAAAACACAATGGTACGATGGTGAAATCGCGATGGCACGATGTCGAAAACGCGATGTCACCATCGTACCATCGTGCATCGCGGATAGGGACGGAATAAAAAAATCACGATTTCCCAAACGGAACACCTTACATTAAATATTTCATTTCGTTAAAATTCTTCCTCTTACGAATTGCAAATCTTTGTTACGAGCAAGTTTATCAAAGTACTGAAGTAAAGATGATCGATAAATCACGTAACATGATGTCGCCTTAAAACAGTGTTTTATTGCAGTCTGATCTGCACTGATGAAATGAAAAGGGAACCTGAAAAGTGGTGGTTGACGCCTATCCAAATCTACACAAATTTATTCAATTATATGTATATAATTCCATTACTAGCAAAGAGAATGTTGTTATTTTTGTTATGCCACCCGCCTAAAGAATTTTAAAGTTAGACTCACAGCTCCACAAAATCAAATCACAAAAAAATCTCTTGAAAAAAATGAGAACATTTTTTTTACATTAGTAAGTTAAACTATGTGGATCAGTCCTCACGGATATAAATGAGCCGCGTCATGACAAAACCAACATAATGCGTTTGCTACCCGCATGGATTCAGACCAGCCTGCGCATCCGCGCAGTCTGATCAAGATCCATGCTGTTCGCTTACCAACCCTATTACAAGTAGAGAATCTGACAGCGAACAGCATGGATCCTGATCAGACTGCGCGGATGCGCAGGCTGGTCTGGATCCATGCTGGTCGCAAACCCACTATGTTGGTTTTGTCATGACACGGATATAAATGTTAAATTAAGTGTTATGAATTGTTATATAAACAGTGAGTTATTGCAAAATCAACACAATGAAGTATACTGAGGTTGGCACTACTTTCAAATGCTGACATGGTTTCGGGCAAGTCAACATAGTTACGATATACAGAGTAAACGACATGTTTTTGCTATAGTAGGCGATGATCTGACAATCCCACGCCCAAAAACGAGACAATGGAAAGTCAATGGATTTAGTAAGAAGTCCTGTATAGGATATTTGAGTTTTTTACCACAAGGAAAGTCGTTATTAAAAATCTAAACAAATAAAAACACATACGCGTGTCACAGTCATCGCCGGTGTATCCAGGACAACAAACTTCCCTAGTACACGTGGTACAGGTCTTTGAAACTGACCTAGAAAATAAATTTGTGCTTGATTATATGATTTATATATGATTGATGATATATATGGACTGCAAAAAATATTTAATCTTCCGTTGATATTTAAAAATATAGAACATTTTTGTTGTTTTGCATGTAAAATCGAAATATATTACACAGATCGAACACTAGGTAAATGAAATATAATGCATTAATTAAGCTGACGTTCATAAATTGATGTGAAACTTGCAGAAAACTGCTATCAAAATTAACAATGATGTATCGAGCTCGATTTTGATACAATTCAATTTTGATTATAAACCTCTTCTTGCAAAATGATAATAACAATTTTAAAATGTTATTCTATTCTATTCTTACTGTTAAGTAAGACATTTTTTCGTATTATATTTGTTTACGGTTGGTTTCGTTTTCATAAAATGATCCTAAAATGAAGCAGGACACAATATCTTCCTTATTCTAACAAGATTAAATCTTCTTTAAAAGGTAAGATTAAAATCAGAATGTCACTGCATATTGAAACAAACAAACAAACAACTAAAAAAAAAAAAAATAAATAAATAACAATACGCCGCAAAGAATAGTTTTATCTTTGTAAAGATTAGGTTGATATAATGACACAAGATAAAAATACATATTCATAAAATACTATTTTAACATTTACTACGCTAAATATCTTAAATGCAACTGTCCATCCTTTAATCTAGTTGTAGACAAAAACCATTCATCATTTTTTATAAATTTCATAAATACGTACTGACTAAAAAGCAAACAGTGCAGACCATGATATAACGCCACCAATAAGCTGGCTGATCTTGGTCTGCACTGGTCGCATTGATTTAATATGTTGCCACCAGCATGCTTAGGGTATAATGGTTGCATGCAGTCGTTTGAAATGAAATAATCTGTTAATAAATGAAAAACAATCAAAAGTACAAATATCACTCTGGTTGAACAATAAACTCTCGAAAGTATATTTATTTTGAAATATCTTTCAACAATAACTCACTTATATCGGGCACATCTTGACCAGCCGAAAAATCCACAGCTGGAATAATAACTGGAACTTTGGTAGCATGTCCGCTCGCAATTATAAGACTGAGTGCAAAATCCGGAAAACGCACCGCTGAAACACATATATAAATATGGCTATAAATGACAAACGATCTACATGAATAAAATGCATGTAGTGCTTAATTATCGATGGTATAAGTAAAAACACCCTTACCCTTTGTTGCAACGTAATTCCAGTCAAATTATTTTGGACAGTAATTATCAAGTAATGTTTTCTGTATACTTAACAACAGATGTATGATATTTTCTAAAAAAATAAACATGATCACCTTTATCAATATTATTCAGCATTAAAGGACACACATCCTCAGGGAATTATATTAATCTAAAATTGCAAAAAAAAAAAAAAATCAAAAAAAAAAAAAAAAAAAAAAATGATTAAAAAATATCAAAAAAAAATTAAATTCATAAAAAGATCCAAAGGCAAGAAAGTGAGTTTTCTATTTAATTTCACTAATAGGTAATTGACTTTATTGAATAGTTTGATAAAAAAACTATAAAAAACACACAAATAAACTACCTTATGATTGTTAATAAGAAAATCCCTTTCAATAAAGCTTGTGTTACACAGATCATTTTGAAACCTATGTTTGTCTTTATTCATACTAGTTAAATATATAATCCCCAGTGTACTATATTCGTGACTCCCAATAAAGACGTGACTATTTTACAAAATAGTTTCATAAACAAAGTTATCCTACATGAAAATCTACATGTATAACAACGAGTTAGCACAGTTTTAAAATTTCGGGTCATTATGTGTCAATGGTAATCCATTTGCTAAAATAGTCAGAGCTATTCCTTAATTGCTATTTGTGTGGAAAAAAATGCCATATCTTTAAGGGACTCCAATAAGGTTCTTGGCATGAAAATAATCTGACTGGAAATAATCTATCGAGATTTATGTTTAATTTGATGTAGGTCGGAACAAAGAACAGCAAAAAATTACGATTTTTGATTTTTTTAGTTCATTTCTAAATTATCTTTTGCCTAATTATCTTTCTGTTTTAAGTATAATCCCAGATGATCTTTGTAGGAATTCATATTTTCAGTTTTGAAGGCCTCAGTGCAGTTTCTTTAATAAGCGACATTGATTAATTAATTGATACATTTTTTAAATAATGTGACATTCAAATATTTATGACATAAAGATATTTTACCATATAGATTATATAAAATGCAAGCTATACATAGTATTAGTGACTATAAAGGTGATTATAAAGGTGATATGGTCTAGTACCAATGACTGTGAGTTTATTCTATTATATAGTAAATAATAATTTATGGAATACGCAACCATATAATCTGCCAAAATCATCGAGACGGTTTGTAAATTCTGCTTATTTCAAAAAAGTTACCATTGGTGACTGAAAGGTAAGGCCAACCAGTGTTTGTACACGACTGTTCATATCCCCGGTAACTACATAATCATAAAAAAATAACGGTAACTAGGTGAGTAGTTTAAATTTAGACAAAAATTCTCATTCTGACATTTTATGTTCACCGCAATAAATATGTAAATCGTTCCAAATTGTTTGCTCATTAATTTTACAAGTATGTTTCATAAATACATAGAAACGTGTTTGCTAGACCTGACTCGTATATTTTGCTCTTGGTGAAATATAATGTTCGACTTTGTAATGAATACTTAATACTTGATATACTTGTCTTATAATACATAACTGCAAATTGGCACTTACTCGGTGGTAATTAGCGTAGCCGCTTTTTTCACGAAGAGACTTGTGCTGATAGTGATAATTGTGATAGGCAGATTTTCATTAGGCAAGGTCAGGTGTTTCAGTTGTACTGTTGTAAGCACTGAAGCAATGTGAGGATACATTCAAATTTATTACATAGATAATATCCGTGGAGCTCACAGAGACAAATAATTACACAGTAACTTTTTTGATATCCTTTTAACTGTAAGAAAAATGTCCGTTATAAGTTGCTGACTGTTTATATTTTCTAGAAAAAGTAAGCAAAACATTATTTTGTGATTATGACAGGAATGAACTGCATTAACAATCCTAGATATTATGAAGATGTGAATACTCATTGTTTAACATGCCAGCCTAAGTTACTGGACCCCATCCACCTGTAGACCTAAGGGAGCGTTTTTGTACGAGACTGCTGGGGAATAACAATGAAATCCTTAATTAAAAAAGTGACACTTTCTCTATTTTTATCGTATATCGAATTGCAATGATAAATTCATTATAAATGTATTAGATGTTTCACATATCTGTGTTTTCTTTGTTTTCTAATGATTTTTGTTTTGTTTCAAATCCGTCTCAGGCTATTCAAGATGTAATGCTTTAAGCGCCTATTATATGTCAATCACTAACTAAAGAGAAGAACTTTATAAGACACTTTGTCTTTCATACTTTACCTCTTTTTAAGAATATTTGAAACGCTTTATGTATAATGTAAACTGAAACGTATAGTCAGAAAAATAATATGTTTAAACTAAGCGGTATTATATCTTACAGGTGTTTGGAATAAAGAAAATTAAATGAAAAACTGAAAATATTTTAAATTCAAAGCTAGAAAATGATATATATTTTTAATCATAATTATGTATAGAAAAAATTCTTGCACATATTCGATAACAAATAGTACATGTGAATAGAAAAAAAATCACTTAAAGCCGACTCGAATGTTTTTAATTTATTTCCTACATAATGTGTATTTTGGAACAAACTGTTTTAAATATAAAGACAATATTTGTTTTGGCATAAGTTTGCTTGTATTTTTTAGCCGTTACTATTCTAAGTACTAAGTTTTCAAAGAAAGTAGGACAAATTATTATTAGTTTTGGTGTGCTCAGTCTTATTTTGCACTGTGACATTTACTGAATAGCTAGTAACGGTGTGCGTCGTATATGCAATCTTCTTGGAATAAGGTTGTATTTGAATCTTTAAGTCTTAACCTGCTAATGCTTTTAAATAGATTTTACCAAATCTCACTTTAGAAACTGCCCGTTATCAATTTTGACATAATAATGTTCAGATGAACATTTAAAGTTAGTCCATGTAGTCAGTCAATTAACATTGTATAGAGTTTAGTCGAAACTGCACGGATGTGCAGGCTGACATGGCTCTATACTGGCATATCATTTTCGGTTGCAGAACGGAAAGGATTCATGAACTACTGACGTTGCTGACAATATTGTCAGTTTAATTTATGAACTAATTCCATCAGTTGAAGTAAACGTATTTATCTTAATTCTTATATACCCGTCAAAGGATAGCTACGGTTTGTTTACCTTCGGTTTCTTACACAATTTGTGACTTTTTAGAGTAAATTTGTTTTACATTCAATAACGTTAATTGAATTTTCTAAGGAATTCCCATTCATTACTTCAACAGAGCAGCTTTTGTGTCTCTATCTAATCAAATTATGATAAGTCTTGCTTAAGAAGCCTTGATCTCTAGGAAGGATAGACAAGTGCTTACAGACAAGTTTAGATACTGTGTTAATTTTATTACTATGATAGCTAAAATAGAAAGGATCTACGACCAAACTACTAAAACACATTTACTATTGCAAAGCTTGAAATAAGAATATCGACTAGACGAAACAATGGAATTTTGAATGAGACATGTCTTGGTAGAAAGTATGTAACAATATTTATTGCCTTATGTTATTTGCATAGTATTAATGTCACGAAATTGCAATAAATGACATTTAACAGTTGTAATATCTTTCTGTTGAGATATTTTTAAACGGTGATAATGTCTTCCATTAGGTAGCGTTCCAAGCCTTGAGTAACAAATTTAAATCGCAGGAATTTGTTAAAACCTGTGAAATTCTTACTGAATAAATCTAATTTGAATAAAATAATGAATTATCTATGTATTTGAAACTGCGTTCCTTGTTACGGGTCAAGTTATCAATATTTTCTAATATCAAATTTTAGCATATAGTATAGTATATCTTTAAATGTGAAAAAAATTGAAAAACCAACCATTCTATCACATCACAATATTTTGTAACGTGACTGCAGTCCCGTATCATTGACAAACTCGTATGCATATGTTATTTTACATGGAGACAAGATTAAAGTTTATTTTATAACCTGTGAAACTAACGGATGCATTCATCATGAAAAGCAATTACAGGGCCATATCTTAATGTGATTTTGATATTCTGATATTATGCAGATGGTAATGAATGTCAGCCTTGAAAATTGCTGATATTTGTAAACATATTATTTGAATAACGGCGAAACAATTTTTTAAGGAATATTTTATAAAAGAATGATATTTTGAGCAAAATACATATCACATAAGCTACATGTCACTGGAAGTACGAAGCGGTACAATTATCTTGTCACATTACCTACGTAAGCGTTAAGCTTCCCTGATATACGGTGTCATGGAGTCTGCCAGTAAAATAATTTCTAAGTTTTTATCTCTACTTTGTTTATATACGCATTGAATTCGTACAATTCATGAATGTGTTGCCTCTTATATTATATATTTTGTCAGTTTCTTTTAAAAAATAAATCAAATTTTGTTAACAACAGACTGCAGATGTACAATATAGCTTAACCCACTTAAAATATTTTTCTTGTACGAGTGTATTCATTGTCTAATTAGTCTGGTATTGTCGTAGACTTGTAGAACAAATGTAGGCCTACTGTTATTAACAAAAGTCCTCTTTACAAATGTTATTGTTAGACAATAAAACATTGTGTTTGTCTACCAAAGCTAGGGGATGGGATGGCATGAATATATATGGCATTTCTTCTCCAGTTATTTTATATTGTTTTCTAGACATAACAAATCAATCATAAAGACAAGTTAATTTTACCTTTGTTAGCAATAAAGATGAAGGATCACGTCATATTATGCGAAGCTATAATTTAGGACAACAATGCTAAATAAAATAGGGCAATACCATGCCTTTCTCTCATTTATAAGTACATGTTGTATATGTTTCAAGTAGAAATATGTATTTTGTTGCATTTTAGTATAGTTAGATAGTTTGTTCATAAAAGACGTGTGCAAAATGCACGTGATCATAAAATACATACATTCAAATAAAATTAAACATCACGTAAAGATCAAATATAACATCATTTTAAAGTAAAGTGACATATAATGATACGTCTTGAGATTGTGTTTACAATACATGGAGAAAGAAAGAAAATAAAGTAATATTACAAACAAGATAACATTTTTTTTTATAATTATGTCTGGGGATTAGCTTGATTTAATTCCCTGCTTTTAAATGCTTGTGATATAAAATTTCTCAAATTTAACAGGACTATAAATCTTTATTGAACTGATGAGTATGATAAGCGACCTTTTAAACACATTCATCAATTATCTTCATCGCATAAAGTTAAAACAAAAAACAACAGTAAACAAGCCAAAAACACAATTACCCACTTAACAGTTTAAATGATTATCTACTGATTTGAAACGGTAAATATACTATTGAACCTCTAGTAGTGTCTCTTTCAATTCACTAAATATTTCACCAATCATTATAACATTTAGAAAGTGAAAATCGAGAATATATATATATGTTTCATCATACTATACATTGTGTATTTGAAACTTCAATTATGTAACATGGCGTAAGTCAGACAGAATCCAGAAGCAGAACAGAAACATAAAGCAAAGATAGCAATTTAATGAAGCGGTTTGCATATATTCTCAGAAAAGTTTTGGTAATATTTTATACCCTATTAATCATACATAACACATTTCTCCGATAAAATCACGGCGTCTATTTGTTTATGACCATTTGCAAATAACTTGAATGTAATACCACTACCATAGACCGATGGACAAACTGATATATTATTTTTATCTCTGGAATCGAAACTCTTAGTTAATTTTATTGGCAAATGGATAATAGAAATCTTATTAAAAAAGAAAAAAGCACTATTTTTACAAGTATGATAAGTGTTCTTAAATCGAAAGAATTAGCATTTGAAGTAAAGAAAACATATGCAGTTGAAAAAACCCTAATTTTTCGTGTTTTTTTTATTTATTTTATAACAATTCAATTTTTAAAACCTTTTTCAATTTTTTCTTTCATTAACGACGGTGGTTGATTGTAGTCATGTTTCCATTTGACTTTATTAACGTTAAGCTAGTTATGTTAACACTTGATTAGTCTAAGGCCCTGGTTGTCTGTCCCTGACCGTTTGATGTACCTTAAAGTGCCGCTGCTTTAGAATGTTTGTGAGGTTACGTTCATACGTTACTCTTCCTTGTTCATCTTTTTTTCTCATATTCCCCTAGTCCGTTCAAAGCTTCTGTTCATTGGCCTGTATCCCTCGATAACTTGCATAATGCCCGACGACTTATAAACGGATCAAAATCATCCTTTGTTGTTTATTTTATTATTATATTCCAAACCGTGTGTCTTCAATTACAAGCAGTAAATCCTCGTTTCAAACATGATCGGTGTAATAAAATATCCGACCAAATCTTCAAATATATTTGAAATTTCAAAAAAAAGCAATATTTGAGCATGTGACCAAGATTTTAATATTATAGATTTATATTACATAAGAAGATGATTGTATTTTTGCTTACAAACAAGTAAGATACATGAATATCATATATTGTATATACAAAACTACATAATTTTGAATAATTCCTTCTATTGGTTTCAATAAGGAACTGTTCCGCGTTCCATGTCCCAACTAGTATGATCCTGACTTGATATTGCGCAGGAGGAAATCATAAATAAGAAATTATATTTGATATCATGACTTAAAGGTATAAACTTTTAATTCCATCATGTTGTTTTTTAACATTGTGTGCAAACTGTTTACTTTTCTGCACGGAAAGATTCTGTCATTTCTGGTTTTACAAGAGCATAATTATATGTATGAAATGTAAAATTACATTTACTACTATTTAGATATATCAGTATCGTTTATTTATAATATAACAGCACGGTCTGTTATCAGTTTCAGTATAAAATCAATCATTTCTAATTCTAGAACTTTTTGCGCGCACACATTGTGTTTTATATGTTTACTGTAAAGATTGATTATTCGTAACTTTAATTTTGTTGTGATTAATGCTTCCGAGGGATCACTTTGTTTCCAGATTTTTATGCTTCACAACAGCAGGTGTCAAGTGCTGTGTGGCAGCTGTAAAAAGTTGCCCCTTACTTCACTTCAGTGTTGTTATATTTTTCTGGTCCTTCGGAATCATTGATGCCAGCACTATTGAGTGTTGAGAATTGAGTACCGCTCAAGCCGGTGCTAGGCGGGCGTGAGGGATGTTGCACGTATTCATTATCCCCCATGTACAGACTTAATCAAACCGAGTCTGCAATTCTCTTGTAATTTTGTTGTGATCAATGCTTCCGAGGGATCACTTTGTTTCCAGATTTTTTTTTATTTCTTTACTTCCAGTTTATTTGCTTTTAAGAATCTAAAATTGAATCAGCGACAACGATTTAATGTATTCATGTAACTAGGTCTTTTGTTTTGATTGGTCATAAAAATTAAGCCAAACATTTGTTCAGCAAAATTTATTGACATTGCAGGTGATAAAACATTATACTAAAAATAATATAAAGAAAGCAAGCATTTTAAACAAGCATTTTTTAATTGAAATTCCAAATTACTAGATTATGTATCCCAGAGCATTATTTTAATACAAAGCCCACACAATTTGAGCGATGTCAGGCAAAAGGATATCCTTTTGAGATATAATACAGTAAAAACAAAACATTCTGACATTATTTATTTATAAGGTCAGTCATTTAAAGTACGTTAATATAAGAAATAAAGTCTTAAGATCCAAGTGTAGTAAACAACATTTTTATACTCAAGTTATCAAATATATTACTATATATGGTAAACATTGTTGTTAATAAGGACTTTCTGATCTAACACTGATCTTGTTCTTTCGTCTAAATACATTTTAAGAACTGGATCATAAAAGCAGTGCACAAAAATCTTTAATAAGTTTTGATTAGTTGATATTACTCGTATTGAACTGAATATGACTTATCAATGTTTGTATTAATATCAACACTAAAAATGTTTTATTAATTAATTCATGTCAAATAATTCAAACAGAAAAACAACAATATCTATACTAAGGAATATAAATCGTGAAGGCAAACATTTAACATTTCACTGTGTAACAATCAAAATTTACATAAAAACGGATACGTGCAATATGAGTAAAATAGTTTAAAGCAAAAATTTTATAAAGTAAAAGAAAACTGTTTAGAAAATTCTGATTCATATTTATTCATAAGTATATTAGATAGTTTTATACTAAAATTGTACCATTTGATATCAATTGTGACAACGGATAATTGCATGACCTTTACTTGAACAGCAAATTTAGTTAAAAAAAAAACAATTGATTGTAATTATCTATTTTACCAATCTCTATTAACAGCCTTAATCAAACAATCGACCTGCAACATTTTCAATTTTGCCATTTTTTGGCGTTCTAGGATTCTGTTTTTCCCAATTTTGTAAAACTTTTTTCCTATATATAGATATATTTTATATTTTTTTACAAATACTGATTACAACATTTATAATTAAATCAAAATTTTCTACAACAATCAAATTCATAAACAGTTTATAATTTATTAGATAAAACAGAAAGGTTTCTTAGATAAAGCGTTTACATGAAATGTACATGCATTAATGAGCATTTTTACAATGCATTTTCACTTTCATTTAGTGTGCTCTGTTCTAGCTCACTTGAAGAGATTTCTTCCGTAGACTCCCCTCTAGCGTCCAATTTTTGTGGTTCGTCTGCTAGCTCGTTCAGTATTGTAGAAGATCTTTGCTGACTAAAGTAAAACAATATAAATTTAGTTATATTACATTTTAAGAAACATACGTACTGTTGACATAGTTAAATATGAGTAAATCATTCTGTACAAGCATATTTAAAAAACATGAAATAACCTTTAAAATACATGAAATAACATTAAAAATACATGAAATAACCTACTTGTCATTGGTACTTGGAATATCAATTTTCTTTCTTTTCTTGCGTATGCAAATCCAAATTGTAACTGCTAACACAATATTTACAATGGCTGCAAGAACTGGGCCAATGTAAATCATCAGTCCACCTATAGTAAATAAAATATAGTATCCGATTGTTTCAACTGAAAAAGTGTTTGTTTTTTCTCAAAAAGCGAGAAATGACTGGATTTAGAAAGAAGTGGTTGGATTAAGCAAGTTTGTAAGAATCATCCGTATACTTTAGTCAGGAACGGAAAAATCCGATTATAAAATAGAAATTTTAAGATAAAAAACATAAAATACAAGTCAGAATATTTTAAATATTCACCATATATTCAATTCAAAATACAGAAAAAAAAATTCCATACCGTATAATACAAAAAAACTTGAGTGCACTCTCTTAAAACTTTAAGCTTTAGAATATGAGGGAAATCAAATGAAATTGGTCCCTTTACTAACAATGATACAAAGCGCATCATAACATATAAATATAATAGTTCTTAATGTAAATGAAATACAAGTGTTGCTTCTAAGCTAGAGCTCCCCAAAAAAGATTGTTTCTTTATTGAATGAAATATAAATATTGCTTGACGTATTTCACCTCTAATTGAAATGTATCCTACGTTGAAAGGTAAATACTTTTTGAACTATTTGTAAAAGATGTGTCCACTCAAACTAAGATTCTTTTTAATAAGATACCTTGATACATATACTTACTATATTAAAACCAACAAATAATATCAAAATATCTATTGTTAAATCACGATAATAAATTAAATCCAATAATTACTTAGTTTGGAGTTTTCGAAGTGCTGTATTTCTCTGAAATGAGAACAAAGAAGGAATTTTATGATATTTTTCGGTCACATAACAGTGTTTTAATTTGCTCAAATATGGGTCGTAAAAGTAGTTTATCGTGAAATAAAATACGCCGGTCTCAAATGACAAATGTTTTACAATATCAAGTACTTAAATATTGTAGCATTATTTCATTTTTCTGTATTTTCAACAATTGTATACAGGATTTTTAATTTAATCTGCCAATTTTTGTTGTGTTCATAAGAAAGCTGATCAGAACTTATTAAACTTATACGTTCCAACTTTCAAAGATAAATATTTATTAACAAATTTTTGCATTAATGAAATTTGTTATATGAGTCATGTTTAACTTAAATACTAAATGTCACATGTGATGTTTTGTCCTTGTTAAACTTAGAGTTGTCAAATCTAATGTCAATATCATTTCAATAGAATTATAAAAATAAAGGGAATAAAATAATTATAACAAATGACAACATACCGACAGCGAGGCGTGTTTCCATTTACTTGACAATAATATCCGGGTTCGCAGTCGCCATTTATTAACTTATGCAATTCACAAAGTCCGTTTCCATCCTCTGGCAAATCTGCAAGTCAAAATTCATCAGTAAAAATAATTCCGTAATTGTGAGTACATTAACAAACAGTATTTATTCAAAAAGTTGACATTTCTATTTAATGATTCTGATAGTTTTCTCTGTAGTAGCAACCACATCCGAACTTAAAAAGTGCGCTTAAAAAAGTAAAGTAAACACATTGGAAAAAGCGTAAAATAACGCAACATATAGTGTGTTATTATTTCGAGAATCTTTTAAAAAATAAACATGCATACTACACCTAGTTTCGCTAGAATATTTTCTCCGTTAAACTGCATTTCACTCCATTCAACAAGACTGACTGTCCTTTGTAACAATATTTCTCTCTCCGAAATGCTTAAAGCACTTCTGTTAAACGAACTGTATAACTTACAGCAATCTCAACTTTGTCATTTTCTTTCCCTGACGATCTAAAATTAAAACATTATTTTGTCACTTTTTAAAGTATTCAACGTATATTTTGTTTTACAAATTTTGCCCGCACATTCTTCAGCTCTGCGATCCCTTCCCCTCATCCTTATCCCTGTGTTGGTCGATTTATCAATTAACTTCTTTAATGTTTTTGTTACTTTTCTATGATTCCCTTTATTGAATTAATTGTGTTTATAATAACCCACCGTCCGTGTTTTGCCCCTGTTCCCTCTCCTGTGTTTATTTGGTGCCCTGTTTGGTTCTTTGCCGCTGATCCTGTAGTTTTGGGTGAGTTCATAAAATGCTGCCTTCCCTCGTTAATCTTTGTCTTTATATAACTGAATGATTTATTTACTTGGAGAAGTTGTTTTTTCAAATCTTGATTAATATAAAGATAAGTTTGATCAAAATACAATGGAGGAAGGACAAACCTTATCTCCTGTAGTGCCAGAGTGAAAGGTGTCTCGATTAATTTCGTGTAGAATGTGTCAAGCTGAAAAAAAACGCATGAAGTTTCAATGAAATCAGGTAAAGCATTTTGTACGTGTGTGTCGTCTTCAAAATATACCAAGATTTCTACTTTGATAAGATAAATTCTATACATAAGAATTTATCTGCAGTAATATAGCAATACAGCAAGTTTGCTATAATTTAAACATGTTTCCGCAGTCTTTTCATTAATGATCAGCATACATTTTACACCATAATCAGTTTCTGTTTGGCTAAAAGCAAAATTATTATCAATAATCATATAAACATACCAACTGTTCCACTTCTAAATTTGTTGATTCATTAACAATTAATCTGAGTGTTAAATTCATAAAAGGTTCTTCTGTTTCTGAAATAAATAAAATAATAAAACATGATACATTATGTTGATATATTACAAATATGTGACCATCTAAAATAATATATTAAAATCTTTGTAAACTATTCATATTTAGGAGCAGATATTTTTTCAGGTATTTTAAACAGTTATGTCTAAACTTACTATAACAGCTGACTCCGTCTTCATTGAGTACTTTCCCCTCGTCACACCCGCATTTAAATGAACCCTCTGTGTTAGAGCATATCGATTGACATTCCCCATTGTCTTTTGAACATTCATCGAAATCAAAGCATGTTGTACCATCTTTTTGAAGTACATAACCAGCGTAACATGAACATTCAAATGACCCGAAGTTATTAACGCATGTCTGGCTACAATTGCCATTGTTGATAGCACATTCATCGATATCCCTGCAAGTGGAATTATCCACAAGGTTAAGTGAAAATCCCGGTTTACATCCACAGACATATGACCCAACAGAATTGAAACAGGCCTGTTCACAGTGGCCGTTATAGTTACACTCATTAACGTCATTGCATGCTTGATTATTTTCCTGAATTTCAAAACCCTTTAAACAAGTACATAAATAAGAACCTTGTAAATTAGTACAATTGTGACCGCAAAGTCCATTGTCAACTTCACATTCATTTATGTCAGCACACGTATTAGTTATTGAGTTGAAAAAATATCCGGCGGAACACGCGCAAGTAAATGAGCCGTGATTATTCACACATATCTGCTCGCATTCATCATTTTCAGCTTCACACTCATCTATATCATCACATGTAATATCGTCTTTGTTGAGAGAATATCCGTCGGAACAGTAGCAAGAATATCCCCCTTCTTCGTTTCTGCATAATTGTTCACACGAATGGTTGCCAATTTTACATTCATCAATGTCCACACATGTTATATTGTCTTCCAGTATAGAGTACCCGTTTTCGCACATACAATTAAACGAACCGTCATTATTAGTACATGTATGGTCACATCCAACTTTCATGGTGACACACTCATCTATGTCCATACATGAAACATTGTCATTTGATAACCCATAACCCTCAAAGCAGTCACAAGCGAAGGAACCTTCTTGATTGTTGCATATCTGATCACATCCGCCATTAGCATCGGAACATTCATCTATGTCATTGCAAGAAGTCAAATCCCGATCAAGAAAATATCCGACTTTACATCTACACTCATATGATCCATTCACGTTGTGGCAATTATGGCTGCATCCACCATTATCAGACAGACACCCATTTATATCTGGAATTCAACATTCTTTACAACCAGAATCTAAAAGCATTGTGATTTCATTTACATGTACAATGTTTTTTGAGAAAATGCGGCGAACCAAGGTAAGCTTTTACCGTATTTATTTCATGTTAACATAAAGGGGCCTCCGAGGCCAAATGGTTAAGGTGGTTGACTTCAAATCACTTGCCCTTCACTCTGTGTGTTCGAATACCGACAAGGACTTTGGATTCTTTCATGTGGGAAGCTATCAATGCAGCTACTGTATTGGACGTCGGTGCCTCTACTCAGGTGCCCGTTCGTGCCTGAAATAATGCACGGAATGGGCACCTGGGAGCAAATCTGGAATGTCGCCATATGACCTTAACTGTATCGGTGTGACGTCAAACAAACAAAAAATCTAACATACACTCGGAAAGATTACTTAATACAACATAACCAATAAAATGTGACTTAAACAAACTACCTATGCCATCAATTTATTAAAAAAACATTACAATTACATTACATTCTAAAATTAAATAATACTGTATGAATCATGTTTTTAGGAGACTATTTTATCAAAATGATGACATTTACAATTTGTTCTTTTCGAATAGTTTACGTTATCTATTTTATTAATTCCAATTTAACATTACTTATATTTTATTGATGAATTTATCTCAATGGATATTTGCATATCACTAAATATATCTTGATTCACAATCACATTCATTTCCCATTCTCGACATCCTTGATGACATCAATGTTTGCATATATGATATAATGGTGTAAAGGACAATCAAATGTTACTCATAAGTCTCTGTCTATGTTTTTTTTAAATATAGTGTGGAGAACTTACCATTACAAGTTTTATTGTCGGTGTCCAAATAAAATCCATCCTTACACTCACAAAGGTAAGCGCCAGGTGTGTTATGACACTCATGATCACATCCAGAAATACCTGATCTACATTCGTCAACATCTTGAGAAAAATAATAATCAAAGTAGTGTTTAAGTTATAATTCGTTTAATATATCAGTTATTTAGAAAACATCCTTTTGTGAAGGCATCTTTTATAAAATGATTATGGCTAAATGTTTTAATAAAGCTAACAATCGTATTATTTTGAAAATCAAACATGACAAATAAAAGAGATTTAATTGTATCACTTCTAACAAGAAGAATACATAAGTAAATAGACTGGCACTTTTAATTATACATTTTTATTAAAGTTCTAAATATAAAGCAAGAACAGGACTATCAAAACAGCAAACTTACTGAATCCTTAAATATTTATTTCAATTGCGTTCATTAAACGCAGCCAGCCTTTCCTTGTTGATCTTGTTTATTATTTTTCAAAAGCAATGTGTACGGTTTTTATATGTCACATTGTATAAGAAAAAACCTGTTCTCTCAATATATATATATTACAAATTATTATCGCAAAATGTTTCACTAAATTTGTTATAAAAACAATGCAATTCAGTATTTTATACAACGATAGGTTAAAACTTTCCTTATTTCTTCTTCAATCTAGCTAAATATGAAAAGAAGCAAATGCTACATTTTTTCTTCTTCAAATTTTATATATAACTTTTAGTGTAATACATATACCTAGGCAGTTTCTTCCATCATCCGTTGATAAATATCCTAATCGACAGTGGCAACTACATGATCCGTTGGTGTTCAAACATATCTGCTCGCATCCACCATTTGCGCTTTTACATTCATCAATATCATTACATGACATATTGTTGTTGTTGAGGAAGAAGCCATCGAAACAAGAGCAAGAATATCCCCCTGGTACGTTTCTGCATAACTGTTCACACGAATGATTGCCTAAATTACACTCGTCGATGTCCACGCATGTTGAATTATCACCCTGAATAGAGTACCCATTGTCGCATAAACAGTTAAACGAACCGTCATTATTGGAACATGTATGGTCACATCCACCGTTCTCAATTTCACATTCATCTATGTCCACACATGAAACACTATCATTCAGTAACGAATAACCCTTAAAGCAGGCACAAGCAAAGGAACCGTTTAGATTCTTACATATCTGATCACATCCGCCATTAGCTTCATTACATTCATCTATGTCATTGCAAGATGTCAAATCTCCACCAAGAGTATATCCGTCTTTACAGCTGCACTCATATGTCCCATTCCCGTTGTTACAATAATGGCTGCATCCACCATTATCAAAAGAGCACTCATTTATATCTGAAATTAAAATATCGTTTCTATCGGATTCAAAAGTAAGAAATTCAAAGCAAGCGATTTAATTCAATATATGTAAGACATCTTTTTTAGGAATAAGTACGAACCAAGGTAAATAAAATCGTATTAATTTAGAGTTTACTTGCATAGATAATTAAACACATACTACAATTAAATAAACATAATATGCATCTAAAATAAACTGCATTTTGTATATACTCATTAAAATATATTACCTTTATCCACAAAAAATGGAATAAAACTGTATTTATCATGTCTGCAGTAGAATATTTCATATCATATTGATATTTACATTTTATTTTTTTCGAGAATTTTACATTATTGATTTCATTAGTTCCAATTAAGCATTGCTTATGTTTCTACAACGTCGGAACCCCACGGTATATATTCCGTACATACTACGGAATATATACCACGGATGTTTCTATACACAAACATCTAAATGTATATTTGCCTATCATTATGTAATGTCTTGATTCTGAATCACAGTTCTTCCCACCTGATAACTCTCGCTATCCTTGCAGACAGACATGTTTCCTTTTTTATATTTAATGTCTGATATAAAAGTTTAAAGTACAATGAAATTTACTTATTCGTTGACTTTAGCTTTTATTGAAATATGGTTTGGAGAGAAAATCGAGAATTGGGAGTTTGTTGAACTTACCATTACAAGTTGTATTGTCGGTATCCAAATAAAATCCATCCATACACTTACAGTGGTAAGTGCCAGGTGTGTTATGACACTCACGATCACATCCAGAAATGCCTGATTTACATTCATCAATATCTTGAGAATAAAACAAATTAAAATATTGTCTGGTTGTTAGTGATTTTAACAAGCATTATATATTAATAACTGTTTAGAAAACAAACCAAAATACAAAACTCATATTTAATGAAAAGAAAAGAAAAACGGACTCTCTTAAGAACACTTAAACGACACAATAAGAAAATGTTGGTGGCCCGGTTTGTTTTAGCCTGTTCATGGACGGTGGTGGCAATCATCGTCAAATTATGGTGAAATCATTCTGTTTTAATGCTTTTCAAAAATTACAAATGTCAGAAAAATTTTAAGATGTAAAAGAAATGTATTTGTATTATTTCTTCTGAGGATATGTATTTTTTTAGTAAATAGAATTAAATATAATTCTAAATCGATAGCAAAAGTGTTTTACGATTGGCAAGGTTAACGAAAGAGCCATCTTTTATACATTTTTTTTTAAAATATCGAAATGCAAAATGTAATGTGAACGCATATTTGTCGCATTGTTTGATTAAAACTTGAGCTATTTATAATTTCATGATCATCAATAATTATATCTGTTAAGAGCGAACCCTCCCCCCCCAAAAAAAAAGAACTGAATATTTATCATTTTTTTCTACAATGATAGACTATCGCATTTATGATATGGTCCTCACTATAGCTTAATACAGGGGCTTATATTTCAATTTTATAATAAAGTAAAACTATAGTATTTATACCAATGCATCTTTTCCCGTCTGTCATCAAGGAATATCCTGTTTGACAGTCACAAATAAAAGAGCCGTTGATGTTCAAACATATCTGTTCACATCCGCCATTTGCAATGTAACATTCATTAATATCATCACATGATCTATTGTCGTTGCTAAGGGAAAATCCATCAAAACAATAGCATGAATATTCTCCTGGTTTGTTTCTGCACAACTGTTCACACAAATGGTTTCCTACCTTACATTCATCGATGTCCACGCACGTTGAATTATCCCCCTGAATAGAGTACCCATTGTTGCATAAACAATTAAACGAACCGTCATTATTGGAACATGTATGGTCACATCCACCGTTCTCAATTTCACATTCATCTATGTCCACACATGAAAAGCTATCATTCAGTAACTCATAACCCTTAAAGCAGTCACACGCAAAGGAACCGTTTTGATTCTTACATATCTGATTACATCCATCATTAGCATCGGAACATTCATCTATGTCATTGCAAGAAGTCAAATCTCCACCAAGAGCATATCCGTCTTTACAGCTGCACTCATATGTCCCATTCCCGTTGATACAAATATGGCTGCATCCACCATTTTCAAAAGAACACTCATTTATATCTGAAATTAAATTATCATTTCTATCGGATTTAATATCAATATTCAAAAGTTAGAAATTCAAAGCATGCGATTTAAAACAATATATGTAAGACATCTTTTTAAGAATTAGTTCGAACCAAGGTTAATAAAATCTTATTAATTTAGAGTTAACTTGCATAGAAAATTAAACACATTGCACTACAATTAAAAAAACGTAATATGCGTCTAAAATAAACTTCCTTTTGTATATACTCATTAAAATATATTACCTTTATCCACAAAAATTGGAATAAAACTGTATTTATCATGCCTGCAGTAGAATATTTCATATCATATTGATAATTACAATTTTTTATTTTCGAGAATTTTACATTATTAATTTCATTAATTCCAATTAAGCATTGCTTATGTTTCTATGCACATACATCTAAATGTACATTTGCATATCACTATCTAATGTCTTGATTCTGAATCAGTTATTCCCACCTGATAATTCTCGTTATCCTTTCAGACAGCCATGTTTCTTTTTTTATATTTCATGTCTGATACAAAGGTTTAAAGTACAATGATATGTTACTTATTCGTTGACTTTAATGGAATAAAACTGTATTTATCATTCCTGCAGTAGAATATTTCATATCATATTGATAATTACAATTTTGTAATGGGGGATGTTATATTATATGTTATAGAAAAGATGCCGAATAGATAGAACTAAAATACCACAAGCACAACAATAATGCCGTGCTGAACGATCCTTAAATTTAAGGATCGTTCAGCACGGTATTATTGTTGTGCTTGTGGTATTTTAGTTCTATCTATTCGGCATCTTTCTTTTTGGGTGGTTCCAGTATCCCTCACTTGAATACTGTTGAATCACCCTTAGGATATGAGGCCTGCTTTTTAAAGTTGTCTTTTGACGTTATATCTGTGATATGCAGGCTTCATAGCCCTTTCAAAATTCCATTTCATTTAGTTCCGCCCATTGTTTTCTCGTTTAGGGCACACGCATTTTTTTACTTAGGGACCATATGCCGCTTTTCATGGCATAACACTAACGTGTCACATTTAAGGTTCCATGATAACCGCCATATGAACACATCTGCGGATGTTTCAAAATTCAAAATTTTACCAGTTCATGTTAAATGTTGAATTCTGCTTAAGCCGGTGCTAGGGGGCGTGGACGGTAGTTTGCACTTGACAGTACCGTCCATGAACAGGTTCAATCAAACCGAGCCTGCAACATTTTCAATTTTGCCGCGTTGGGCTTTCTTTAGGGATTCTTATTTCACTCTATTTTTTTAGCTTTTATTGAAATATGGTTTGGAGAGAAAATCGAGCATTTGGAGTTTGTTGAACTTACCATTACAAGTTGTATTGTCGGTATCCAAATAAAATCCATCCATACACTTACATTGGTAAGAGCCAGGTTTGTTATGACACTCATGATCACATCCAGAAATGCCTGATTTACATTCATCAATATCTTGAGAATAAAACAAATAGAATGAATTACTGTTTGGTTGTTTGTGATTTTAACAAGCATCTAAGTAAAATAGCCTTATTTGTTATACATTTAACAAGCATCTAAAACTATCAATCAATGTATTTGGAACACTACAGATTTTTTTTTGATTTTTTTTATCAGAATAATTTTTATAATTTTAATGGTTGCATAATTATAACAAAATTTATGGTTATGATTATTTGACATAGATATTAAACAAACACGGTAAAGACTGGTTAAAATCAGATTTTATAGTATCTGACTGATGATATATACATGTATCAGGAGTCTTTCAAATTTCTTTTCAGTCTGGATATATGCAGCAGGACAATCAAAATAGGCTCTTTACCATGTACATGCATATAAATATAAATAGTTCGCATTAAAGTAATATAATTCTGTCAGCACCTATGTATTTTATTGTTTTATAAAAACGTACAGCAAAACATGTATGAGAAATTTTATTGCACTTATTATTTAATTTAAATGGAAAAAATAGAAAAATAAATAAAAATAATACAAAGATAGATTTAAACATTCCCTTATATATACATACGTCTAGCTTAGTACAGCAGCAAAGCAATCTTTATAACTTTTTTTTTTTATTATGCCAAACATATATACCACTGTGCTACCTAAAAGACAGGTATTCATTTTCCTTCCTTTTACAGTATGGCCTACTTACCAACAATATTGGTATAACTGTTAATGAGTAATGAAATAATTTGTGGTATTGATTTTACGGCATTTTATTATATTTTTGGTTTGAGCTCATATATATATTTTTTCTTTGAGTTATTTAAATAGATACCTTAAAGAACACAGCAAAACAATGCAGACTTGGTAAAATTGAGTCTGTTTATTTTCTTTCATAAAATAAACTTGTTACAAGTTATTTAAATAACGTGAGGCGAATAAGAAGCTTCTTTATGCTCAATTAAACTCCTGTTATTCTCTGAAATGATGTAGACAAATAAACATTAATATATACAATTGCATTTATGTAAGTTTTCGTGTGAAATTTACCTATGCATCTTTTCCCGTCAATCATTAAGGAATATCCTGACTGACAGTAGCAAATGTAAGAGCCGTTGGTGTTCAAACATAGCTGTTCACATCCACCATTTGCACTTTTACACTCATTAATATCATCACATGATATATTGTCGTGGTTGAGGGAAAATCCATGAAAACAGCTGCAAGAATAACCTCCTGGTTTGTTTCTGCATAACTGTTTACACGAATGGTTGCCTAAATTACATTCATCGATGTCCACGCACGTTGAATTATCTTCTTGCAGGAAGTACCCATTTTTGCACATACAATAGAACGAACCGTGATAATTCTTGCATGTATGTTCACATCCACCATTATCAATTTCACACTCGTCTATGTCAAAACAAGAAACGCTGTCATTCATTAAAGAATAACCCTCAAAGCAGCCACAGGCAAAGGAACCATTTTGATTGTTACATATTTGATTACATCCGCCATTTGCTTCGGTACATTCATCTATGTCATTGCAAGAAGTCAAATCCCAACCAAGAGCATATCCGTTTTTACAGTTGCACGCAAATGTTCCATTCCCGTTGTTACAATTATGACTACATCCACCGTTATCAGATAAACACTCATTTATATCTGGAATTTAAAAATAATCGCCATTTCGATAAATATAATAAATTCGGTGTGATTGATGCCATCTCTAGGAAGTAAGATCTAAGGTCAATAAATAAATATATAATAAGTAAGCTAAGACCATAATGATAATAAACTACTAGGTATCACAAACCATAAACTAAACACTGAGAGAAATCATAAATTGTGAGTCAATATATAATACCCTGGGGATTATACCTGAAACTCAAGCATTTTCCACAAAAATACCGTATTCCTCGAATCGCGAAAAATAATATATCACGCAAAAAAAATTCAATTAACCAGTAATACTATGAATTCATTGAAGAGGTGCACCCTCGGCAATAAATCCTTTTTTTAAAGTACTGCAAAGTTCATTTATATTTATAATCAAGGTGAAATGCTTGGTACATTGTAATGATCATAAAATGAAACACATAAGGTACGTTGTCGAAGCCTTACTTGTGGGTCGAGCTAAACCTAGACTATAAAGAAAAAGAAAGAACATTAATCTAATCTCCAATAATCATTAAGTATCCATCCTGGTTTCTTTATGGAGCGTTTTTGTCTCTGTTGTAGTTTTAAGATGAATTCATCAGTCCAGAAATTACATATTTAACCTGTACTGTAAACATAATTAGATGGTTTATTCACAACAGAATAAGAAATGCTTTGGGCTGTTGACATGACATCTTTTTTGCCGTTTGATGTTCCTGAAAAAGAAGTTGATGTACAAGTGTTAGAGACATGTAATGGGGAAGAAAAACTATGCAAAACATTTGACGGACTTAATAAGAGTGAGAAACTGTAATCTAACGTAGATTTTGAAACTCTAAGAAGAAAAAAACATCAGAGGGGGCAATGGTTAGCATAAATCAGACGAGGTTGGTTTGTAAAAGGACTCAGTGGTCCTACATAAAGTCATTTCCATAAAGAGAAAAAAAGGTTCCTATGCAAAACCCTGATCTTATTCTTCATTTCATAGATGGAAATTCAGGAGGCAGGTTGGCCTGTGACGGTGTAAACAACCTTCTCCCATCTATCAGCAACTTTAGATTTCCCTCTATAAGCAAGCATCTTCTCCCATAAAAAATGAACGGTTCTGAACCGTGATATAGTCTCCGCTATATTGAAATTTGTATTTCTTAGGGTTGGTGGGCATTGTTAATTAAGCTCTGAGTTATATATAGTCACCGTCTACCGTTGGGCGTTAAATGTCATGGTTGACAAATATGCAGCCTGACCAGAACTCATGAACCCTCGGAACACCATCCCGCGGCTTTACCAATTGAGCTATCCAGACGTTCTGATTGGGTGTGGGCGGGATTTCTCTGCATCACCATCTGTGTTTCGTTACAATTCGTACCATAAACACCATCAATAATGAAAACGCCGTACGGGCCCAAATGTCGTTTGGTTCTTCTTCAATCTATGAAATGGCTATTCATTTATGTAAAGGATATAAACAAACACATTGATAATTTATATAATAAATATCTACAATTTCTGGTGTAAACTATAGAAATATATGTATCAAAGTGCCCAAATATAGCGCCAAAACACATAAATGGTCAATGGAAAAATACATGATAATAAATTATAATGAATATCAACAATAACCTGTAAAGGCCGCCTTGATAATTTGAATAAAGTACAGCAATTTCTGGCGAAAACCAAAGAGATATATTCATCAAATATATTATGCGAAATATGATTTGTCCATAAGGTTTTTAAAACTGAGGCCCGGCAAGTTATGTCTAAATAGAATATAAATAATTAGCTGCATTATTTTAGTTATTTTCACTTAACATAACTTATTAGAATTTTTCTAATTTGACTTATTTGCCTTCATTCTAGATTCGTGTGACAAAATGCATATTTACCTGTTACTTGCCAATATCAAGATTCATAATAAAATTCGTATGATCCAGATAATTCTCGTCATACCTGCTGACATCCCACCCCTTTTTGCTTTAATATGTGTAATTTCCGATCATTTAAAGCTGCACGCCTCCAGATGAGCCATAATATTTCAAGAAAATAAAAATTGAGAAAAATGTACTAATATTTCAAGAAAGGTAAAAACAATCAAAATCAATGTTAAAGTGTACATGTTATTTGCGATTTAAGACTGATTTTGCAGTATTTTATCACCATATTTCTACTGCGTTACTAACGCAATAAGGGCTTTTTTCACATTTTGACCTCTTTTTGGTTATTTGCATGGATTGTAAGTGCCAATTGCAATATGTAAATAACTTTATTTGTTCACCTCACAATATTTTACTGTCAAATACATTATCAAAATTTTTATGAAATTTAACATGAATCTGGAGGCGTGCTGCTTTAATAGAGTAATAACGATGTGTTTCATTTTCGTTCAAAGAAAATCGTGCATTTAGAGTGAATGCAACTTACCATTACATGTTTTATTGTCGAAGTCTAAATAATAGCCATCGTTACACTCACAGTAATAAGCGCCAGGTGTGTTATGACATTCATGATCACATCCAGATATGCCCGATTTGCATTCGTCAATATCTTGCGAATAAAACAAATTAAATTACTGTTTGGTTTGTAGTACATTTAAGAGGTATCCAACATTAACTATATTTTATTTAGTCATTTTATTTGGAAAAAACATGGAAACAAAATTTCCTTGACAGTCATGAAAAATAAGTATTTATCGCTAAAATATTTCTATAAAATGAACAATATGATATTTTCATAGAAGAATAAACACCGTAATGATGTAAATGTTAAAAAGATATGTTTGTATAACTTTGACATAAAGATACACAAGTTATCATAATGATTATTTCCTATTTTCCATTTATAATACGTATCTCAGTCTGTATAGCAAGAGAGTATAAACTGTAGATATGAAAAATGAATAATAAACCAACGAGTCTAGAAATTTAATCTAAATAGTTTTATTTCGTATAGGACTATGATAACAAACATGTCAGGTTAACGACACTGTCACACATATTTCTCGCATTGTTTATGAAACTTGTTCATGTAATATATCTATGTAAAATTTTTATTGCAGTTCTAAATAACTTCGTAAGATATAATATCTATGAACAAAAACGAAAAGTATGTAAACAATTCTTCATAAAAAAAACATATTAACGATTTATTTTTCTTCTGCAATCTAGCTTATGACAGGGGGGGATATATTTAAAATTTGACGATAAAGAGTTAGTGTGCTAATATACCAGTGCATTGTCTCCCATCATTCATCAAAGAATATCCTAACCGACAGAAGCAATTAAATGATCCATTTGTGTTCAAACATATCTGTTCGCATCCACCATTTGCGCTTTTACATTCATCAATATCATAACATGATATATTGTCGTTGTTGAGGAAGAAGCCATCGAAGCAAGAGCAAGAATATCCTCCTGGTACGTTTCTGCATAACTGTTCACACGTATTGTTGCTTATTTTACACTCGTCGATGTCCACGCACGTTGAATTATCTCCCCGTAAAAAGTATCCATTGTCACATAAACAGTTAAACGAACCGTCAACATTTACACATTTATGGTCACATCCGCCGTTCACAGATTCGCACTCATCTATGTCCACACATGAAACACTATTATTCAGTAACGCGTAACCTTCAAAGCAGTCACAAGCAAAGGAACCGTTTTGATTGTTACATATCTGATTACATCCGCCATTAGCATCGGTGCATTCATTTATGTCATTGCAAGAAGTCAAATCTCCACCAAGAGTAAATCCGTCTTTACAGCTACACTCATATGTCCCATTCCCATTGTTACAATAATGGCTGCACCCACCATTATCAGAGGAACATTCATTTACATCTAAAATTTAAAAACCATAATTACAAATATCGACAACTATCAGCAGAAATGCAATCATGTGATATTTTTAAGTTTTGATATTAAGTATGAAGCAAGATAAATGAAACGAATCGTTTTATGGCACGATCATGATCTTTGGACATGCAGACTGACTGTCAAAAGGTCGGCTTTAACGGATAGTTCACTAATAAATACTACAATTAGAAAAAACAAAACGTATGGAATAAAAACTTTGTATTTCTCATTTTGAGGCAAACTATTTTCTACAGGTTTTTCGTTATTTACATTTTGTTTTCCTATTTTAAATTACTTATTTTCTTCTTTTCGAATGTTTTATAGTAACTATGTCCCTATATACATTCTGCTTAATTTAAAAGACAATATACCAATATCTTTATTCACAACAACATTTATATGATCCTGGTAATTTTAGAAATCTTTGCTGACATCCATGTTTGCTAACACAATTTTCCTAATGTCTGAGAATATAACATGTCAGATAAGAATAAAAAGAAAACTTACAGGATGACAATCAAACTTGCTTACTCCTTCGATTCCTTTGTATTTGTTCAAATATTACGCGCAGAGAAAATCGTGCATTTAGGAGTTATTAAAAACTTACCAATACAAGTTCTATTGTTTTTGTCCAAATAAAAACCATCATTGCACTCACAGTGATAGGTACCAGGTGTGTTAAGACATTTATGATCACAACCAGAACTGCCTGATTTACATTCGTCAATATCTTGAGAATAAACAATTCAAATAACTATGATCTTATTTGTGGTTCATTTAACAATAATTATTTTTAACAAAAGTAATGATGGTAGAAAAATATTAACAAATGAACAATATCAGGTTTTGATAGAATAAATAAAGAATACAAAACACCATTATAAGTAACAGATATTATATTTGTATTAATTCTAACAGGAAAAAAAATGCACACACAAGAGAAAATCGAATGACGTTTTGTTATTTTCTACATCTAATAAATTTCCGATGCATAGCAATAGTGTACGGATCAATCAAATGCAAGCATAACAGCAAATGTTCCCTGTTTTCATAACACAGCCGGGTGTTTTATACCAAACTGGATTTAAAAAAGTATATATTATTTCTTTATTATATATATGGTATTATTCCTTTTCCTATTGAAATATTCTTTCAGTTTACTTTATGCTTTGAAATGTAATTTTATACGTTCCGCATAGCAATGGAAACCTTATTTGTTTCCAAAATATATTGATTGAATGAATGTGTTAAGATAATTGTCTTTGGTCCTGTTTTGTTGGGTCGTGTGGGGTTGCGTTTATTGAACACCGCCTTTTTTCTTGATTTTGCTTTTCATATCTTTTGTACTCTTTTCACTTCACTTCTTTTCAACGAATAATCAAGCTTGCATTTGCATTCGTACTAACCATTTTTATTTAGTAAATTTTCAGTCTTTTTTATGTAATATAATTTGTGAAAGAGGAAGATCAATTGAAAGCACCAAAAACAAGTCTGTTCCCGAAAGATAAATGAGCAGTCTGATCAGGATCCATGCTGTCCACTATCAGTTTCTCTACTTGTAATAGACTTGGTAAGCGAACAGCATGGATCCTGATCAGACTTGCGGAGGCGCAGGCTGGTCTGGATCCATGCTGGTCGCAAATCCACTATGTTGGTTTTGTCAGGACGCGGCTCAAATGGGCAAACTGCGTTTCCAGCACCGGCTCAAATTGTATTTTAAATAAAAAGTACTTGAATCAATGATCAAAAAGGACCAGCAAAATGTAACAACATGAGATGAAGAAAGACACCTGCTGTTGAGTATAAAAATGGAAAAGGAAACATGCAACGGTACACCGAAAAAGACAGAAAGCTAAAAAGACAAACTCGGTTTGATAAGGTCTGTCCGTGAAGTTAAATAATGTTTACTCTTAGGAAGTAGATTTAAGCATGTTTAAGTTGTCAAAAATAAGATGTCTTTTCATTACTTTAAAACCTGATTACATGTGATTATTGAAACAAATTTATAATCGTAATACATTTGTCTTTTATAATACCAAAATAAAAGTGTCTTTATCTAAACAAATTGTGTAGATATTGCTGGTTTGATTAGAGCTGCTGTGCTTTAACATACTTCAACAAGATAACAAATTTAATTATTTTTCCTCGCATGCAGCTTGCACTTTAGTTTGCAATTTATTAAAAACAAAACCAATATAGTCTGCCGCAATACGTTTACAAAATTACATACCTTTTCATTATAATTTTCAAGACAAAGGTATTTCATTTTATTTGTTTTCAAAACTATTCATCAGTTAATATAAAAAGAATATGTAAAAAATAAAAGCTAAGGGGGAATTTTACATATATATGTGTATCTATTTATTTCAATGAATTTGTAAGTCTGACCATTGCATTCATTTATATCTGTTTTAAATAGACAACATACAGAAAACATTGTTATCCCATCTTCTGGTAATATAACATATCTCTATGACTGATTTCATTAAAAAAAACATTATAAAAGAACTGAAGAAGAATTATATCAATATGAAAATATGGGACTGAACATTAACAAGGAATAGCATAAGTAAAGAAATCTCTATAATATCCGTGGCAGAGATAAGCAAATGAGGCAGTGGAGGTAGAGATATTTCGATAATGAAAAATAAAACCTCACCATTGCATCCTTTTTTATTTGACAACAAAGTGTAACCTTGGTTACATTTGCATTCGTAAGAACCTAGCGTATTTTGACAAGTATGTTCACATCCATCATTCGCAGCTTTGCATTCGTCGACATCTTATAAATAAAATTAAACTTATTAAAAACTAACACACGAAAGAAAAAATAATGAAATTAATAACTTAACACTTGTTGATGCTTGTCATCAATGGCACCAATTTAAATTTATTTATGAAATTATATCATTATAAACCATAAACATTTTTAATAGTATTAAAAAAGTAAGTTGATCAATATATAAATATATTTCAATATACAATTATAAATGCATATACCATTGCATTTCGTTCCGTCACTTGCCAGCAAATATCCCGATCTACAGGAGCAAATGAACGAACCAATAGTGTTCCTACAATTATGTTGACAGCCACTCTTGCTTGCAAGGCATTCATCTACATCTGTTGTTCGTATCAAATATATATAAAGTATTTTACAACTAAAGAAAACGAGAAAATGTAATTTTAAATGTATCTTTGTATTTCATGTTTCTTTATGCCAGTCTTGGGTCTTCATATCTATTTCTGTTTTGTCTTTTTAGGTAAGTCCCCCACCCTCCGATCACTACCCTTTGACATTGGCCTTTGTTTATTTATGTTTTGATTTTCAGCGTCTCGGCGGCTGTTTTAGTCATCGTACAAGTTCCCCGTTGCTTTCCCAGTAATGACACTTAGTGTCTCGCTGTCCGTGGCTCCGTCTGCATGTTCGGATGCATGTTCAAGAAGCTGCATTCTATTGTTTACGCTTACTTTAATTTTTATAGAAATAGTGGTTCGATATGTCCGTACCTTACTATAAATATGTAATATTTTCAGACAAAAAATCAGGTTCACGTATATTTGCCGCATTGTTTCACAGCAATATTATATTTTTAGAGCAGCTTTTACGTCGTTCTATAAGTAACTTGTAATAAATATCTCTACAAAAATAAAAAGATGTTAATTAATATTTCATGAGAAGATATAATTATTTACACTGAGCTTATATGTTCTTCAATGTAGAAAAATCATCTTTTTATTTTTATTTTACATTGAAATACAACTGTAAAAATCATACCAATGCATCTTTTCCCGTCAGTCATCAAGGAATATCCTGACTGACAGTAGCAAATGTAAGAGCCGTTGGTGTTCAAACATATCTGTTCACATCCACCATTTGCACTTTTACACTCATTTATATCATCACATGATTTATTGTCGTTGTTGAGAGAAAATCCATCAAAACAATAGCAAGAATAACCTCCTGGTTCGTTTCTGCATAATTGTTTACACGAATGGTTGCCTAAATTACACTCATCGATGTCCACGCACGTTGAATTATCACCCTGAATAGAGTACCCATTGTCGCATAAACAGTTAAACGAACCGTCATTATTGGAACATGTATGGTCACATTCACCGTTCTCAATCTCACACTCATCTATGTCCACACATGAAACACTGTCATTCAGTAAACCATAACCACCAAAGCAGCCACAAGCAAAGGAACCGTTAAGATTGTCGCATATCTGATCACATCCGCCATTAGCATCGGAACATTCATCTATGTCATTGCAAGAAGTCAAATCTTTACCAAGAGCATATCCGTCTTTACAGCTGCACTCAAATGTTCCATTCCCATTGTTACAATTATGGCTGCATCCACCATTATCAATGGAACATTCATCTATATCTGTAGATGGGTTATCATTTCAATCGAGATAAATAGCAATGTTTATACTTAAATGTAAGCATACAAGTCCAAAACAATTCTGTAATTTAAACCTAAGGAAGATCCAAAACGGTAAAATTGAAAATGTTGAAAATGGCCGATTTGATTGTGCATGTTCATGAAAGATAGATGTAATTGCAATCCACCGCTCACGCCCCTTAGACACATGCTTTAGCAGAAATTATAGCAGTAAAACATGCAAATGGTAAAGTTTTGAATTTAGATACACCAAGCCAAGATGTGTTTATACGGCTGTAATCATGTAATATTCAATTTGACACGTTTGTGTTATTCCAATAAAAGCTAAGCTGCATCTTCATGGTTTGTTTTATTCAAAACGCCATAAGTTTATTTGTTACCGGTTGACAAAAATGGTCTTGGCATTTTTTGACATCCTTGTCAGAACGAATGTTTGCTTTAACAGAGGGTTAATGCACATTTTTCGTGCATTGACAATATTCTTGTATTTAAGTTTACGCCTGATTCGGTAGTTCCGAGTTTTGTTATTTGCTTTTCTAATAATGAAACCGATGTCATTTTCAGATATGTTTTGATGATAAACTAAAACCATGTCATTTTCAGATATGTTTTGATAATAAAACTACCACGGCGGTTTTCCGGTTAGTTATTTTTACATAAAGCCCTGTTTCACGGATAATAAAAACCATTCAACAACAGGCTCGCGTGATTTTATTCATGAGAACATGTTTTCTTCTTGTAAATGTTTACCTTTGTACGCAGTTTGCAAGAATACTCTGTATTGCATGACGTTTTGATATCTGCATTGAAAAATATGAAATAATGTATATTACTCATTCGATTATTTTATTTGATTTTATAAGATATTGCTTTGATGCAGGAGTTCGAAAACTTACCATTACAAGTTTGATTGTCGGTGTCCAAATGAAATCCATCCTTACACTCACAGTGATAGGTGCCAGGTGTGTTATGACACTCATGATCACAGCCAGAACTTCCTAATTTGCATTCATCAATATCTAGAAAATAAAGTAAATTGAATTACTGCCTTGTTTGTAGTGCATTTAACAAGAGCCAGACGATGATTAAGAATAAATTTATTTGATACAATTAAAAAAAACAACGTACTAATTTTATGTGTCACATATGTATGTATATTTGTTCAACTTCGCTGTTCAGAAATTCATTTCATATATTTTGATGTAAAATATGCCAGTCACGGTAGTTATAAAAATAAGATGTATAACTTTATAGCGTTTTCTAGAAAAAATATGAATACATATGTATATGGATAAAGCATACATGATAATTTCCAATATTTCAAATTTATATCGCGTAGCAAATTATACAACTTAAAAACAACGTCTGCAAAACACAACCCTGGTTATATTTGCATTCGCAAGAACCAACCGTAACTATCCATGAGAACTAGTATTGCATTCATCACCATCTTGTTACGAAATTTATAACAAATGATCATAAGTATTAAGTGGTTTTGTTGTTTTAAGCTTGATATATAGATAATTTCAATGTATTCTTTGACGGTTTGCCTACAAATAACAATCCTATCTTTAAGACAAATAGTGGCAAGTATATACAGATATGTATATTTGCATTTCATATTCATGATATGATGGTAAACAAAAATAAACCTACCATTGCATTTACTCTTGTCACTTGCAAGTAAATAACCCGATCTACAGGAGCAAATGAACGAACCAACTGTGTTGCTACAATTATGCTGACAAACATCTTCATCTGTTTGGCACTCATCAATGTCTGCCAGTTGAAGCATAATTCACACATACTCATACATATGTCATACATACTCACTGACTTGTGACATACAGATTAACAAAAAACTATCGGAAGAAACCACAAACATATATATCTTTTTAAGTTGTATTGGACAACAAATCTAAAAGTTATCAAACATGTACACACTTAGGGAAGTTTAGACTAAATGTTATGAGATGGAAACTATTATAGCTGAACAACCTGCTTTTGAGAGTGAAAAGGACAAAAATACACTAGAAGTTTAGACAGAGGTTTTCCTTAGACGGTCGCTATCTTGTTAGAATATTTGGCTGTTTTGTACTATGTAAGGACAAAATGAAAAGTTCTATCAACAATATACATACTTGGATAAATAAAATCATTTGATATTTCAATTGTTTAGCAAGAACACTTTTTAAACTTACAATCAAATCAATCGAATGCTTGAGTTATTGTCATATCGCTAAAAATGCCACACAGCAACAAGTTAAATCAATAGATGTGACCTAGAAGGAGAAGAAAAAAAACCAAACCTGTGCAGGTTCTTTTGTCAGATGTCAGCAAATAACCAGATCTGCAGGAGCAAAAGTACGAGCCAGCTGTGTTATTACAATTATGCTGACAACCGCCTCGGTTGCCACGACATTCGTCTATATCTTTAATAAATCATAAATAAGTATTCAATTTTGACATTCGTGAATTAAACTTTGTATTATCATATAACGTATTTGAAAAATAAACCTCTTGTAATAGTAGTAGTAGAGCAAGATTTAACATTAAATTGATCTCATTTCAACACAGCAAATAGAACAACACATAAAATGATTTCAAAATTATACATTTACATTTTCCATGTATTTTCATTGAATAATTTCTTGTGAATTTTAAAATGCCTACCCATGCACTTTTTCCTATCAGACATTAGAGAATATCCTGACCTACAGTAGCAGTTAAATGATCCATATGTGTTGCGACATGTGTGTTGACAGTCACCATTGTTTGTGTCACATTCATTTATATCTGTAAATCATTTACAAAAAGAAGCTATTTTCTTGATTTATAATAAAGCAATTTTTTATGTTAAAGTATGTTTAATAGACGAAATTGAGATAATATTTACAAAATAAAGAATAATGTACAAATCTTTCATTTTTGGTACACAAATTAACACAGGAATCGACCGTGTTTGTGCATTTACTCTGAAGCGATTTTCTTTCATAAATTCATATCAAATATTTTGATATAAAACATGACAATCACGGTAGCTATAAAAACTGATGTATGACTTTATAGCGTTTGCTAGAAGAAAATATGAATATATGGATAAACGCGTTCCTGTTAAGCATACATGATAATTTCCAACATTTCAAATTTATATCGCGTAGCAAATTATACAACTTAGAAAAAAAACGTCTGCAAAACATAACCTTGGTTATATTTGCATTCGCAAGAACCAACCGTAAATATCCATGAGAACTTGTATTGCATTCATCGCCATCTTGTAAGGATATTTATAACAAATGGAATAAGTATTAAGTGGTTTTGTTGTAATAAGCTTGATATATAGAGAATTTCAACGTATCCTTTGACCGTTTGCCTACACATAACAATCCGATCTTCAAGACAAAAGGTGGCAAGTATATATAGATATGTATATTTGCATTTCATATGCATGATATGATGGTAAACAAAAATAAACCTACCATTGCATTTACTCTTGTCACTTACAAGTAAATAACCCGATCTACAGGAGCAAATGAACGAACCAACTGTGTTGCTACAATTATGCTGACAAACATCTTCTTCTGTTTGGCACTCATCAATGTCTGCCAGTTGAAGCATAATTCACACATACTCATACATATGTCATACATACTCACTGACTTGTGACATACAGATTAACAAAAAACTATCGGAAGAAACCACAAACATATATATCTTTTTAAGTTGTATTGGACAACAAATCTAAAAGTTATCAAACATGTACACACTTAGGGAAGTTTAGACTAAATGTTATGAGATGGAAACTATTATAGCTGAACAACCTGCTTTTGAGGGTAAAAAGGACAAAAATACACTGGTAGTTTAGACAGAGGTTTTCCTTAGACGGTCGCTATCTTGTTTAAATATTTGGCTGTTTTGTACTATGTAAGGACAAAAATGAATAGTTCTATCAACAATATACATACTTGGATAAATAAAATAATTTGATATTTCAATTGTTTAGCAAGGACCCTTTTTAAACTTACAATCAAATCAATCAAATGCTTGAGTAATTGTCATATCGCCAAAAATGCCACACAGCAACAAGTTAAATCAATAGATGTGACCTAGAAGGAAAAGAAAAATCAAACCTGTGCAGGTTCTTTTGTCAGATGTCAGCAAATAACCAGATCTGCAGGAGCAAAAGTACGAGCCAGCTGTGTTATTACAATTATGCTGACAACCGCCTCGGTTGCCACGACATTCGTCTATATCTTTAATAAATCATAAATAAGTATTCAACTTTAAGATTCGTAAAACTTTGTATTATCATATAACGTATTTGTAAAATAAACCTCTTGTAATAGTAGTGGCAGAGCAAGATTTAACATTAAATTGATCTCATTGCAACATTGACATTTCTAATTAGAGAACAATATTTACTTCCGGCAAATAGAACAACACATAAAATAATTTCAAAATTATACATTTACATTTTCCATGTATTTTCATTGAATAATTTCTTGTGAACTTTAAAATGCCTACCCATGCACTTTTTCCCATCTGACATTAGAGAATATCCTGGCCTACAGTAGCAGTTAAATGATCCATATGTGTTGCGACATGTGTGTTGACAGTCACCATTGTTTGTGTCACATTCATTTATATCTGTAAAACATTTACAAAAAGAAGCTAATTTCTTGATGTTATTATAAAGCAATTTTTTATGTTAAAGTATGTTTAATAGACGAAATTGAGATAATATTTACAAAATAAAGAATAATGTGCAAATCTTTCATTTTTGGTACACAAATTAACACAGGAATCGACCGTGTTTGTGCATTTACTCTGAAAGCGATTTTCTTTCATAAATTCATATCAAATATTTTGATATAAAACATGCCAATGACGGTAGTTATAAAAACTGATGTATGACTTTATAGCGTTTGCTAGAAGAAAATATGAATATATGGATAAACGCTTTCCTGTTAAGCATACATGATAATTTCCAACATTTCAAATTTATATCGCGTAGCAAATTATACAACTTAGAAAAGAAGTCTGCAAAACATAACCTTGGTTATATTTGCATTCGCAAGAACCAACCGTAAATATCCATGAGAACTTGTATTAATTCATCGCCATCTTGTAAGGAAATTTATAACAAATGGAATAAGTAATAAGTGGTTTTGTTGTAATAAGCTTGATATATAGAGAATTTCAACGTATCCTTTGACCGTTTGCCTACACATAACAATCCAATCTTCAAGACAAAAGGTGGCAAGTATATATAGATATGTATATTTGCATTTCATATGCATGATATGGTGAGAAACAAAAATAAACATACCATTGCATTTTCTTTTGTCACTTGCAAGTAAATAACCCGATCTACAGGAGCAAATGAACGAACCAACTGTGTTGCTACATTTATGCTGACAAACATCTTCATCTGTTTGGCACTCATCAATGTCTGCCAGTTGAAGCATAATTCACACATACTCATACATATGTCATACATACTCACTGACTTGTGACATACAGATTAACAAAAAACTATCGGAAGAAACCACAAACATATATATCTTTTTAAGTTGTATTGGACAACAAATCTAAAAGTTATCAAACATGTACACACTTAGGGAAGTTTAGACTAAATGTTATGAGATGGAAACTATTATAGCTGAACAACCTGCTTTTGAGGGTAAAAAGGACAAAAATACACTGGTAGTTTAGACAGAGGTTTTCCTTAGACGGTCGCTATCTTGTTTAAATATTTGGCTGTTTTGTACTATGTAAGGACAAAATGAAAAGTTCTATCAACAATATACATACTTGGATAAATAAAATCATTTGATATTTCAATTGTTTAGCAAGAACACTTTTTTAAACTTACAATCAAATCAATCGAATGCTTGAGTTATTGTCATATCGCCAAAATTGCCGCATAGCCACAAGTAAAATCAATAGATGTGACCTAGAAGAAGAAGAAAAAAAACCAAACCTGTGCAGGTTCTTTTGTCAGATGTCAGCAAATAACCAGATCTGCAGGAGCAAAAGTACGAGCCAGCTGTGTTATTACAATTATGCTGACAACCGCCTCTGTTACCACGACATTCGTCTATATCTTTAATAAATCATAAATAAGTATTCAACTTTGACATTCGTGAATTAAACTTTGTATTATCATATAACGTATTTGAAAAATAAACCTCTTGTAATAGTAGTAGTAGAGCAAGATTTAACATTAAATTGATCTCATTGCAACATTGACATTTCTAATTCGAGAACAATATTTACTTCCGGCAAATAAAACAACACATAAATAATTTCAAAATTATACATTTACATTTTCCCTGTTTTTTCATTGAATAATTTCTTGTGAACTTTAAAATGCCTACCCATGCACTTTTTCCCATCTGACATTAGAGAATATCCTGACCTACAGTAGCAGTTGAATGATCTATATGTGTTGCGACATGTGTGTTGACAGCCACCATTATTTGTGTCACATTCATTTGTATCTGTAAAACATTTTTTTTATAAAAGGAAGCTAATCTCTTGATGTAAAAATAAGGAAGTTTTATGTTTGGGTCTGTTTAATAGACAAAATTGTGATAATATTTACAAAATAAAGAATAATGTGCAAATCTTTCATTTTTTGGTACACAAACTAACACGGGAATCGACCATTTACTCTGGAGGCGATTTCTGAATAGCTTTTCTCTATATCTATATGTGAGATATTGATTGACGATTTTTTTTTATAATATTACTCAAGTACTTGTTTATTCTGTTCACTTTCTTCTGTTAGTCGTTAAGTATACTGACTTTAAATAGCAACAATACAATAAACCCACCCAGGTAGCATTAATATAGTTGTCAACCACCACTGTTGATGATACATTTGCTTTTTTTTTGTTCCGTTAAAATGTCATAGTTTTGTATTCACTTACTGTACATAAGTGCGAATAATTCCTTTGAGATACTAGTGTATGGTCTAGTTTACAAGATGATTGTTTGATTATAGTAAAATATCTTCCTATAACTTGCTAAAATTCTGAATATTTATAATGGTAATTTGAAACAATCTTACCAACACATTTCTTGTTATCACTTGCTAAAGTATATCCGGATCTACAGGAGCAAATAAACGAACCAACTGTGTTTCTACAATAATGCTGACAACCTCCCCTGTCTGTACCACACTCATTTATATCTGTAAAATGAACAGAAATTGTAAGAAATTATACGTACAGAACATTTACTCAATAATCATATCGCTAGATTTCTTCGATGTAAGCTTTTACATTTATTGAAAGCATCGAAACATCATCAAATTAAAACAAATGAAACTTGAAACGGAAAAAAAGCTCGTGGTTAATAATATAAAGTGCAGCAAATTTCGCACACATCCCTACATCGGCTTAAGCAGTCTTTTTTTCATTAAAATGTAATCAAACAATGATCACAAAAAAAAAACGAAAAGATATAGCAGCACTTAAATAAAAAGCAGAGCAATTCATCAAAGCTACCACACACCACTCGACACTTTTTTATTGAGAGTATAGAAATTCTAAAAGGGGCAATATCTCTAAATCATAAGTTGATTGCATAAAATTTGCATATTTGATTTGATTTTGTTCATACGAGGTAATGAACAGTGTAAATGTACACTTTACGCCATCTTGTAGCAATTTATGCAGTATTCAATTTACAATAACAGATATCAAAATATTATATAAACTATGAAAGATCTTGTATTTAGCTTCATTACCTGTACATTTCCTTTTGTCATACATCAAGGAATATCCTGACTTGCAGTAGCAGTAATATGACCCCCTGGTATTGCTACAGTGATGCTGGCAGCCACCGTTATATGAGTTGCATTCATTTATGTCTGTTTAAAAGGAAAACAAATGAGCTGCGTCACGACAAAACCAACATAATGGGTTTTGCGACCAGCATGGATCCAGACCAGCCTGCGCATCCGCACAGTCTGATCAGGATCCATGCTGTTCGCTATCAGTTTCTCTACTTGCAATAGGGTCTGTAAGCGAACAGCATGGATCCTGATCGGACTGCGCGGATGCGCAGGCTGGTTTGGATCCATGCTGGTCGCAAACCCATTATGTTGGTTTTGTCGTGACGCGGCTCAAATGTGTTCAGTTATTATGTTTTTCGTTTTTTCGTACAAACATTGTAAGTTTGTTACACAAAGATACGAATATAAACGTCCCATCCAAGTGAGATTCGTACTTGCGACCTCTGGCTTACAAGCAATAAAGACAGCGCTCCAGACCACGAAGCCAGAAAAAATATAACCGGCACTATTTGCAAAAGTTATTAGTAGACATGAAAACATCATTTAAACAAAAACACTCATTTAGAAAGACAAAAAATAAATGAATTTAGCTTATATTGCCATAGCCAGAAATAAAGTACAAGCAACTCAATGTGTCAAGTCGTGTAAATGTAATAATAATCTATCAATTTTAATATTTTCAATAAAAATTTATCCTTATTTTACAAAACGTGATATCTGGACTATGGTAGTTAATTAAGTTTTTACGCACATTGAGAAATAATCATATTGTTTGGCATTTTTAACTGATACATTTGAATATTCAATGACCTTTTTTCGGTAATTATCGGATTAAATCATATAGATTGTGAAGTAAAGGTTGCCTTAGTAGCCTTAGAGACAAGTTGTTCAGCTTCCACTTCATATTGAAGGTTGTAGGGTTGAAACAAGAAAAATTAATTTTTATTCTTTTTACATTATATTTTCCGAAACTTGACCACTATGTTTGGTGCATGCAAAAAACTCATTGTACGACTTTATAGATTAATATTAGGGTTTCTTAATCGGACAAAAATCATAATCGGTCATCGAAAATAATCGAACAACCTTTTTCGATCAATCATCGATTATATAATCGAAACATTTATGATAACAAAGTAAATATGCACAATGCACATATCATGCTTTAATATTTATAAGAATTCCATTAATATTCTATATTTTGTGTAACAACCACTTAATCAACTGAAATAAACTAGTTAATCATGCTTATGTTCATCCTTGAGTAAAATATTTTAATCAAATAAATTCATTATATCTATGAAATTATTATGTCTCAATTCCAATAAAGGAATGAATAAGCTATGTATGGGAACAAGAGAAGTTTGTCATTAATAAAAATGCCAGGTTTTTTTAATGACACTATATATTTATATTGTAACCATCTTTAGTTTAGTGTGTAGAATAATTTTATACATATCTTCTTTGTTTGAAGTCAAAACATGTTTATTTCATATTTACAAATAGACTGTGTAGCAATTTTCTAATTTCAAATTTGAGCATAGTATGTTTGTAAACTAGAATGCCTCACTGTCAACTATTAACCTCATGGTCACAAGTATGCTTTCTCATTCATTTTAATGAAAATTATTGGGTAAACCAAAGCTTGCTTTAATTTAAAGTGTTGTTAAAATACAGTGAGTCACTAAAGTAACAGCAAGAAGATAAATAACCGATGATCGATTATTGAACTTTGTATTCGATCATCGCTAATCAGTCCTATAAACGATCAATTATCGATTATACTCGATCAGCGTTTAATCCCTAATTAATATTATTATGATATTTTTATCATAATGAAATTTAAAAATCCTGCATAAGGAAATAATTAATTAGAAGTTTTTTAAAAAAAGGTTTGTCGTAGAGTTGAACTTTCATAGGCAGTAATTATAGATTAAAGAAATTAGAATCATATTATAAATAAATCATGATAAATTACGGAAACTAACGGAAACCCTGCCGAAAATCATTCTGTCTCAGGTCAATATTGCCAAACAATATGTAAGATACGGATGCTATGCTGTACGTACCGGTCGTGCAGCTGTACCCCTGCCATCCACTACAGCACTTACTTTTTCTACACTGCTCATAGCAATAAAACGACACATACCTAAAATTGACAAATACCTTGTACATACTAAATATACACTTTTTTTAAAAATTGTATTAACAGAAAAGTATTTGATTTTTTCAAATGTATCTTCATGATAGATACAGTTGCTATATCTGCAAAGTTCAATAGTATCACTTTCTTTCTGATATTGATTTCATATGTAAATTTTGCATATTGAAAATTATTTATCTCGACAGAAATAATAGATTGTTAACGTTGAATTTTTTTTTTTTTGTATTTTTTTTTATGTAGATCCGGCAAAACAACAACGGTGTGAAATTATTTCAAGCTGAGAGCATCAACAAGTGAAAACAATACCTATATCTCGAACATTGCCATATAAAACAGCTGCTATAATATTTTTGTGTTCGGTAGCATTTTGTTCCACATGTTGAATAATAATAGCACGTACCAGCAATGGTTAAACTGCAATACAAAAATAGATTTGCGTTTGCTTTTAACTTTTATAAAATGATACAAGTCAGGGGATAATCGAACTGTTAGACTTCATATAACCTTGCAGGCATTGCTTTAAAGATATTAAGATATGTAAACGTGTAAGTGTTGGTAGGGAACATTTCAAACAAAATTGATAAGAACAAAGCTGGGTTTAATCGAGACTGAACACTAAAGGCATTGAGTAAGGAACAACTCACTTTCTTGAGGTGAATTCATTGTCTCATTACATTTTCAACAGTAAAATAGATCTAAAATCATTAGAATACTTAACGACTAACGGGCCACTTTAATAATAAATAAATAAATAAATAAAACAAAAATATGATAAAATAAATAAATAGATAAATAAAAAAAATCAGAATAAGATACTCTTTTCATGTAGATAATCTTAATTGTTTCAAAATACATGTACTTATCATTTTAAGGATTTAAAGGTAAAACTGTATTATCGAGAAAGGAAACAAATGAAAAATACCTTTAAAGAAATATTTATAAGAATTTACCTTAAACTGAGAGATGCGATTATAATCCGTAACAGCATCGTTGAAATTGAAAGGAAAACATCTATAGCACTATCGGGGTAGCTGTCAAATAACTTTTTTTAAATAACATAAAAAGATGACAGCTTAATTCACGGTCGTACTCTGTCGCACAAAAAATTATCGAACAATACTGTTACTGTATTTCCTTTTCAAAACACCGTTTTTTGCAAACTGTTGAGAATCAGATGTTTAAAATTGATTAAAGTTATAATTTAAATACACAGTGAATTTTATTCAATAAAAACGAATAATTGATTTTTTGGCCAATCAACATTTGCTGCTGAATTTGGCATAAGTTACAAGTTTATATTGTCTTTAACATAAACCGGTTCAAATTCCGTTTAACTTTGTTTAAAGAATACCCGACTCGTCACCCTCACTCTTGGCACTATAAAGGAGATGCCAAGTATATCTTCCAACTTCCTCATGTAATCTGCGCACTATAGTTAAAATATCTACTTATGTATTATTGTCTAATCTAGTTTTCAAGTTTACTAGGTGATCAAAGTTTAATTGGATATAATACGGTACTTAATTTAAACAAGCGTCGGTATGCCATAAAAATGACTTTTTCAAGTACAGCTTGATACTTGACGACACATGAGTTGATATACAATTAAGTTATCTTAATCAAAATAAATGATACAATACAAGTTCTCACTATCTAAAATGTACCAAAATGTCCAACAATTGATTTTTATACGCCCGAAGACTTTCGATACGTATTATAATATGGCATTTTCCTTTCGTCTGTCCGTCCGAGATAACATTTAGATACTTATGGTGCTACAGGAACAAAAGGTAACTGTACTTTTTCTTTGATGCCATTCATTCCTTTTACATGGCTATTTTCCTTTATGTGGCTTATAAGAACAGTAGAGAAAACAATGGAGTAGCCTCACAAGTATCATCTCGGTAGAATGTCCGTTCGTAGGTCCGTAGACAAATGGTTTCTGCAGCTTAACTTTGGATGGAGTTTATATTTGGCATGTAAGTATGCAAACACAAATAATTTTTGAATTTTGCTGCACTTTACTCATTATTAAAAGAGTTTAGCCCCTTTTAAACATTTTAAGAGAAATTATTGGTTTCAGCAGCATAAGTTTCCGGCTTGAAACACTGTTAACCATTTGCATGTCTTCTAATTTTTTAAGAACGACCACAAAAAAGCAATACCAATATCAAGGATATGTCTACAAAGTACATTCTTATTCTTAACAAATTGCTCAGAATTGAATATGAAAAGAGATCACACGAACATTAATTGAAGGATTCAACACTCAACAGACTTTCTCTAAGCAAATAGATGTATCAAATATTTGGTATAAATCTTGCTATGAAATTTCTGTTATAAAAATGAAGTCAAATGAAAATAATAAGTAAAAACTAGTTAATGTTCATGTCATATACGATCTTGTTTGATAAAATCTTTTCGAAGTTTGAAATAGTTACTATTCTCGTTTATGTAATGTATTAAATTTATATATTTTGCTGCATTTATCTAACTACCAAGATTTTGCAATGATTTCAAAGCACCATTGTTGAACAAAAAATTAGAATAATGCATATCCCTTGCAAACAGGCTTTATAACCGTCATATGAATACATCTACGATGTATATAAATTCAAAATTTCACCATTTTCATATTCTTATGTTCAATTATGCTTAAGCCGGCGCTATGTGGCTGGACGGTAACTTGCACTTTCCGTAACTTGCACTTTTCAATACTATTAATGATCAATCCGAGCCTGTAACAGTTACAATTTTGTCATTGGATTCCGTTTTCCTCTATATTATACTCTATATTATTCTCAAATAAGATATTCAAATAATTAAATAAAATAGTGATGCGTACAAGATTATGGTTATGATCAGTTCAATTTTTGTCGTTTTGGGCGTTCTTTTGGGATTCCCCTTTTTCTATTTTAGCTCTTCATCAACTTACAGCATTTTTTTTAAAAATTTCAAACAAATGAGGATATTGATTTTTCGTACGATCATGATGTTTAGGCTTAAAGAAAGTAAACCGATATCATCACCTATCATAGTTTTAAAGATTTATCAACAAATAATACACACCCTAGTCTCAAGTTGCTTGATGATATATTAAACCAAGGTCAATGTGACAACTTATTTAAATATTACTTCCTTTCCTGATTTGTAGTTTTTTGATTTTTATAAGTCACATGAGATACTTGACATAAGTTCACGGTCTCTATTATTTTCACACTGTTCAACAGAATAAGCCGTTGTCTAATACAACTATAATGTGAGGCAAATCAAAACGCATTGACAAATGACACTTGTTACAATTGATTGTCATTCGTTCATTATTATTGTCCTTAGTGCTGTAATTTTTATTGTCCTTCTTTTGTCACTATTTTTTTCTATCGGTGTTGGCGCCACTATTGTTTGTCCTCGTTGTTGTTACTTTTTGTAACTTTGTTGTTAGCACTATTACTGTTCTTCTTGTTGTCACTATTTGTTGCATCGTTGTTATACCTTTTGTTGTCTTCGTTCTCACTATTCTTGTTTTCGTTGTTGTCACTATTTGTTACTTTATTGTTGTCACTATTCTTGTTTTCGTTGTTGTAACTATTTGTTACTTTATTGTTGTCACTATTCTTGTTTTCGTTGTTGTTACTATTTGTTGCTTTATTGTTGTCACTATTCTTGTTTTCGTTGTTGTCACTATTTGTTACTTTATTGTTGTCACTATTCTTGTTCTCTTGTTCTCGTTGTTGTCACTATTTGTTACTTTATTATTGTCACTATTCTTGTTCTCTTGTTCTCGTTGTTGTCACTATTTGTTACGTTATTGTTGTCACTATTATTTTCCTTGTTGTCACTATTTGTAACATCGTTGTTGATACTATTTTGTCTTCGTTATCACTCTAATTGTCTTTTTACAGATAATTTGACACTACAATTGGTTGTTTCTCAAATGTAAGCAAAATATCCCTAATTATATATTATAAAATACCCTTATTCATTTTCGATTTATATGATAACTTTTTGTATCGTTTGTATCTCATTGTATACTTCAATTATTACGCCACTACATATACAATATCAAAACGCAATATATTGTGTGTTAAATATGAATGTTCGATCATGAAATTCCTTGTTTGATGATAACATTAAAAATTATTTATTTATTGACCATATAGAGACAACAAAAGAAGTTCGAGTTTCAAACGTGTGTACGTTATGTTGTATATAATAAAAATGAGTTTCAGACTTCCTAAATTTGGTATTTAGAAATCTGATTTTATTTGCAATGCCTAAGGGGCAGACTTTCATATTTTCAGATAAAAATATCACGAATAACGAATTTTAGAATTTTTGTATTATTCGCCTAATAGAAGTGTTTATTTATTTACATATTGCATGACATGATAGTATGAATTATAAACAATCCTAGTAGATATATAGTTGTATATATATATTTTTTTGTATTTAATATTGATAACTTAAATATAAAATGTGTACAAGTTTCAATGTAAATCTTGCATTGTAACGATTGACTTAATATTCAATACAATGCTTTATCGACAAAATACAAATAATTTAGCTTAAAATATTTTATTTCAGAATATACATGACTGTACGTAATTAAATAAATTATTTGCACGCCAGAAGGCTTAAAGCACGAATAATACTCAGATATACATGTATACTTGCTTCATTAAAAATAATTCTCGTTTAAGGACGATAATTAAGCCCTTCCGGTTTATAATGAAAATACATTGTTTTACGCAGTTTTAAATTAAGTGGGGAAATCATGTAGGAAGTAAATTTTCTACATTCTGATGAGAAAGTTTTCACTTTTATGTGTGAGCTGAACACAAAAACTGACATAAAGCATTCAGATTTACAGCACGACATTTTTAATATACACATCGCAATGACATAAAGAAAAATAAAGCATTTGTTTTACACTTTTCACTTTCACAACAAACAAACAAAAATACCAGCCCAACGCTTGTATAACGTCTTCTTTTGTTTCACAGCTAATGCCTTTTTATCAAAAGAACAGTCAAGACATTAGGAAATTGGAAATAAATTGCGAATTTCCTTGGTTGATAGACTCAATTTATCTTATAAATTACAAAGAGAAGCAATGAATTCGACAATATCCAGAAGGCAATTCCCTGTACAAATCAATCGGAAATCCTTTGGGAAACATTACGATTTCATTAACTGCACGGTTTTCACGGTTGTCAATACTACTGATTGTTTTATATCCCTATGTTAAGTCATGTGATAAATATTATTTGCATGCCTCTTCATCCATCTATAGGAAACCAATTACACAGTCGTTTTACATAACATATGGTCAGTTAAGTGAACAATGTTGGGAGAAAAAACAACAAATAACAAATACAGAGACAGAATTTTAAGTATACTTGGAAAATTATGTTTGGAAATCTTTTTTTTTTCTTACTTCATTTTATTGAAGCAAAACAAATAGTATGTTAGAATAAAAGTTAATGCCCTCTATAGACAGCTCAAACAGATAATCAGTTTGTTACAACGGAAGAAAAGAAAATGGAGACTATGAAATGAAACTAGCTCTTAAACAACATGAGTAATGTTGTTGATGTATTAATTAAATTTACAATAAAATATAGGTGATTGGTTATATACAATATTATTAATATGTTATTACTTATATGTTATGCGGCCCAAGACTCAGTCACTTAACATCATTGATGCTTTAATGACTCCGACAAAATATCTGGACAACTAAAGGCATCAACATTTGACAGTTACATTGTAGGTCTGAAGTATAATCCCTTAATATCGCTAATTCTTTCTATATTCATCGATCATTCGTCAAATAAATCGCAATTTAAAGCATTTCATTATAATAATATATGAAACACGATCAGTAAACGTATTTGAATTGAATCCATATTAACCTAATCAAATGACTAATTTTGTAATAATTCTTTATTAATTGCGAATACAGATTAAAGTGACATTTTCTCATATGCTCATATCAAATGCAAACACAGAACAAATTGACATTTCAAGTAATAAAAATAATATGTCCAACAAAATAAAGACTTAAAGAAACTGCAATAACTGCATTAGCTACAGTAAGATCAGTTAGGTTTTTATGTTTATTAAACTGGCAGGTGTTCAGTTTACTATTCGTTTTAGATTATTTACTCTAAGTTTGGTTTTGTCACCATTTTTTATGATACATTTTGCTTTTTTACAGAAGATTATAAACAAATTTTCATACACTTTTCTTTTTCAAAAACATGTATGAACTGAAAACATCAAAGTAATACTGTATTCATATAGAAAACCGCACAAGCAGACGAGTCGGCAACATAGATGCTCGTGACAATTTAAACCGAGACATGTTTCTGCGTGTTTGAGAATGTATCATCTATCTGGTTTGATGTGGTCTGTTAACATTTTATGATACACAAATGA